CTACTTCTGAAATGCTTCCATCCTTATTCAGGGTGCCGTCGATATTGTAGAGCGGAATCGGCTCTTTTAGCTTCCGCGTCTGCACCTTATTCTCTTCAATGAATCGCTTGTTGATGAACTTCGTGGTGGCTCCGCTGTCCACCATAGCGATTATGTCTTTATGCCGTCTTTTCCCTTGAAGTCGTACTGGGATGTGAAAATGTTGGGACCCCTGGTCCAATTCGTACACCATGGCAGTAGACAATACATTATACTTGTTACAAGATGATACTCGCGGCCCGACGCGTGCGGCACGAAGCGCGGACCGGATCAAAAACCCTCCTCCTTCATTGCCCGATAATGCTCGAGCTCCTCGCGCATCGACTTCACCTGTGCCATTAAGTCCGCCAGCTCCGATTGCTCGGATTTCGCTGAAGCGGCACTTATACTTGCCGAGGGTGTTGTCATGACAGGGGCGCTTGTCGCAGCCTGGGTGGAGCCCGAGGCAACCGTAGCCCGCGCGTCGGCGCGTTTTGTGTAAGGTTTGTCCTTACAATTGGGGCACTCGAATCATCGGTACCCTTGCTTCCCACAGCCGAAGCATGTGCCAGGGAAGTTGCCTTTTCCGATGGCCGCATTGATGCTGGCCGAAGCTGCGTGCATCGAGGGTGCACCACCACGTGCCCCTCCGCGTCCTCGACCTCGGGCCGAGAAGAAGTTGTTTAGCTCGGGCCTACGGGCCCGGCTGATATCGAGGATCTGCTCGACCTCAGTGGCACGCTTCTCAGCTGCTTGCCACGTGGCGAAGGTCTCGAGCTCGATTTTGTGGTAGACACGGGAGGGGATGCCGCTCAGGTACTTGTCGCGTAGCTCCAGGTCCCCATACCCAGAGCGGTCCGCCGGACCTTTGAACAGCGCGGAGAACTCCGCGGCGGTGCGTTTTTCACAGACCGACTTGTCCGCGCAGAGCTTCGCCAGCTCTACTTGTGCTGCTGCCTCGTCGTTGAGATTTCCGAAGCGGGCCCTGAAGGCGGCGGCAAAGGCTGCTTCGTTCGCGAATGGGGTTGTGGCCCCTTGCACACCCACCTGCACTGATGCGAGCTGGGCAAAGTAGGGAGTGGCCCAGGCGCGGGCATCTCCATCGAGTAGGCTGAGTGCGACCTGCACCTTAAGCTCGATGGTGGTCAACGACGTGTTGACCAGCCAGTAGATGCGCAGCTGCGATAGGAACCGGTTGCACTCGATAACGGTTTTGCCGTCGTATCGGAGGGGGAGGAGGAGCTTCAACGTCTCCTTGTCGGGGACGGCTGCGGGGGACGACATTATCGGCGTTGGGGGGGACGGAGGACGTTGCGGGGGCGGAGGCGGCTGTGGTGGCCCTCCGCTGGTCGAACTTCGAGAGGAGCGAGTGCTCGAGCGGCCTCTTGGCGGAGTCGGCGGTGAAGGCGCCGAAGAAAGTTCGGAGGAGGGGTTACGTACGTCAGGGACTGCTGACGTGGGGGCGAGCGCTGTCGGCGAGGCGGGCCCCGAGCAGGATCCGCGGACTCGGACTCCGAGACTCCTTCTTCACTCGCACTCTCCTCAGGCTCAGGCTCTGGCGCAGGATCTGGAGGGAGATCTCCTCGCGCTTGACCTGGATCGGCGACGACAGTTTGAGGGAGACGGGAGCTGGGGGAGACAGGGCGAGAATGCCGCGAGGCAGATCGAGACGCGAGGGTGCTGCGGGGACCGAGGGGGTGTTGAGCCCGTCGGATTGCTTTGTAGCGAGGGTAATCCTCCTCGATCGATCGGGGTGTCCGATTGGGGCACGGCTGCTGCTCGCAACGATAGAGGATAGTCTCAGGGCCATCTGGGATGTAGACGTCGATGAGATCCTGGGAGTCGAATGCGTGGATCTGGCCCTGACAAGCAGCCACGGTGGATGGGGGGAGGACGGGGAGGTGCGCGTACTACAATGGCCGTGCTACACTAGCTTACGCTACGGCGCCCGAGAAGACACTAGGGTTCGCAGTTCACGTGGGGCCCAGTACTGCTTTTGACTATTATGCAGCAGGAACCTAGTCCACGCGTCCGTGAGGACAAATACCGCCCACTGAAGTGCAGGTATTGAAGAGTTCGTTCCCTGAGTGTTGGCGATGTATGTACGCTATCTACGTATTGTAATGTACCGTAGGGGTGCGCACCACCCGACCTATGGGAAAGGAAAGTGTGAGTGTGTGGGTTCCGAGAGAGAACGCCGGTTGCTTGGGGAGTTTCGACCTAATGTCGCGACTTGAGGTCAAGTGACAGGGGAATACCTAAAAGCAAGGGGCGTCTGACTGGTTCTCACCGAAGCGATGGTGAGCGAGGCTCAAACCTAAGGCTAGGGACAAGTAAGTTAGCATTAGAAAGGTAAGTAAGTACATGAGCTTACTGACCTAGGGACAAGAGGTCGAAACTGAGGTCCCTAGGGCAGCAGAGGCCGGCTTATATACAGGGGAGATTAAGGGCAGGCTGTGCGCGCTGGTCCGTGCACAGCTGGTCCGTGCACAGCATGCCGACGCGGCCCCAGGGGCCGGTGAGTCAGAGCGGCTGTGTCAGCGGAGCCCGAGCTGTGCCGTGCGCTGCCGCCCCATCTAATCTAATCGTACAGTAGATAACGACATGTCCATATCCGGCAGGTAGTACAGAGGTCGCGGGTTCGAGCCCGCGAAAAGGAAAAATTAAAAAACGGCTAGACGCCATACCAACTCGTGACAGACCAGCTGCGCACGGACCAGCGCGCACAGCCTCCCCTAAACATCCCCTGTATATAAGCCGGCCTCTGCTGCCCTAGGGACCTCAGTTTCAACCTCTTGTCCCTAGGTCAGTAAGCATCCTTTGTATTCCTTTTCTTACCTTACTAACTAATACATTTACTTGTCCCTAGCCTTAGGTTTGAGCATTGCTCACCATCGCTTCAGTAAGAACCAGTCGAACACCCCCAGCTTTCAGGTTTTCCTCTGTCGCTCGACCTCAAGTCGCGACAACCGCTCATTTTATGTTGATGTTCTCATAGCACAGGCAACACAAATGTTGAATCCTGACAGGTGAGAGAACATGCTCGCTGCCATCTCTGCAAAAGCGCCTGGTCGTCACGGCCTTTGCGTGAGCGCTGTGCAAGAAACTCAATTGACTCGGCCAATGCATCAATTGCTTGTTTCCCTCGCGGGTGAGCAAGACCGCACCGAGCAGTCCAGGTAGTTGCTCAGTGCTCTGGTGTAGCATCGTCTGGGAGCAGGAATATCCAGTGAAGATGTTGCCATGGTTGATTCCATGAGGAGTGCACACGCTAGGCTGAGGTACTTGAAATAATCCAGAGTTACGTCGACACTGCCTTGATCGACCGTGTGTGTGTCTGATAGGCGCCCATCAAGAGCGGCAGCGAGCGGCCTGTGTGCGGCGGGACGGCGAAGCGCCCTGGGGTGCGCCAAGTTTATATATGACGCTCACTGCCTTCGCCCTGCGGCGTCGTTGTCCTCGTTGTTCCCCCTCTCTCCTCGTTGTTCCCCCTCTCTCCTCGTCGTTCCCCCTCTCTCCTCGTCGTTCCCCCTCTCTCCTCGTCGTTCCCCCTCTCTCCTCATCGTTCCCCGCCCCCGCCCCTCACGGTGACCGTGGCTCCTGAGTCGACCTGCTACTCCGCCCCGTGCCGGCCTCGGTTCTTCCTGATTGGCTCCTCGCGTCCGAGTCCATGCCGTCTTCCTATTGGCGGCCGTGGTGGAATGGCCCGCACGTCGTCCGCGTCGTCATCCGCATTCTGAGGCTACCGTTTCTGCTTCCATTTATATCCTTCCTCGTTATCACCGACGTCCTCGAGGGCCGCTGGTGCGCCAAGTTCGGCCGCAAGGACATCTGGCAGCCCGCATTTCCGCTCTCGTTCCGGCTTTGGTCTATAGCCCTCCTAGCGGCCACCATCAATGCTGGGATTTGGCTGTGCTGGATGCTCGTGTGGGAGGCGGTCGTGTGGTGCTTGAAAAGACGAAATTCGCGGGGCTGGCGCTCTCCGCGTCAGAACGGAAACCCGAGATATTCGGACGACGAGGGCGAAGGCCAGTACATCCTGCTCCCGGACGGGGAGCGCCCCTCAATGTCAAGCCCGCCAATGTCTCCGACGCGTCGCTCGCGGATACGACGCGCGTGGAACATGCAGGACATCTGGTGGTGGGCGCAGGTCGTTTTATACGCGTCCATTGCGCTTGTAGGCGTGTGGGAGACCAAGCACTACGAGCATCCAAACGATGTCCGCTTCTGACCTGCGCTTCAGCGCGCCCTGTCGGACCGACATCCAAGTCCTGAAGGATGTGGCAAAGGAGGTTCGTGGTGTCCTTTCGTATTCTTTCCGCAGATAACACACTTCGTCATTTTCTTGGTCTCGTGTTCCACGCATACATCCTGCATGGCTCTTTGGACCACGCATATATGATTCTCGAATCGCTGTCCTGACAAAAGCAAGCCATTGGGTCTTTTGTTTTTGTCGTGTGACTGCGCAACTACCACTTTATGAGATTGTCAAAGTGGGTTTTCTAAAAGTACTACATCATCGTGCTTGGCAGGTCTTGTCTTACATATTAGTTCACGGGATTCGGACGTGATTTGGGCCTAACAGAGCGGTCTGCGACGACTCATTGACTCCCCAACGTTCTTCGTTTGGAGAGTCAAGATGTTTTCATGAGATGGCATACCCTTCGAGCCATTAGGTTTTCTAATCAAACTGACTGGTCGACGGTTTATGCCGAACTCTCGGTCGAGACACAGCTTTTGTACGTGGAATCGATGTTTGCACGCAGTGTTGATACGAAGATATTTGGACGCATATATGCGCATTTCCCATTGCAACACTCTAATAGTACTGTCGCGGGCATGTATCATATTTGACTAACCACACGTCCCGCAGAGAAGATCTTCATCGCGGCTTCTTTCTTCAACAACCAAGATGTCCTTCCCTACTGGACGTCGACTCTGCTTGCTGTTATCACGTACCTCGGGCCCGCAAACGTCTTCGTCTCGATCGTCGAGTCACACTCGTCCGACAATACACCCGCGCTTCTGACCACACTCGCAGATACCCTTGCAGCGCGCGGCGTGCCGCACCAGGTGCTTGTGCATGACGACGCCGCGGTGCCGAAGCCGGATGACCTCTCCTTCAACAACCGCATCGAGTTCCTCGCCCGTACGCGCAACCGCGCGCTCGAGCCGCTCGTGCGCACCGGCGGCTACGCTCGCGTGCTGTTCTCGAATGACGTGTTAGTCGAGCCGGAGAGCGTCCTCGAGCTGCTCGATACGCATGATGGCGAGTACGACATGGCATGTGCGATGGACTTTGGCCATTTCGGGTGAGTGCGGATTTGGCGAGGGGGGCGATGTGGGCTTGGGCTTATGAGCGTGTTGCAGCGCATATGATGCGTGGGTTTTGCGCGATCGCCTCGGACACCTGACAAGTTCTATGTGAGTCCTTCAGGCTATCCCAGGATGCTTGAGAGCTGATCTGCTTGGCAGCTGGCCCTACTTTATTGATGCCCCCTCCATTGATTTGATGCGCAAAGATGCGCCGGTTCCCGTTTTCTCCTGCTGGAATGGCATGGTCGTCTTCGACGCAGACCCGCTCCTCCCCATTCACCTGCGCTCCAACCGCACGCTCTCCCGCGATCCGCTCCCGTCGCCGCTCCCGCCCACGCACCCCGCAGCACACGACGCATCGCTGCGCGGACCCTCGCCCGCGCTGACGCCGCCAATCGCGTTCCGCTGGGCGCAGCGCGAGCTGGGCGAGTGCTTCTCGAGCGAGTCGTTCCTGCTGCCGTACGACCTGCGGGTGTTAGGCATTTCCGGCTCGTTGTTCTTGCTTGGACTACCGTATACCACTAGTTTGATGCGAAAGCAGCTATTGTATTAGACTCCTGTCATGATCAACTTGGGCGGACTGCATTTGACGCGTACTTGACGTGCGGTAGGGTCGCAATATTGGTAGACAGAATATAGAAGTAGGTTTCTCTTCCGTCGCGTGAGATGGCGGCATAGAATACGTTGAAGGAGCGCCATGTGGCGCGCCAGGTCCCCTTTTGCAAGCGACCTTGTTTTCTGACCACTCTGACGGTGAGGCCACTGGATAACAGTCACTCGCACACAAGACGAGCGTCGCCGTACTTACGGGTGCCCGTGATTCAATAACCTTCTCGTGTGTATCATCATAGATAAATAATAGCATTCGAAACCAAACGAGCACGTCGACTATACATACGGGAAACGAGGTGATTCATAAATACCACCATCTACTCGGCAATATCAGTGATGATACAAGGGAACGGAGTCAAAAGTGCTTGCAAACAAACCAACATCCACATCATGTCCAATCGCAAAGCCCAGCACCGGCGTGGAACAAGTTTCGCCGCCGGAGTGCTAATCTTACTCAAATATGGTGCCCATAGAGGAGCTCATAGTGCGTGTCCCGTGCGTCGTTTTGGATTTCTTGCTTGAGCGAGTTGATTCGCCCGACGATTGCGATGGTCGCTTCTGACTCTTCGTGCTTTGTTGCGTGGCTGATTCTGTGGCTGGCGTGAACTGAGGTTTGTCCACCTTATCGTTTGTGATTTGCGTATTGCTGTTCTTCTCCATATCTTTGATAACTTCCTTGAATGCTTCCCAGATCCAGAAATGCTCCTGTAGTTTAGGCTTGGTACTGGTATCGAGCAGCGGCAGTGCATCTCCTTTGTGAGAACTGTCGGCGTCTCCTTCGATTCCTGGATGTTCCATAAGATCGTAGTCGCGAACGGACATTTCCCACTCGACTGGGGCTGCTGGGGACTGCGATTCGAATTTCTTGCCCTTTTCTATCTTGATGTCTTCAAGCTTTGCTCTCTGCTCCTTCGTAGACGATGCGTTGTAATGCTCTTTGCATATTTCTGCCAGTTTATCGGTCAGCGACTTCAGAGGCTCGGACGACAGCTTGGCGAACGGCAATGCCCCCAAAAGCATGTTGTTGTATTTGTGAATTCCGCCCGTGTCATAGTCCACAAAGGTCTCGAATTCGTCGTAGGTCCTGGACACAAGGCTACGGAGCTCACTTGGAAGGCCGGACAGACTGTGCTTGTACCACATGAGAATTGTCCAGTGGAGGACGTGGACAAACGACTCGAGGTCGTCCGATACCTGGCGCAGCTTCATAGGATACTGCAGGAGCATGGCTGAGCTGAACTGCCACGTTCCCTGTGGCATAAAATTAGTCAGTTCTTAAGTAATGAGGCGCGAATAAGCAGACATGGATCTCACCGAATGAGCAGGATGGTTCGATCCTATTTTCAGTTGGGCTTGGTACTTGCACAAGTCCCAGTCAATGAGGATGCCCTCAACTTGTCCGACTTTGGGCCCAGTACGCTTGACCATGATATTGGCCCTACTGATGTCACAGTGTAGGATGTTGGCTTTGGTCCAAGCTAGATAATGCGCTTAAGAACCAACAAATATTAGCCGGTCAACTCCGGATACAGTTCTCATAAACACACTTGCCTTTTATCGCGTCGCTCAAAACGAGAATGAGCTCATACGAACACCTGCAGTTATCCAGTGGTTCGTAAACCTCATCAGTGATCAGACGGAAATGGATGCGTGCTCTCGTATCCTTTCCGTGCACGGTGTCCCCATATTTCTGCGTTACCGTCCGGTGGATCTTGTCGCCGTTCTTGACTATCCCACCGCTGACGGGTGTGGCAATGTACTTCACCCCTTTCTGCCACAGATCCTTGTAAACAGTGCGCTCTGTGGTCCGCAGTGGCGAATCAAGCGGCCACGAATCCCTCATGAAGACCAGTCGCTTTCCACGCATATCGAATGCCACATATCCGATCGTCGAACGACCCGTCGGCGAATTGCTCATGCTCAGAGGTCTTCCGATTAGCAGCGTCAGATCCTCTGCAGGAATGTCCGAACCTGATTGCGATGAATCCTTGGGCGCACCAGCCTTGTTGACTTGACGCCCAAGTTCTGCGGCCGAGAAGAGGTCTTCGCGGGGGATCGTCACTTTGTAGATTGGCCATTTCGTTTCCATCGCCTCCTTGAAGCGCTCCGTGTGATAGTCCGACAGCCTGCCGTCCTCCACCATGCCAACTTTCCACGCTATCATCTCGTCGATGTCGTGGCGCGGCGCTGCAACAACGCTCGTGTCAAATCCACGCTCTTCTTGCGTCATCGTCATGTAGTTATACAAGAACGTGACCATAATCGACGGGTCCTCGACGAATTCGAATGCTTCGGAAACGATGGCCCCAGCTCTATCCCATCGGAGTATACGTGCGTAGCAGCCCGCGATGACCACCATGAAGCAAAATTGCCGAGGCTGGCTCCGCATCAGATGCATCGCATAGTCGCTGAGCTGGCCCCTCGATTCGATGGCGCCCTTTGTTTGGAGAAGGAAGTTATTCTTCTCTGCTTGCGGACTGGGTGCCGCGCCATCGCATTCCTTGTCAGAAGTCCCCGACGCCTTTGTCGACTTGTCAGAAGTCCCCGACGCCTTTGTCGACTTGTCAGAGGTCCCCGACGCCTTTGTCGACTTGTCAGAGGTCCCCGACGCCTTTGTCGACTTGTCAGAAGTCCCCGACGCCTTTGTCGACTTGTCAGAAGTCCCCGACGCCTTTGTCGACTTGTCAGTGCTCGCTGGACGGAATGAGAACGGGAGTTTCTCTGATTTGGCGCTCTTGCACTCGATGACCAAGGAGACCCGATGCCAGGATGTAGCCGCCTTGAATGGCGTTTGCGCCTGCTCCGTATTTGCCGTGTCCTTCTTTGCCTTCTTCGCGGGCTGACATATCGCAGAAGCCTTATCTTGTTCTGGCAACATCGAGATATCTGGTTTCTTCATGCTGCCATTGCCGCCAATGCTGGTGTCTGGATTCGCGCCCGTATCCTTCGCCACAAGCTTGAACTCCAATGCGCCGCCCTCTGAACAGAGATCTGAAACGGCTTGTAGGAACACACACTAGACCAAACGTCAGCGATGAAGAACGATACCGAAGACATTTCACCACTTACGAGATCATTGTACATATGCCGCTCTTGCACCGTGAAATTGTCCTTGTTGAGCGTGATTTCGGCGAGTTTAGCTTTAATTTCGGCCGTGGGCTCTTTTCCACGAACGTAACGCCGTAACAAATCCGAAACTGGCATCTGTACCATTATGTCCTTCATCTCCTTACTCAGTCTTTTCCGCCAGGCGTTCAGAGCTTCTCCCTCTATGCCTTGCACAGCCAAAATCTGTTGTGCGGAAGCCTTGGCTGACCCAGGGGTAGAGCCCTGCAGTTTGTCCAAAGTACGGGGCCTTTGAAACGGAGTTGTGGGTTCTTCAACACAATCAGTGCCAGTGTACGGGACTGTCGGGGGGGGAGGATGTAATTCGTCGCCAGGAGTAGAAATATGAGGAACGAGGTTACTAGGAGATGCGGGGCCGCTAGTCTGGGATGTCGAAAGAGAATCAGCCATGACGAATAGAGGCGTTGTATGTGGACTCACGGTGTCTGAGAGTACCTATTAATATAGGAAACCAAGATACCTTCCAGCCAACAGGTGTATGCTGTGCGAGCCATCCGATATGGGAAGAGAGAACAAACGAGATGCGTCGATCAGCCCCACCTCTCGGACCGTCCTGAGGCACCCACTCACCACGCCTCCGAGGGTTGATATTCAATCAGTGTTCTGATACGACAATTCCCTTTAGATCAGCCAATCGTGCCGCTCGATTCCCGATGAGGGTGCCTTCCAGGCGGCCGTGAAGTCAGAGACGTGGCGTTGGCGCGCAAGAGAACCGTTGGCCATACAAGCCTGCTTACCAGTACTGAGTTAACGCGTGTGTTGGAGAACGCGTGCCCTTGTTCGATTCCGCTTATTGGTTCCTGTCGTTCGACTGCTGCTAAGATGTTGTGGCGAAGTTCGCGAGCTCCGCGTCCAACCACAGCTCACGTGGCCGTGACTGTGTAGCAGCCAATCATGGCGCCTCCCTTGTGTCGCTGCGCCTGCTGTAGATACGCACACAAAAGGTCCTCTCCGCGCCAGCTTTCATCAAGAAGACACACTTAATGATCCATTTTAGACGTATTCAGAAACAGCATAAATACAGTTCTCTGGAACTGTGGAGTCGACGCCATTTCATAAGTACTAACTTCTGATCAGCCAGCATACAATACCCGGAGGAAAAGATAGTGATCTAAGCGTCAGTCAAAAACACTGACCCTGTCGAACGGTGTTCGGAGCATGTCTGGGCTTCCGATAATGGGTCCGGGGCACAAGCAGGCTAGACCCGGCGGATCCAGCTTGAGTCCACGATCGGCGATATTTCAGCCTCACGAGAATGTCAACCCCGGCGCGCCGTATTTTCGTACGCTGCCCTCAGGAAGGTGGTGATGCCGGCATTCCCGTCGACCTACACCGGCCGCTTCAGCAGCTCATCTTCAACACCATCTTTGCGAGCCTTAGAGGAGTCTGAGGAGGAATAAACAGGGTACGTACCTTTCTGCCTGACGCTACAAAAGAAAAAAGAAAAGGAACTTGTATCATGTCCGTGAATGTATCATGTCCGTGAACCGACGTTCGCCAACGGCGTCGTGTGATCGGCGAGCCGTTCTCGATGCTGCAGTTCCATATCCGACGATCGCCGCTGACCCTGGTTATTTGTCGCCGAAGCTCCCTCTCTGCCACTGACCTCGTCGCCGGTGCTCGCTCCCTATCACCGGACTTCATCTTTATCGATCGTCGACGCTCGTCTCTACCACGATGTGAAGGCATAACTGGGCAAGATCAAATGCGAAGTTGGGAGCGGCGCCAAAATATATCGGGGGCGATCACCCGCAAACTGTCGGCATTAGTCGTCAGAGCTGAAGCAGATTGAATTCGATAGTAGCCCGTGGACAATTCTCCAAATCTTTGCGGGAAGCAGCTGATGCACGATACACTGCCATGCAGGTTGGGTGTGGCCTCCGCGCTGCACCAACACCTGTCGGTAGGTTGTGTGCTTTGAATCTCAGACCGCCCCTGCCCGTGAGTGTCTCCGCCTCGAAACAACACAGGACCGCCGACCTCAAGCAAGAAGCGGAAGCTCGATGGCAGATATCTCGCCGCTACGCAAAAACGCGCAGAATCGACCCGACCCTCTCGAAGAACCAAACAAGCATCCTTATCCAATTGCGGACCGGACATGCACCGCTTCAACAGCACCTATTTCGCCTGCGCAAGGCCGAGTCGGCCATGTGCCCTACATGCGGCACCAACGAGGAGACGGTGATCCACTACCTCCTACACTGTCCGACATGGAAACGAGCCCGCGCTCCGCTACGACGAGCTCTCCCTGCGTTCAGGACACTCCTTCGAATCCTCCTCAGCAGCCCCGAAGCTCTCCCGACTCTATTCGGCTACATCAAGGCAACCGGCCGGACGACCGAACCAGAATGCGTCCCGAGCAGCACAGGCACAGGGATAGCCTACCGAGTGCAATACAATACCCGAATCCTACAGGCCCTACTCCCATCCCCCTTCTTCCGCATTCCCCTACCCATTCTGCTCCCTCCTTCCGCCTAACATTTACTTTACTTTACTGTATACACTATAATACCTACCTATTGCATTATAGTTATTCACCCTCGCGCCCACGCTCCCTTTCCTCACCCTCACACGGTTCCTCACTTCGACAGTACAGTACTGCACCAATCACGCACCCACTGACCTCATCCCCCATGTGACAGACCGCTCGCGCAACCCCTAACGATGCACGAAGATAGCCCAAGATAGATTACTCCCTAGCGCTCTTATGTACATGCATGTAGTATCCGGCATAGGGCAGCGCCCTCCAGCGGATATTTTAAAAAAATCTCAGACTGCGTTGCACACATGTTCCCGGGGCACGATTACTGGGTCCCATTGTGATCTCTGGGGCGTATACATGCCACTCCTTCGCACAATCCGTGAAACACTGCATGGCGAAACACGCTAAGATGCAAAGTGAGCAGCATCACAGGAAAAGGAGTGCACGTCATACCAGTCCCTCTGTAGTGCCCATACGACTTTCTGTGGGGCATTCGACAGCCTAAAGCTCTTGCGAGTCATGTCTTTGCAAGCGAGTAAAGCCTGCGAGTGAACATGAAAAGCGATGTACTTTACGATAGTACGTTGATCACGCTTGACACCTACCGGGCATTATCTCAGTTTACGGTCTTCACCTGGAGCTGCCCCGTATGTCGTGTTATTATTTGCGGGCGATCTGCTCGCTTGAAAGACACGAGCTAGACCATGGCCTGCACTCTCGACTCATTCATCAGTATAAATGTGGCCCTTCATGCGGGGCTCTAGCTTTGCAAGTATGTAGAACCGGGGACCGTCCATCCCCCGTCGCGGAAGATGTATAGCGTGTCGACAGCTTGATGTCGACAGCTCTATGTCTTCGCGCAACATTTCCCCCACGCACCGTGCATGAAAGCGGCCTACCCTATCAGAATACGGCTTGACACTGAATCGGGTACAGCACTCACTTGCACCACAGCCTTACGAGGCAAATGAACGTAACGTTCGCCGAGGGTGTGGCATCCGCGCCAGCACGTATCCATCGCACGCGACCTCGTCCCGCCGCAAGGGTGCCAGTATCTCCGCGGCCGCGCACACGCATCGCCGACAGAGAAGAACGACATTGGTATTAAATTGTGTCCGCAGATCAGATACAAAAGAAATTGACTTCGCGCCAGACGTCCCGCACGGAGCAACCGGTGCACCCGCCTTCCATTCCCCGTCTCGCCGGACCGCACGTCCATCAACACCCAGCAGTTGCCCACGCGTCGGGCAGAGCGGCAATGACGCTAACGTCGCCGACCACCCATCGCGCCCGCGATGCGTTCGTCGCCACAGTCGATTGCGCCACATATCTTCCAGAGGTCTAATGAAACATAACACTTTCTTCTTCGCGAGAGTTTTTTCGTTCCACGCAAAAAGAGACTAGAGACTACGCCTGCAACTTCCAAGACGGTCGCTGGTCGCGCTATTAACACGACGAGGAGAACGTTTCGTGGGCCGTGCCCGGCGTGACAGTCAAAGGGACACGCTACAGATGTACTTAAAACATTCTGCAGAATAATGCACTCTCATCTTTGACTTAATTATTACTCGATTTGAGAGTCCTTTGTGCAGATTCTAGCGCAACTAGAACCCTGAGACCTGCTCAGTTTAACCAGGACGAGCAAGGCCTTCCGCAGTTTTCTCATGGCCGTTCGTTCCTTAGCTTTTCTATGGAGAGCTGCGTGGAGGGACGTTGAAGGCTTGTCTTATCTAAAAGGGAGCGATCTTCATGATCCATAGCCTATCCATTGTTTAAAAAATGATTACAATACGGCGCGAGCCGCTAATAAACTAAGCACTGTCCGCTGCGGAGACCTTACACGTTCAGAAATGGAACAGACCCCGTTTCTTCTTCTTCTCTTCCTTGTTGCTCGCCGTACTGTTAACAGACACCGTTGAGCCCGCGAACGACGGAACCGATGACTTGTGCAGCCGGCCCTGTTCTGGCCGCGCGTTGGCCGCAGGTGCAGGTGCAGCGCGTTGCGGTGGGGGTGCATCCCGGGTATAATACTTCTCGTCGTAGAAGGCTTGCAGCGGCCGCTGGCCTTTGCCATCGTTTAGGCCATTGGGCATTGCGCGTGAGCCTATACCACCAAGTTCGAGTACCTTCAGGTCGTCGATGAAATGTGCGGGTGTAATGGCGTGCGTCGAGCCTGTGCAAGAATTTCTCGTCAATCCCATTCCAAATTGTATAGTCATGGGAAGGGCAAACCGATGATGATGTCCTTGTTCAAGGACTTCGACATGACATACGCATCTCGCATCTCGGAATACGTCATGCCACCAGCGACGAAAACAAAAACGCGTTGCCGGACCTCCTCACGCGCACCACCTGCCTTGGGAGCGCGATGCCAACTGGGCTTTGCGCTTCGCAAGGAGGTTGCCGGCTGTATGACTGGTGATGCAGGCGATCGCAAGCTGTTGGCAGGTGCTAGTGACGGCGCTTCCTTAACGTAGGGAAAGAGCGTGGGGTCCAACCGGTTTTTGACGTGGTCCTGAAGCACGTATCGCAGTTTGCACTGGGATGAATTGCGTATCGATGGCTTACCTCGACAACCGTCTGCAGCAGAGGCTTGAAACGTGACAGCTCGTATTCTTCTTCGCTCGGCGGCTTCTGTCGTAGCCTTTTCTTCGTGTCTTTGTCGCCGGGACCCTGGAACAAGCACCATGAGCCTGACTTGACAAGAGTACTGCTCTAAACCTACTCTGCTTATTCGGACACCGAAGTGAACCAGCGCATTGACCGCATCTTGCTCGGCGTGTGACAGCCGCGCGTGTTGGTACAATCTTCGCCGATCCTCGTCGGGAACGCCGTCACGGAACTGAATATACAGCGCGATGATGCGTACTTTGTTCATGTTCCTAGAAATAGAACATGATTCATATGGTCGCCCTGTGAACACGAGGCCTCTGCACTCACACGACTTCTCGGCTGTCCAGGAGAGGAACCATTTGTTCTACGAGTGTCTTGGGAGTCTTGCCTTCGGCTGTAAGGCCAGTCGCGCAGTTCTGTGATGGGATTCCGTTTAGACTTGATCGACACACGGCCAGTTATGACGTCATACCTGCTCAACAGTCGCAACAGTAGGTAATTTGTCGTGCTCAAAGATGCCCATACATTCTTGAGCCATGTTCAAATGTAGCGAGAACTATGTAAAATCGGCATAAGTTTTAAGACAAATCAAATGGAGTGGATTGCACCTTTTCTCGCTGTTCTTGATACTGTGGTAGGTTCGCCAACATGTCTTTCATGTCGTTCAGGTTCGCCGCACCCTCTCTATGGCCGTGATCAATATTGCTACCTATCGGGTACAATCAGAGGCTCCACCTACCCCTTGAAGCCAGCATTGTCCTGCATGAACTGGTTGAAATCCGCCATGAGCTTGTCGATCGCCTCGCGCATGTGCATGTGCCGCACGGCTGTCCACACGCTATCTGCGTCCGACAACGTCGCCGTCTTGTCCTCAAATGTGCCCTGTGTAGACTGGAACTTGTACCTGTGGAGACATCGTGAGATACCTATGATTGGTTCCCGCTCGTAGAAGTACGCACGTATATTTGGTGCCGTCTTCGATCGGAAGCAGATCGTTCGCCATAGCCTGGTATGTGAACTCGTGCACGAACGGTGCGAGGGTATCCATAGACCGATCAGTGATGATCATGGTGGAGCGCGGCCGTGGTGGATCGGACGCTTTCTGCACGGCGATCCAATTCAATTACAAGACGCGTATTTGGCAGAAACGCCTCACGCACCGGAAAATCGGGATTCGCCTTCTTGTACTCGTCCAGGTCGCGCTGTACCATAAATGCGAGCACCTTCGAGACAAAGTCGGTGTCTGCGTTCTCGTACGCCCGTGCCTCGGCACCACGCGCGAGCTGCGTCCGCCATCGACCGCTGTTCTCAGGCGGTGGCGGCGCACGAGTCGAAGCGTGCGGCTTAAAGGCACCCAGCGGCGCGTGATGTGTTGGGAGATAGTATCGGATGTACGGAAACTCGTTCATGGTAATGCATACATTGGTGATCTGCGTGGGCGGGGCATCAAAACATCTCACGAATACACTGATGATCAACCTACCATCTTGCTCACGAAGCGCAATTCCTCCTCCAGCCGGTCGCGTGCCATACGGACAGCGCTGTCACTACGGGGTGGACTGTACATGTTGAAGAATGAGCCGGGAAGCTTGAGTGAGAACGTCTGTGCCTCCACGGCTGCGGAACAAGCGACATTGTAAGTTACAAACGGCACAGCCATAGAGCAACCGAGCTACCCCAGAAGTTGACGAAGAGCTCCTGCAGGGTCTTTAAGTGCGGCTCAGCCGGCGATGATGTGATGCGTTCGAACAGCTGCTCGTCCAGTCCTTGAGGCATACGGTCAGTGTATGCGCGCCTGGGTTACTGGCTCAATATACCGTCGACAAAGAACAAATGCGCTCCAGCATATTGCTGGTTCCCGTTTGAGAAGTCGCGTATAATGCGATCGACATTCTGTGAGGTTGACATGAGCAGGTACATCGCCTCGAACCCGGGCTGAGGCTCGCGATAATTCGTGATCGATTCGATGACTATGAGGTGTCAGTACACCGCGACGCGTTACGAATGTGGTAGACGTACGGGTGACATTCTCCTCGAGGATATCATACTGTTTCAGCACCGAACCCAGCAGCTGCTGCGAATGCTCGTCCACGACCAAGATCTTCCATCTCCCAGGAGGATTCACGGACCTGATCGCGTCCAGAAACTCTGAGGGTAAGATAATTTGAGCACCTCACATAGGGTATCTCTGAACGGTGTTAACGTACTGGAGCGAACGGCGTTAATGAGGGAGGTCATGGCGGTCGTTGCGAGAGTGTCGTCGCGGAGTGCACTAGACGCCCAAGGGTTCAACCCGACGCTCATCAGCTCTTCCGTGTACTCAAGTTTCAATTCTCTGTTTCATCTGCCTATGATCCACTTCGCGGTCTTTCGGTCACCCTTGTATCTTGTCCATCTTATATACGACTTCTCTCAGCTTGAGTGCTGCGTCCCACCTTGGCAGAACGAAATCCTGGTCGATTGTCAGGTTGACCGGAGCTTTTCTGAGACTGGGCCACTTGCTTGAAGCCCAAACCGCATCAAACGATGCCCTGCCACTGTGTGTTTGCTTGCCGTATACTTGTTTCACCTAGGAGCCCTCGGGCAACGCGTAACTGAATGAGGAACGAACGTGTCATTTGTCGTCGCAGTGCATTGACCCTACCGCCGCTGCTTCTGGTAAAGCCGAGGTTCACAGAGCGCTCCTACTGGACAAACTGGATAAGACGGTTCAGGCGATCCCCCCGCCATTCTCTTTATGGCGATCTACACACAGGAATGGCGTTCACTATCCGACTGTGTCAACTCGGTATCCTTGGTATGTCGTTCGTTTTGCAGATATTCTTGTTCACTAGATTACGATTGCAGGGACCAGCAACCTTCTTGGAAGTTGCAGGCGCGGTACCCGTTGCTCCATGCGTGGCATGGCCATCTCTGTCACTGGAGAAAGCCTGCACTCATGCAAGCTATATGGCATGACAGAATATCATGTCAACAAATAGGCTCGAAACACGCTATCGCTCAAGCACACTTCATTGATAGATTCAAGCTAGGTGCTATAGATTTTCGCGATCCCCAGCGGCCTTTATGAGCCATCTGTGACGAGTGAAATCAGTAATGGAATGTGCCCAAGAGCGTTCTATAGGTTGCTTTGCTGCCTTGGAGGTAGTGAAAGCTAGGCGTTCTGATATGCATGCGTAGCAGAACGAACACAACATGCCACCAAGTTGTCTACTGATGCACAATCCATGGTCGGCTGTAGTTACACATCGAGAAATCATACTTAGAGTCTAGCCTTCGGCGGTTTTGCGTCGTGTTGCTTCTGAACCGTGATCGCAGTGTGAAGATCGAAGAGATCTTTGGCTGCACGTTCGATCTCGGTGCAGAACTGGGCATTTGGCATCTCCTTCCGCGAAGTGACGGTGTATTGCAAGAAATCTGTACGTTGTTCAGCAAGCCGTCACAGCGACGGAACCTCTATCCGTTGATGTCCAATGGCAGCATTTGTGATAGTTCACAAATATGCGCACTGGATACTCCGAGCGAAAGGTCCGGAGGTGCGAAGACTCACCGTCAAAGCCAGTCACGTAAGGAACTCCGAAACCATCATGGACGACCTCGCCCCATCCATACGGCCCGAAGTGAGGCGAATTAATGGCAGAGGTGCTGAGTACCCAGTAGCTTGAGCGGGTAATCAGGGGATCGGTGAACATCTCAGGAAGCGGTTCGCCCTCGCGTAGTGATTTCCTAAGACCTGCACGCCCGAGCAAATATTATCAGTGGCCAGTGCGGTACCCACATACCGCTCGGAACACATACCCAGCAGATGCCTGTCGGCACCCTGTCCTTGTCCTGCTGTCTTGGCGCGCTGCACATGCACCCTCGCCGCATTCGCAAACAGTGCCCCCTTCTCCGCGAGACTGGCCTTCGGATCGTCCATGGAGCGCACCCAGTCGAGCGCCTCGGTGCTCACCACCCGGATGACCTCCGTGCGCCCCTTGAAGAAGCGCCGCGTCGACGCCGACTCGTATGTCCCTCCACTGCGGCGCTCCCCCCGTGCGCGCAGCAGTCGCTCGTACGCGAGCTGCACGACCAGCTGCGCCCACGAGTCGGGAGACACGCCGAACGCCTTGATCGCGCGCTTGCCGTACGAGGTACGCACGGCGCCCATCTCCTGGCTCGTCGCGAGGGTATACGCAGCTTTGGCGGCCTCCGCGATCGCAGCGTTGATTTCAGGCGACACGACCCAGTCCAGGGGCTGTGGCGCTTGCTCGGCGTTCGCGGACGGTGGCGTGTCGAAGCCCGGAGAAGCGATCATGTCGAGCACATGGTTGCACATGTTCATGGTCGGCGTGCCGTCCATGATGGAATGTTCACCGACGAAGCCCGCCTTGCCATCGTCACTCACGACGAATTGCAGGGGCTTGTCCATCCACCTGTTGCGGAGCCCTAATTGAGATGGGGAAGGGGTCACGGACGGCGATAGATCCGGTACAGCACCGTGCCATAGAAGCCGGCTGTGCGCAATAAAGTTTGGTGCTGATTCGGTGTCAAGGCACAAAACAAACGCAGCGGAATGGATGTCCCGAAGAACGGAAGTGTTCTCTAGATTGGAAGAGAGTATGTCGTAGTCCTATACTCGGTCACCATGTGTACGTAGGACGTGGGGACAATCCCCGAACGCACCTTAGACCAGGTATCACGATTTGAGGCAGTCAGCAGGCCAACGGCAGGGTGTTCGTCTTGAGTTGTCGTATAAATGTGTTCGATCTGCCTACCAGAGATCCCGCGCTGAGATAGCAGTTCGTGGTAAGAGAGACAAGACGTACCGCTGTATCTCGCTAACGCTAAGGAGCCGGTCGCCCGCCCAAGGATGAAGTTTCCATACACGGCCACGACGGAGGACTACAACGTGTCCCCCGATTCCGTGGTCACCCTCGACTGCGTAACTGACACTCCAGTCCGCGGGCTGCCCTGGGACACGACAACAATCGAACATCCATCTTGGTATTATATTCATCGTTATGATAGGCAATATACGCGTACTGTATCTCTACGCACCTGTAAGTATCCATACATATGGGACCTTCCTTGGTCTTCTCTGGTTCCGCCTGTCCTAGCTTGAGCTGCTGCCGGTATAGCATAGCAGCGCGTATAAGCGAAGCGGCGCGATGAACTGGCGTTTGGGGAAGGTGCACAGGGTGTTCTACGAATCCGTCTGGCATGCGTCAGGACGCATGGCACGCTTAAAGATGGATCGGTGCCCGAAATGCTTACAGTAGTATGATACATTCACTACCACCTGCAGAAGCGATCAGTGCTTCGGTTACATAGTGGTCCACAACGCATGACTTGGCTCACCGAGTCGCGGTAAGTAAAGTATGCCCCATCATCCCACCAGTCTTCAAGCCAGTGCTGTGTCTGCGCCTGCCTCTCCAACAGCCGCCTCTGTAGCTCCTCGCCTTGATTATTCGCGAAGTGATCGACCTTTGCAATGGACTCGTTGTACTCCTTCTCGTTCCAGGCAAGTGGTCGGAGCGACTCCTTGAGTCGCTGGACAGTGTCACCGAGTGCGGGCACCGGCAGTTGCGGCAGCGACTTCTGCGCCGCGAACGCGGGCCCAGGGAGCGGTGCAGGCGCAAGGGTCTTCCAGTTGGTTGGACGCGTTCGCGGTGCTGGGGTCATCGAGGTTAAACGGCGAGCACTGACAGATGACAATCGGGACGAACGAGTGGTTGCGAGCAACATGAGAACGATGCAGACAACGCGCTCGCTGTGTTAGACGGCCAAGATCACCAACCAGGCATCCTCTCTGCCGTCTGGTTACAAAAGCCGGAGGCCCGGGGTGCCTAACATGTGATTGTCGCACCCATGTGATCGTGTCGCGGGTGCATATACCCCGCATTTCGATTTGCCGAAGCCCTGGTTCTTGGCGGGGCAACGCGGGGTTCATTACAGTGTAGCAGCCGAGAATATGTACTGAATCAAGGAGCGTGTGTCTTGTTCTTCCTCGCCGTAGGTCGCTACACTTCTGAGAGGCAGAAGGGGCGCACAGCGATACATGAGGGAAAGGGGAAGAAGGGAAACGATGGCAGGTATGAGACAAATATTCCTTCATATACATACGCTGAAAATGGCATTGAGCAGTCATGACGTCATCAGAGCAATCGAATGTGAGGGTTCGTCATCGACCTCGATACTGTCCAGCGAACAAAAACTGATGATTCGGCGTATTGCGTGTCTGTATATCACTAAACAGAGATAGGCGGCAGTGGCTGTACACAACGTCTAGACTTGAGCTTGAGCAACACGGGACTCAGCGGAGGCACAACTGATCAGTGAAGACGTAGGCGGGGCAAAAGCAAACGCCGAGTGTCGATCTAGATCAACGAATTGTACTTATGATGATCGCCGAGAAACTAATGTTGGCCAGAGCATCCTTGCAAGTTGGCACAAAATCCACGACAAACATTGTATCAATCTCCCTATTACCTGCGAGGGGGTCGGCAACTACAATACTACAACACGTCTCGCCATTCTGAGCCTTAAATATTAGCAAACTTCTCCATCCCACGGCTTGCAGGAATCCCTGAGAAGTTCAAATGATAGTATACCTCGCAATGGATCGCGTTTGAAGGCCACACTGAGGCATTAAACTCCGAGATTGTCTGGCAGAATCGATGAAATCAGTCAAGCACTGCCTCCGCCGGCCGCTTTGCGTACAGAGTTTACAGGGTGCTCCGCACTGCCACAACGCTACATAGGCTGCAACTGGTGGGCGGCTATTCACCTCAGCCTCGATACCCATCCTCATGTCTATTTTGCCACACCAAGGTCAGGCTTCTCTTCCACCAGAGATATGGGACATCATCATCCCCAAGACATCGAGGGCTGGACAGCGTTCCTGTCTCTTCGTTTGCAGATTGTTCTATGGGATAGCAGTGCGAACATTATTCTCTTCTATCTACGTTCATCTCGGCCTCTGCGACTGGCGGTGGGCTTACCGGACTCGTACTCGGGGGGAACGAGTGCAGCTAGAACGCGATAACATCACGCGAGCCAGCGCCCTCCTCGAACACATCGCGCACGATGTGGTCTTTGCGTCATATGTCCGGAAGATGGCGGTGTATGTGTTCATCAACGACGCGGAGGATAAGGTACTTGGAGCGCGACGTGAGCCTATTAGTATCCTGCAAAATGTCACCTTTGTCGGTTTCTAACAGTGTCCCACACAGGATGCTTACTGTCTGCGCTCAAAAGCCTGCACAATCTGACCACGTTCGTGGTTTCCCAATATCGGTCGTTGCTTGATGTGGACCAGGAGTGCATCGATGCACTGGCTTCAGCGCATCCGCCGTTGAGAGAACTTCACTTTCCGTAAGCACCTGATACTTCGCACCTGCCGCAGGATGTATCTTAACATCGCTGGTGACGCTTGCAGCCAAGATGGACCCATGAATATGTCACTGGGGGACCTGCGTTTGGATGCATTCGACCGTTTGGAGTCTGTTACTTTGCATCTCGAGGCCGGCTACAGACTCGACGACTTCATCGGATACGATAGAGAGAAAGACTTCCTCTGCGCTCTTACAAGCGCCCGCCGTGATACGCTCCGGTGTCTGAAAATCGGCGGGAACCTCGGTCTTGATTGCCCCGACGCTCTTGCGCAGGTTCTCCATCTGAGGGATCTCGAGTTACAGTATTCCGAAGGCGTGGACGAAGTAGAGACTGTCATCCAGCGCTGTCCCAACCTGCATTCCTTTGGCCTTGCATCGTACACCGGCGACCATGAGAACATCATGCAGGTGTTCGCGCGTAACAGCTCGGCCCTGCCTCATCTCACATCTTTGCGACACACGGGGTACGTTTCGCTGCGTGAGAACACGTTTAGCCTGGACGGGCTGGTCGAGTTCGTGAGGGAAAAGGCGCTACTGCGCAGGCTGGACTTTGCTGCCAGCTATCGATGGGAAGAACTCAAGGCGCTGTTGCCATTCCTCAGATCGTCGAAGACGCTGGACACACTGGGGCTCTCGCTGCAGGCGGATGTGTTCCGCAAGGATGATGCACGGCATTTGCAGGCACACCTTCCTTCCCAGATCCGTGCTCTACGCGTGCATATTTCCATCAAGAGCCTTGAAGTGGGCGCAGATATGTGGCACGGGCTGGTCAGTGGCCTAGTGGTCATCTCGAACTCAGGATATGACTAACGGTATCGCAGTGGACGCACCTCCCCGAGCTCAGATTCATCTACGTCCACGAGGAACCGCACGAGCGCGGCCCCGTGCTTGACATCGAGCAGCTGGCCTCGAGAGCACCACGCTTGCAGGTGGTCGGCGTTAATGGGCGTTTCAGGGAGGTCGAGCGCGGAAGCGATGGCTCGGTCGCGCTCTCTGCGCCGTGGCCGATGTTCAAGATTGCTGCGCGGGATTTCGACTGCGACGACTGGGAGTGGCTTATGTTCGAAGCTACCCTGCCGCTCTGGGAGGTCTCTGGAGCGAATGGCCCTCGGGCCCCGACGACAGGGCTGGTCACATAAGTACCATTAGTAGATGGTGGGACCGCGTTGTAGGCCGAGGTCGTTGGAGTACGACATCCGCGCTTGCTTTATCGTTTTAATTGACAATCCACAATTATTTGGATCTCGCACAATGTTGTGAAAGTGTCATGTACACATGGTTGTAGTTCTCGAAATGCACAACCGGTCTCACGGTACAGCAGTTTCGTCCCAGAACACACGAGACAGACAGGCACCTTCTACTCTCGATGTGCTCGCTTTCTGTGCACATAGGCCACTACGTCTCGACCCCTTTCCTTTCAACAAAAAGTCTTCTTGACTCCTTCACTGTGTTTTTCCCCAGGCCTTTCACCATCCGAGATAAGCCAAAAATGGGCTTAGCCGGGAATTGAACCCGGGACCTCCTCCAATTCGATATCTCCAGTTGTTGGAACACCCTAAGAAGGAATCATACCACTAGACCACCAAGCCATTTGGGCAGGTTTCCTACAAATATATGATATCCCACACGCCTCATGACGCGTCTCCGCGACGCGCAAGCTTGAAGCTCGCGCTTCATTCGCTTGAGCTTCACTCACCATGAGCACACCACTACCATCGACTTCAGCAGGCATGGATGCGCGGCGGCAAGATGCTCTCAAGCAGTACCGCGAGGTGTGCACATTGCATGGTTGTTGGGGCCATTCTAATGTGCTGCAGTAGAAAATGCGCCAACATGAAGCGAGCAGTCAGAGCTTGAAGAACCGTGCGTGTACTTCCAGCATTTGGCGATGTTCTTGTTGACAATTGTTACAGTGAGATTCTCTCTGAAGGATCTTGAGAAAGCATATGAGAAGACAGAGGATGATATCAAGGCCGTGCAGTCGGTTGGACAGATCATCGGGGAGGTCATGAAGCAGCTAGACGACGAACGATGTGAGTATCCCGAACGCGTCACCTTCGCGCACTTCTTGATAGTCTTTCTAGTTATCGTGAAGGCGTCGTCAGGTCCCCGCTACGTTGTGTCCTACAGACCAACACTGCCGGCAGCGAAGCTGCAGAACGGCACCCGTGTTAGCTTGGACATGACCACCCTTACCATCATGCGTATCCTACCTCGTGAAGTCGACCCATTAGTATACAAGATGAGTCTCGAGGATCCGGGAGGTGCCTCGTTCGCCGGCATTGGCGGTCTCGGCGATCAGATTCGGGAGTTGCGAGAGGTCCGTGGTTTGGCTAATTCGCCATATGCTCCCCATGACCGAACTGGCCCAGGTTATCGAGTTACCGCTACAGAACCCCGAGCTTTTCCAACGGGTGGGCATCAAGCCACCAAAGGGTGTCCTACTCTATGGCCCACCCGGTACTGGCAAGACACTGCTTGCCCGTGCTGTCGCCGCCACCATGCAGACGAACTTCCTGAAGGTCGTCTCTTCCGCAATCGTCGACAAGTATATTGGCGAGTCAGCGAGGGTGGTGCGCGAGATGTTCGGGTATGCAAAAGAGCACGAGCCCTGTGTTATCTTCATGGATGAGATTGACGCGATTGGTGGGCGACGGTTTTCGGAAGGGACAAGTGCTGATCGGGAGATTCAGCGAACGCTCATGGAGGTGAGCACCCCTGGTGTGCTTGGAATATTGCGCTCATGCGATGTTGTACATGCATCAGCTACTCAACCAAATGGATGGCTTCGACACTCTTGGCCGAACGAAGTTAATTATGGCCACCAACCGACCAGATACACTTGACCCCGCACTCCTCCGACCCGGACGATTGGACCGCAAGATTGAGGTACCATTACCGAACGAGCAGTCGCGGCTAGAGATTCTCAAGATCCACGCTGCGCCCGTGAACAAAAGCGGCGAGATCGATTATGAGGCGGTCGTTAAGGTACGTGAGCTTCTTCATTGTCTGAGGACTGCGTGTCTGACGACCTTCGGTAGCTGTCGGACGGGTTCAACGGCGCCGATCTACGGAATGTGGTTACGGAAGCCGGCATGTTTGCAATCCGGGATGACCGGTATGTGCAGGTATTGTCGTGCAATTCTTAAAACAGGACTGACGTTTTTGTAGTGAGTTCATGACGCAGGAAGACTTCATGAAGGCTGTGCGGAAGGTGGGCGAAGCCAAGAAGCATGAGAGTAAGCGCATCAATCCGATGACAATCTGATTTGCTTTCTAATGTTGTGATTCTTCAGGTAAACTGGAGTACTCGGCATGATCTCGTCTCCGTCTTTTGTATGCTGTGGCTTGTAATTCATGGACGTTTTATCTCTGGGAGTTCTGTGGACGTGTCATTGTTTGCCTAACGTCTCGGACGGCGACGTGGGAGACAGTATTGTATTCCGTATGCACGGAAGTTGCCGTCGGTCCAGGAACTTGAGATCCCGCGTACGATCGGCTGGATTACTGATCGCAATCCGTCCTCCGCCGTGTATAGTAGTTTGTAACATGGTGGTCTGTTCCACCAGCGTCGAGTTCGACTCAGCCCCTCGCTGTGCCGCTCGGCAGGATGGGCGCTCAACCGCCGTATTGATTTGGAATGTCTATTGTCACTAGGATCATGTTTATTGTCCTTGCGTGCCTACAGTTCCACGATTGACAGGAACGCTTCCGATCCGAGCAGTGGTCAGCCCTGCACGCAAGTCTGGGCCGCTGGTGGACACAGCTCTGTTACTTCCTACATTCATGTGAGTGCAGTCCACCTGCTTCCTGGTAACCAGGATCACACCGCTCATGATAAATAGCTTAGGACGTGGCATCATAGCACAGGTAATAATCCCCGTCCTGATCTACGACAATGCTGCCGCTACCACTGCTCGCCCTCGTGGCGTCATCCATCCTACCCATTGTGAATGGCCAAATATCCAGCAGCTGGCCACAGGCGTACCCTGGCATGCCGGATTTAGAATATGGACCAGCTTGGCAAAACTGTGAGTTCAAGAGTCATATAGCAATGGCAGCGCGCTAAAGTAGTCAATGTTACAGACTTCGAGGTGACAGAGCCGCTACCCAACGTTACCTGGGATCTCGGACGCAGCTTTGCGGGAAACATTCCTGTAAATCGGCAAGGCCATCCGAATGATACACTGTTCTTCTGGGCCTTCGAGAGAGAAAACGGCTCGCTGACCGCCACAGCTGGAGAAAGCGACAAGCCTTGGGGAATATGGCTGAACGGAGGGTATGTCTGCCAGCTCATTCTCAACGCAGTAACCTGACTTGCGCGCTAGTCCGGGAGCGTCAAGTCTTCTTGGTCTGTTGTACGAGAACGGGCCCATACACCTCAATCCAGATTTCTCCGCATACGAAAACAACTACAGCTTCAGCAACCTAGCTGACTATTTCTGGATAGACCAGCCTGTGTACGCTACGCTCGGTGTTTGTACCTGATGACGCTCACAAGTTTCATTCAGAGGAACCGGTTGGTCGACAGCCGATGATACAGGGTTTGGTAAGTTGCTTCATCTGTATGCATATCTATCAGTCTAATGGGCGATGCATGCAAGTCTATGATGAGGATCAAGTGGGGACCGACTTTGTAAGCACACTGCGAGAAAAGTAGGTGTACGCGGAATTGACAGATTTGTTGCAACTTCAGATGGGCTTCTTGGAGAACCTGGTCAAGGTGTTTCCCAGTCTTGCAACACGACCTCTCTATTTGACCGGTGAGAGCTATGCTGGTACATACATAGTAAGTCATCTAGTGGTCTCCGGAGACGTAAGCTGACAGTCTTGTGTAGCCTTATATCACCAAGGCATATTTCGGCCTCTCTGATCCTCCAGTGAATCTGGCGAAGATTGTGATCGGCGATGGTACTGTTGGCTCAGATGCTGTTTTCCAGTACCTTCCAACGGTGTGTCCAATCATCAGTTTGCCTCGCTCATCAACAACTGCTCATTATTGCCCCTGCAGACAACTGTCATACAGACGTACCCCCAACTCATTGGTTACGACCCGGAAGTCTTCCAGTGGTTCGTGGAACAGTACGTCCTTCGTACCCTCTGACTGTCTCCATCGGACTCATACTCATACTCATCCTCCTATCCTATACAGAACACACCTCTGCGGCTACGACCTCAATCTGACGTACCCACAGGATGGCCACTTCCCAGACCTCCAACTCGTGTACCCCACCGCGCCTGGCCGCGCATCGCAAGTGTACTTCGCGAGTAAGCAAAAGAGCAAGGCGATGATGTCCAAGCGCGAACTGTTGCAGGAGGGTCGGCGGCGCTATGGTGACGAGAGCGTGCACGCGCGAGGTCGCGCGAATATGCAACGCCGGGAGGTGATGAAGCGCGACTTGGCGGGGCGCGCGAACGGCACGATCGACCCGTGGTATGGGTGCTTTATATACGACGCGATGATCGAATATGCGTTGAACTTCACGTATCCGTGGAGTGAGTGAGTTGTTCGGTTTGGCGTATCAGATACTAATTTCTGGTGGTGTAGGTGCTAGCGGAAGCTTCGCTGGGATCGATGTGGGCTTTGTTTGGCTTGCATGCGGGTGATGAGTTACTCAACAGTGCTGCAGGTGTATGACCTCCCCGATGCGCTCGATCCGGAGATTCCGCTGGATGGCGATTACTTTTTCAACGGTGTGTTCCTTGCTGGGGCCCTGTTACTACCCAATGAGCCTGATAGAGTATTCATAGATCCTCAGACTGTCGCGGCGCTGCATGCGCCTACAAGCAAGCAATGGGTTGGCGAGATGGACTACTATCCGTTCCTCGGTATGCAGCACATCCTGTCCTTCTGTTCTGTAAAACCTGATTGTGCATCTCTAGGCGGTGCGGATAATGATTACAATGATCCGAGTAAGTACCCACCCGTATTGTGTTGAGAAAAGACCCTGACCGTCTCTCACAGGTGTCGAGTAAGTGGTGTTTTCTCGGGAACGCCATAGGCATTTATCGAGCAACTGTCAGGCCGATGGCATTCCTCACTGAGCTTGCAACAAACGCTTCCGCGCGGGGTCTTTCCATCGTCCTGTATTCAGGAAACGACGACTCGCTCATCACTCACCGTGGCACAGAAGGTTCGTGAGACTGATTCGTCTGCTACAGCCCCGCCTGACTTTGTGTTTGCGTCGTTAGTTGTTATCCAGGTTAGTCGCAGTGTCTGATACATGATGTCGATGTTCAACTCTCGTCACACTATAGAATACTACATTCGGTGGTATCCAGGGCTTTACGAAGAAGCCTGCGACACCCTGGTATGCTGATGATGGTAGCTTTGCGGGAATTGTTCACCAGGAGCGCAACTGGACATACATCCTCTTCAAAGGCGCGGGACACCTCGTCGCCCAACAACAACCTGCTAACGTCAGTGACATTTGCCACATACCTCCATTCAACTTGGCTTACTCTTCTCCTCACAGGCATACACCTTCCTCCGGGAGTTCGTCCTGGGCAGCAACACCACCGGTCTTGTGAGCGGTTCCAACGGTCAAGTCTCCGTAGTCGGAGGCGAAGTCTCTTCGCTTGCGCAGGATGTGCTACCAGGGCAATCCGGGATCTACGTCGGGTCTGGTGTAACGCAGTCGACGTACACATTCCCGTCAGCGACCATTGCAGCATGGGAGAGCTATATTACGACAGCGACGGCGAGCCCAACGAGGTTGGCAGCGCAGGTGCGGTCGACGTCGGGCGCGAAGCCAACTGCACGACCATTTTTCCATTTTTGAAACAATGTTTCGTCGGGAGTTCATGATTTTTGGGCTGTAGTAGGTATTATCTGGTCGGGAAGTAGCTCTATCAGTTATTCCGTGCGATAGTCCATGACAAGCACGCGGGAGGTCTGTACACATATGTCGATCAACTGCAGGTCCGGTTGAGGATGATTATGAGTGTTGCAATTTCGGCCGATTGCGTGATTGATGAGTGAGTTTAAGACATCGACCTTTCAGAGGGCAGTGACACAATCGCGTATGTCAGTATAGTAAGGAATTGCGTGGTCGATTGTCTTGCATCGGAAGCAAGGGGTTGTAGCTCTCGCGGTGAGCTTGTCACGTGGGCCCGCTAGTGCGGGAGGCCGGCTGACTGTATTTGTCTGCGCTGGTACAACGAAACCTGGCAGCACCGCATGATAGTGAACGAACGCTGCTACCTCCATGTCTGCGATTAGGCTGATCACCGTGAACACCGTCCCTGAGCGCGCGAAGCGCCTCATAGGGCGGGTGGTCGAAGATGTGAAGGATCGCTACACCATCGTGCATGTGACCAACGTGGAAAGTGAGATTCCTCGATGGTGGGTATCTGCACTAGACTGACCATGGTCCTCAGGGTTGGAGGACGTCAGGCCCACGTTAGAGAGGGAAAAGCCTGACCTGTTGGTGAGCTGGTGGCAGTCCGAACATGCATAGACAGGAATGTCTTACATGGCTGATCTGTCCATTAATGACAGTTCACAGCCTCTATGTGGACACCCGAGCAGGCTCAAGTCAGCGTTCATTCAGCAGAATCCTACATGCACTAATCGATGTTGATATCCTCACGCCCACAGGAGATCGTAGCTATCGCCAAGGAGACAGTACCAGGAATCAAGACGTTCAGTATACCGCAGGGTCTTCAGGTGGAGAAAGGGCCGGATGGTGTTGTGGAATTCATTAAGGCGAATCTGCCAAATGTACTGGGTCCAGGACGGTTGTAGGGACGGGACATTTGTGGGCATACTCGGAAATTGAGCAAAGAACTTGAAGGCCAACCATTTTGATGACAGTCGCGATGGCAGTCAAATTCACCAGGAGTGTCAAAATCAATGTTACAGTCACAGTCACGTCCGGGAACCTGGCGTCGATCTCGAATGTTAGGATTCCTGTGCTTACCACTGCCTGCCGCACCGACGAACTGTGCTTTCCCACCAGCTATCAGGCACTTTATGCTGCCTTCAATATATAACTCATAGCTATTTGCACAATGGCAAATGTGAAGAAGCGAAAGGCAACGCCTCAGTCCGCTACCCTGCACGATTTCTTCGGCAATACACAAGCCAAGAAGAAAGCCAAGTCGCAGCAGAATGTTTTACCCCCAAAGGGCCAACAGAGAAAGCCGTTCCGTCCGCCTGTTCCTCCAGAGGACATCATCGTCATAGATTCGGACGACGAAACCATCGTGGTCGTCCCTGCTCCCACAGATAGGGGTCAGAAACAACCTGGCGTCAAGCAAGAGGAGAAACCGGTCAGCTCGCAGGCTCTTAAGGAGCTGTCGAACAGTCAGGACCGTGTGTTGTCGCCCTCTGCTGCTGTCAAGTGCGAAGACGATGGTTCCGACGATTTATACGAAGACGCGGGCTTTTCATTTGGTCAACCATCATCTCTGTTGGTGCCCGTGAGTCCCATTCAAGCGGATGAGGCAGATTATGCCGCTAGCAGTGTGCGGGCTGGCACTTGCTCAGATGTTCCTCCTGTTTCATCTTCGGAGGAGATTGGCGATTGCTCGAATACTGACCTTGTTCCTACCGCTGATGAAGAGTGGGCCATGGGGGACGACGAAATAGAACAAGGCGACATTGAGCTGAAGGTTGAGCAAGACGAAGAAGAGGCGGTGGACATTGACCTCACGCTCACTGACGATGAGTCGACGGACTCAGATTATCAAGGTCGCGTCGAGGTGTGTCCACTCTGCGACATGAAGCTCAGAGGGCTCAGTGAGAAGGTGAGCAATCTCCATGTTGCACTTCACATCCTTGTTGAACCCTCGCTCGGTAGGATGTTCATGAGCATGTGAACAGCTGCATCGACTCAATGTCTGGTCAATCGACCCCGGGTGCGTCGAGCTCAAAAGCTTTTGCACCATCCACTTCTGCCACCCCTCAGATTCCTCATCCCCTCCCCTCCCTTCAAGCCGTGCACCCCTCACAGGTCAAGCAAGAGCCAGATACGGATTCAATGAATACGACTAAGTGCGGCACAGGAGCCTTCTCGGTCCTGATGTCTTCCTATAAGGAGACTGAAGCTTGGAAAGAGGCGTCTGCCGCCGAGGACCGCGGCTTTCGTCCCACCAAGGGCAACGGCGGCAGACGGAAAGCGCCGTTCTACAAAGTCATGCAGGGAATGCCCATTGCCGTGGATGCTTTCCGGTACGGCACCATTCCTGGCGTCACAGCATACTTCTTGACGTGAGCACACCACTCTCGACCGGTGCACTGAAACGCGTTTAGCTGACTGCAGGCGCATGCTTGTAGGCACGCCCATTCCGACCACTACACAAACCTGTCCGCCAACTGGCGCAGCGGGCCCATCTATTGCTCTGAGGGCACCGCAAACCTGATCGTGCACATGCTCTGCGTCGACCGGCAGTGGGTGTGCCCCCTGCCGATGGACGTGCCGACGCTGGTCCCGGACACGGGCGGCGTGTGCGTGACACTCATCGAGGCAAACCACTGCCCGGGCTCGTGCCTCTTCCTGTTCGAGGGCCCGCAGACAGTGCACGCGGGCGACAGCGCGTTCCGCTCGCCATTCGTTGGCGCGACGCGGACATTTCGCTACCTGCATTGTGGCGACTTCCGCGCGAGCCCGCAGCATGTGCTCCACCCCGCGATCCGAGGGAAGCATATCGACCACGTCTATCTGGACACAACGTACCTCGATCCCAAGGTAGGGTGCGCTACTGGTGCGAGGACGCGGGGCGAGTGCTGACGCTATGTACAGTACTGCTTCCCGCCACAGCCGCAGGTCATCTCTGCTTGCGCAGAACTGGCACGGCGCATTGTCAGGGGCGAAACTCTGCACGACTCAGAAGACATCGCCAAAGCGCGGCAGAATCGCACGATGGACAGCTGGCTTGTGACATCGGGGAAGTCTCCAGAGAAGGACACGAAGCCTGGAAAGATACTCGTCGTCGTAGGGTGGGTTGTCCCAGCCTTGTTATCTGTCTATTCTAATGCGCCGCCTTCCTCTCAGTACGTACTCGATCGGCAAGGAACGCATCGTCAAAGGTACGCGTCTGACTGGACACTACCGTGTCGTGCATTAATCGTTCTCTCAGCAATCGCCCGTGCTCTTCAGACAAAGGTATATTGCGATTCGCGCAAGGCGGCCATCTTGCGTTGTCAAGCAGACCCTGAGCTTCACGATTTGCTCACGAAAGATCCGCTTGAAGGAGGCGTGCATCTGGTGCCGCTAGGCGTGATTGCGTCAGACAGACTAAAGGACTACGTGGAGCGATTCAAGGGGCATTATATCAAGGCTGTCGGCTTCCGGCCCACAGGGTGGACGTAAGCTTCTTTCACGGTGGTCTTCACAGGGCAGTTGGTTACATTGCTCATGACCATCACAGTTTTTCCGCGCCGACGGGAAGTGATATGGTCCCCTCGGTGTCCACAATCATCGCGCGCACGCAGGGCCGTACATTCACTCACGCGCACCTGAGCCCGATGCGGAACTCGACGGCGGCATTGCAGGTGTACGGCGTGCCGTACTCGGAGCACAGCTCGTTCTTCGAGCTAACATGCTTTGCGCTCTCGCTGGACTGGGGACGGATGATTGCGACGGTGAACGTGGGGAGCGAGAAGTCGCGGAACAAGATGGGGACATGGATTGAGCGGTGGGAGGTGGAGAGGAAGAAGCGGGCGAAAGGGGAGATGGTGCAGCATCGAGCACAAAATTATTGGTAGCAACATGATCGCTTTCCTACAGCTATGATTTATATAATGCCCCGTCTGAATGACGGATTATCGCGAGTGGAACATCCAGATGCGGACAGCGAGCGCGCTCTAAGCCTGCCCTGAACTGAAAGGGTCCGTGCGTACCCCGAGAGGGGTATATAAGCGGGCGTGAGACACCCAAACACCTCATACTTACCTTGATGGCACATTCCTCTTCAACTACCTAGGAATGTGGGCCGTGGGGGCCTCTCATAGCACGGCGACCATGTCCTCAGGGGGGCCTTGCGGTTTGTATGGGCTTCGGCTCATGCACCGTCTCAATATTTCCCTGTTCCACTTTGGCCCTCGGGCTGGGTGGGCGGTCACTTTTTTTTTGGCCCCTGCGCTCTCCTAACCCTAACCCTGGTTAAATACTTATCGTACAATACAAGCTGTTATCGACTCGGCTGCTAATTCCTATTTTGTGAGAAATGAAGACCAGCTTTGTATGCATCCTTGGTACTGCTTACTCCACCACTATCTGTATTGGTCTACTATCCACATATCTGAGCAAGCGACAAGAGTCCTGACAATACTGGATGTCGCTCTTCATGATGTAACAGAAGTTGCAACCACTGCGCTGTCTTCACGAAAAAAATCCTTGTCCACTCATGCGCCATTCAGACAACTAGTTCAAGGATACTGTAGGTGAGTGTCGTAAGTTCCAGCATCAGTCAATTGCCTTGTGCCTCTTCTAGCCACTGCAAGCAGCCGTCGAGCGACATTCGCTATTAGCAACCTTCCTTACTTTCAGGTCTTGCCAGAGCACCATTGTAAGCAACGGTGGTGTACTGCTATGACCGAGACACGCCAACCATCAGAGAATGCGATTCTGCTGAATAGACTCCAATGACACATGGGATTCAATATAGTACAGACATGATCCGAAGCGCGGTTTGGCCTTTAAAGATCGTGAGGTCATGGAAACCGAATGAAATCACCTACCTTTGTGCTGCGCATAACTCGCTACCTCCATATTACCAGGCGTCAGGATGGCAGTACATATAATGATCCTGAGCGTCCGGTTCCTCGATTTCATGCCTAGGTTCGCAGGTGTGAGTAACGGTATATCCCTGCACCACGTAGGTGAAGGCACCCACTGCTCTATTATATGCTTCCGCATGTCCTCCCAATTCTGACGGCGCCCGGCGGGCTCGGTACACATCGAGCAGCACCAAAATGCGTAGCTAGCCTGCTTTATACGCTCCTCTTGCTCTGCCTTGAGCCTCGCCGTTGTCTCGTCCGACGTATAGGCTGAGACGTCGTCTAGCTCTGTCACATAACTGAAGCGGAACAGGTCCCACTCGTTCTGAATCTAACATATTATATGGCATGAGTCATACTACTCGTCTGAGCACAGGTCTCGACCTACTGCCCGATGCCAGGTGCTGGTGAACTTGAGGCTACTTGTGACACGATATACGCTGACGTCCAGCGCGTCCATGTCAGCCCGCGTTGCGCGGTCAGGATCGAGGCCACAGCGGTTCACCAGCGAGCGTATGAACTGCATCTGGGATGCCGGCGGGGCACGGAGGATGTCACTGCTCCATTTCTGGGACTTGGCAACGTTCACTGCTATTTGCTCATACACGGACATTGTATTCTGGGCTTCGTCCGTGTCGCGGGGCCGCACATCATGTTCTCTACGTATGCAGCCATGTGCGAGGACATCTGGGTAAGCGATCATGCTACAACAATTGGTGCAGTCGAAGTATGCGATGGCCAGGTTGAGCATATCAATCCCGGGTTTGGACACGACAAACGGTTTTAGCATGGGTCTGAGGGAGGCTGCGACACTGGCTTGCCAATGGGCGGTAAGACTGGGGAGGAGAGCACGGAATTCCTGCTCGTCCTCGACCTCCAGATCTTCCGAGAGGCTACTTCTTATGATCTGCTGTACACCGGCCATTGTGGCAATATCGACAAAATGGGGCTTGAACTCGGTTACGCGCGTGCGCCAAGGCTCGGCGTAGATCTCGTTGAGAAGGACAGACAGATCAGTCAGGCGCGCCGTGAGTACCTTTTGGTAATCATGCATCCTGTACTCTTGCATGAGCGCATCCAAGCTGGCACTTATCTTTGACCAAGCTATGTGATGGGATGTGAGTAGCTGCAGTAGTACTGCTCGTAGGACTTACCGTTGTCCGTAAGCTCCTGTGCGACGTGCACACCCGGATGATCAACCAAGGGCCCGTAATCTTCCAAATCCATCATGTCGAGTTCATCTTCCCAGCCCTTCTGACGGAGTCTCGCGACCACGCTGCCTGAAAGTCAGGACCTCTGACGGCGGCAATAATTTTGCTAAATCTTACTTCTGCAACCGTGCATCTCTCAGGATCTGCAGCCTCGTCTCTCTGGTTCGGCTTCGTGCAATGTCCCACTCAAGGCATGGCGCAACGTGCTGAACGCAGCGATAGATGTGAGTATATTTGTTGTCCACAAGCGGGACAACGTGTACCTCTCGAATCTCCTTGACGCACGCCTTCTGCACTTCGAGGAAATTCTGCGTGGCATCAAGATCGTGAATTACTTGCTGCAAATTAATCGCAAACTCCTGCATCTGCGGCATGTGGTAGAACGATTGACCGTTGGAGCTCTCGACCTGTTATTTGTGACATAGCTATCAGCATATGTTCCGCGTGCATATCGGTCCACTCGACATACTCGAGTGAAGACTTCATTCCTTTCCGCATACGACAAGTCTATGGGAAGGCTGATGTTTCCGCGGCGACTCCAGTTCTTAACCCTAAACGTAGTTTATGGTGAGTGACCGCTAGTCCACGTAGCGTTCTTACTCACTGAGAATTCTTGCATGAAGTGCAATAGCGGACAAGAAACTCCCAGAGAACGGCACTCTGAGTCGGTTTCAGACAGTTCTGCAAGACGGCGTGTCAGCCGCAGGCATACACGAGTTATTCTGTCCCCCACGTGACAATACTTGAAGAAGACCAGGTTCGCATACGCCGGTTCAGACAGAAACGGCGGGCATGCAGGAAGGCCCTCCACGTTCTGCCGAGCTATCTTCCAACTCAGAGCAGAACTGCGCCTCATTAGAAGGTCCCGAAAATCTCTGCTCGTCCTCGCTAGGTTGAGCAGGTCGCGAGGGTCGAGATGGGTCAGAATCTGGGACATCACCGAGGTGGTCAGCACTTCACTTCCAAGGTCGATTGTCTTGAAAGTGGAATTTTACCTCGTAGATTATGTCGACAGGCATATCCCGTACACCCTGGAGGCCGCCGCGCCGGCCGCGCACGACCTTGAGCTTCTTCTTGGCCATTGATATTGCTTCCAACGGCTAGTATCGAGTTGTCTGTGATCAAGGAAAGTGAGGCTGCTGTATCAGTCCGACAGCAGGCAATGGCGGGGGAGGCAAAGAGTGTGATTAGAAAATGTGGCGAATCGGCGACAGATGTATATTATAGTCACATGATCGCGTCGTCACGCGAGTACAATACCTCTTCTTCCCTGAGCCCTAAAGGTCCCGGTTGTTAACCATTGTTTGAGGCACTAAGCAGATGTCCGGTCAACTTGTGAAGTACCAGATGGTTGAAGCTACGCACCAGCCTTATATATCCTTTGTGCGTACAATACCATGCCCTTCTACGTTTGTGTCGGACCTGTATGTCGTATGAAGCTTGGAGGTCACTGTACTGTTAGATTCATACACAGGTGGAATATTGAACCACGGAGCAAATTCAACCGCAACATGGCCGCGAGTCATCACAGATTCATCAGCCCTCGAATACAGTGCCTGCAAGAACCCAGTGAAATTATGCATGCATGCAGTCATTTTAATGGCGTACGAGGCATACAAAGCATGGCATAAACATGAGGATAAGATGACGGCAAAAGCAAAAGTACAACATCTACTGCTCGGCAGCCCGCTGTCTCCTCCGCACGTCACGCTCCTCAGTGATCGTGAGCTTGATGCCCTTGCCCTTCGGCAGAGACACCCACGGCTTCGTACCCTCGCCCAGCACAAAGATGTTGGAGATACTAACATTGCGAGTCAATCTAAAGTCGTGTGATTATTGAGTTGGCGTCACTTACCGAGTCGCGAATGTGCGGTCCAACGAGTCCTTCACGTGCACAATATCGAAGCCACCAATGTGCTTCTCCCGGTGCACGATCACACCCGCACGACCCATGTTACGGCCGCCAGTGATCATGACGAGATTGCCTGTGTCGAACTTAACGTAGTCCAAGATCTTGCTCTGCTCAAGGTCGAACTTGACAGTATCGTTGACCTTGATAAGGGGGTCTGGGTAGCGGATCGTGCGGCCGTCGTGGGTCACAATGTATGGCACACCCTTCGTGCCAATGGCCATTTTGCGGACCTTGAGGAGCTTGTAGGTTGCCTCCTCGGGAGTGATCCGGTGGATGGTGAAGCGGCCCTTGACGTCGTAGAGTAGACGGAAGTGCTCGCCGGACTTCTCGATCGTAATGACATCTGAGCAGCTCGCGATTCAGATGGTAGCCAGAACCTTCGCTGTTAGCGATACGCACCCATGAAGCCTGCAGGGTAGGTGGGGTCGGTCCTGACCTTCCCATCGACCTTAATCAGGCGCTGGGCGACAATGGAGATGACCTCCTTGCCGTTCAGCGCATACTTGAGGCGGTTACGCAAGAAGATGGTGAGGGGGAGGGATTCGCGGAGCTTGTGGGGACCGGGTGAAGGGCGGGGAGCCTGTTCGGTGCAGAAAACCACAACTTAGCCTACACACCTGTTTCGCAAAGTAGCACAGCACGCACGTAGGTCCCGCTCAGCTTGTCAAGCATCCATGATGAGGGAGCGGCAAGGCGCTTCAAGTGCTTTTTGGGTCCTCGGGCCTACAACAGTCACAGGAACACATAGATCAGCATATGAGTCGTTGAAGACGAAGCCAGACGGAGGTATAGCTGAGACAGTCGCGCGAGGAGCCAGAGTACATCCGAACATGAAGTTCAGCATCCACCCATCCAGAGTGTCCTGAACATCGATTTGACCGCGCAAACTGGTAGAGCAGCAGTCCAAGGGCCGTCTGGCAGCAAGATACTGACCATATTGTTGTTCTTGCGGGCTTGACGTTGACGGCGGCGGCGGCCTCGAGCTTTGCGGCGCGTATACTCAAAACTAGACTTACCAAGTTCGGTCACACTTCAGGGCAAGGTCAAATGATGGCACGTGACAGGAACGCGCTCGACGCGTTGCGGATTCCAGTGTCTATAGTTCACTCAGAATTTGAGAAGGCTGGAAACGGCCATGGCCAAGTTCATCACGCATGCTCGCACGGCACACAGTTTATCTTTCGGCATTGCTCGATGTGTTGTATCTGAACTCTACCTGCACCTATGAAAGACAATACATACTACTCTACATCGTCGACCGTCCATTAGATAGACATTACAGCAGTGGTACAATAAGCATGTTGATCTCACGTGAGCACGAATTACTTTTCTCTGGTCGCTCTCAGAACCATGTTCTCTAGCGAAACGGCCCGATAGTCGTCGCCATCCGGCGCCCACACGGCGTCGTCTACGATGTACACAAGCAAACCACCCTTCCCGTCTGCCGTTGGCGACACGCGAAAGAGTGGCATCCTCGATTTCTCGTGCGCACGTCCTGTGGGCATGAAGAGGAGGTTGTGCGAAGATGCGTAGTCCTCCACAATCGAACGGAACGTGATCTCCTGCGTCCGCGCTGGTCGTGCCTTGGGTGCCTTCGCTTTAGGTACAGGCGTCGCAGAAGTGGAGAGTGGTGTTCGGTGATCAGGGCGAGGAAGCTGAGTAGGCGCGTCCGGTCCAAGTTCGATAGCCTTGTTCATCAGTTGCAAACCGCGCGTGAACCCTTGCGCAATACCAGGCATCGCCTGTATGTTCTCCGAGAATGTGCCCTTCCAGAACGAATACCAGCGCGCAACCTCTTCGAAACTCGGACTGGGCTGGATGAGCCAAATGTGTAAAACGTCGAGCCATTTGGGGAAAAACTCGGTCTCCAGGAGCTGTGAGATAATTGACGGGCGGAGCAGGCTCTCCCACGCCATGACATCCTGAAGGGGATCCATGTCTTGATTGCGCGGGTCGATGCGGAAATCTTCACGTAAACGGGAGCCAAGCTTCGGTACGACGTATTTCAACAACATTGTATCCCAATCGCCCACGTCGAACACCTATAAAGGCAGGCTCAGCCACACACAATGACACTAACACTTGAGATATACTCACGTCTTTCCAGACCGCAAGGTCCTTCGGCATGCCCTCGATGACCGCCCAACCGCGCAAGAGACTCTTGACCTTTCTTCGTGCGTCTCCCAAGACTTCTTCCAGTCGAAGACCGACATGGGGCAGCCATGGAAACACCAGAGTCTGCAATGAAACCTTGCTACTTCGTGAATTCCAATCACCTACAGCTTTGGAGACCTTCGGCAGGACGAGTTGGTCAAAGAAGTTGTCGCGGACGAAAGGGGGCAGAAAGCTGGACCAGGCCTCGTACAACCGCACCGCTGGCTGAGGGTCATCGGGCGACCAGTCGTTGTTGATAGCCGAGCGGATTTTGGGTAGCCATGCGTTCCAAAGAAGGCTTTCGTACGGGGACATAGGCCTCTCCCTGTATACTCCGGTTAATAACTGCGTCAAGTCACTGATGAATATGACTTACATTACCGGCGCCGCAGAGAGAACAGTACTCGAGCCATACACCTGTATTTGATCTGGCGGCTTCTCTTCTACTACAGACATCTTCAGGGCACCTCTCCAAAGACGGAATAATTGAGTGAAAGCCGTAGGATCCTCGAGCGGCTGCCACTGCGCAAGCATTCTCCGGACTACTGGCGCGATTGCGCCAACGACCACCTCGTCTAGTCGGTATCCGTCAAATTCCTTGGGGAATTGCCCGAGCAGCTTCTCGAAGTTGGCAGAGAACGGCTCTAATGACGCCTCGTACATGGAGGCCATTTCTCTGGCTTGTGCACTGATATTGTCGACGACTAAGTTCACTTGTTGCAAGCGTGTAATTACTGCCGTCAATGCATCAGTATTAGGAAACAGGACGAGGGGGGAAGGAACTTACGTTCCGCCTCCTCCTCAACTTTCTTGCGCAGCCTAGCATCCTCCTGCCTGACCCACTTCTTGCGTTCTTCGAGTGCTCTTGCCTCCCGAGCAAGGCCATCCAGATCACCCTTGCAGGCTTCCGTGATAAGTCGAAGGTTGTGTCTAACCTCCGGTAGCCGCATGGGGTCCGTGGTTGGTGTCCATGATGCCATCGAGACATCTGCGAGCGATGAGACCTCACGAGGCTGGACGAGTGGGATTAGGCCATGCGTTATGATAGGATAGTTGTTCCACTTACCGTCGCGCCAGTCGCATCGATTATTTGGCCTAGCCCTGCATGTGGCGCCTCCTCGCCCGCCTCCGCGATGATCTGCTCATAGGTCTTGTGCTCGATTCTCGTCTTGACCTTCTTCGGCTTCTTCCAAGCATCGGCCCTGTCCTCTTGTGCCTTCGCAGCCTTGCGTCCCTTCCTCGCCGCGGGCCGCTCCTCATCGTCACTAACTACCTCTCCCCTCCTACGTGCTTCCGCTTTCGCCTGCTCGGTCTTCTCCTTGAAGCCCTTGAACGCCAGACCCATGCCCCTTGGACGCAGCTTGGATTCAACCGGAGTCACAATACCTTCACCAGTCGTTCCGAGACCCGTCCCTGCTTGCCAGCCCATCTTCGCGAGCATGCGAGCACCGAAGGAGCTCTCGAGCTTGCTAAAATGCTGCCTTTCAGACGCATTCAGCTGGACAGGCTTGGGGGTATTCGCCCCAGAGCTAGTTGCGCCATTGCGCACGAACGATCGCTGAGCGCGTGCGCTGCCAAACGAGGTGGGAAGGTCTTCCGTGGAGATGGGGCCAGGGGAAGGTGACGCAGAGGCAGGAGGAAGGGACGGTTGTTTCGACGACGAGCCAATTCCGCCTCTGCTGAAACCAGAGAATGTCCCGCTTGGCTGCGCCTTTGATGCACCTATTCCCAGCCCGCTGAAGCGCGGCCTCTCCTCGGGCTCGTCCTCCTCATCTTCCCGTACTCGAGGCGATGGCGGTCGCGAGGGCTCAGAATCCTCGTCCATAGCGTCCCCTTGGGAGCCCCCTTCGTCTCCCCGTTCACTCCCGGATTCCTCACCCTTCATCTCCACGTCCGTTGTCTTGTCGAGATCGACCTTCTCCCCGGACACAAAGGCTGGCGCCTTCGCCCAATCCCTCCGACGCTCACCTTTGCCTCCCTTTCGACCGCCAGACCCTTCATCCTCGTCGTCACTTAGGAACACGCCGTATATCGCGTCGTCCTTGCCGTCCTTGCGCCGTCGCTTATGCCCATAAGGGTTCTCGAAGAGCTCTCGCTCCTCACGGGCGACAGGGTCATTCGCGCCAAATGCAGGATCGTTATAATCATCGACGTCGGAAGCAGATGAAGAGTCGTCGTCGTCAAGTAATTGTCGTTTCCTGCGAGCCATGTGTCGAAGCTGCAGTCGCAACCAGTGTAAGGAAGTGAGCTTGCGGAGCTCGAAAGCGTAAGCCACCTTGTAAGAGTAAGTGAGTACAGTCGTCTTACACATGTAATAAGCCGTGGGAACGCACGCTATTTCAGGTAGGTCATGCCCAATCTTCAAATTCAGGAGGTCACAACATATCTCATTCTCATGCTGTCATCTTGCACTGCCCTCCAGATAATGCATTAGCTAGCGGAAGCATAGCGTGTATAACCTGGCGCTATCATTATGGCCGAATTTGTGCAGTCAGCTCTCGTAGTGCCCACATACGATGTCACCACTTTCCCCACCCTAGCCGTCCGGTAGCCTTAAGTCCAACGACGTTAACCTGCCATTTTGTCTACAGTACTATAACAAGTTTTTCTTCCCTCATTTGAATGGTATCACGATAGGTGAGAACATCATGATTCCATCGCGAAGATCGTAGTGAATGTGCAACGCGGTGGAGGGCAGGAGGCCAAGAAAGATACGAGAAGTGACTCGGCTGCCCGTCCTGAACTGCGCATCGTCACTCACGAAGATGGTTGGAAACACCTGGTCCCCATGTTGCGTATTCTCCTCGATATTTGAGACACCGGACTCCGAAGGCCTTCCGAAGATATGCTATATGGAACGATTGGAGTGTCGAGTCATATTCAACGAAAGGCGAGAAGGCCTCAAATAGATACGGTATCGCGACTCCAGACTCCATCGTCCGCACCGTCATGGCTCCCGCACTCACAATCGAGCAGCCCGCCCAGCCAACTTCCAATGGGAAGCTTGCGCTGAAGCACACATACATTCTGAATCGGGTCCCCTGGCAGCTTCCGGTGGGGACCCACGCGGAGGGGATATACATCACCCTTCAAGATGGACGGACCGTCCTTGACGCTGTCGGAGGCGCGGCAGTATCATGCATCGGGATGGGTCATCCTGAGGTGAACAAGGCTATCAAGGACCAGGTTGACAAAGTCTCCTGTACGTGCATGCCGATCTCATTGGCATTGATTTACGATTAAAGTTGATCACCTGTGCCACTAGATGTTTACAATATGCAGCTGTCCAATGAGCCAGCAGAGGAGCTCGCCAAGCAACTGGTTGACACCAGCAACGGTGCCTTTGCCATCTGTGGTTTCTTGTCTGGCGGTGAGCGTACCACCGATCTATACGACGTTGGTCGTGATGACTGAACCGGTCGACGAAACAGGTACCGAAGCCGTGGAGAGCGTCATTAAACTTGCCCGACAGGTAATTTCGTGTTGACTCAGTCTGTTAGAATTGTATTCACAGGAGAACCGACCCCAGTACTTCGTAGCGACAGGCCAGCCTCAACGCACGAACTTCATAGCACGGCGGCTCTCCTACCACGGTAACTCGCTGGGGATGCTATCTTTGGCCGACCACCCGGTGCGCCGTGCGCCGTATGAAGCCGTGTTAAACCATGAGAACTTCCATCATGTGTCTCCCGCCTACGCTAAGCGTTTCCAGAAGCCCAATGAGACCGAAGAGCAATACGTAGAACGTCTAAGACAAGAACTTGAGAACAAGTTCATCGAGCTCGGACCGGATACAGTGGTCGGGTGTGAGCTACCTATTTCTACTGATGCTTCACTATTCATCTGATTGCGACCGTCAGTTATCGCGGAAACTGTGGTTGGAGCTACTACCGGTGTTGTGGCCGCCCCGAAGGGTTATTTTAAAGCCATGAAGTCTGTGTGTGACAAGTACGGTGCCTTGTTCATGCTCGATGAAGTCATGAGCGGTATGGGGCGTAGGTAGCTGGTTAATGCCTTCCCGTCTCGATACTGACAGAGTGCATGTAGGTATGGGCACCCTGCATGCATGGGAAAGCTACGGTGACAATGTCGCCCCTGACATTCAGGCTGTAGCAAAGGGTCTTGGAGGCGGGTACGTCATCGCACATCTTCGGTATTTCTTCCGTACCGAGTAGCGCACCGTCTATTCAGCTATGCCCCAATCGGAGCTATTCTGATCTCGCAGAAGGTTGCGGACGGTATTCGCGACAAGGACGGAGTCTGGAAGCACGGCCACACTTATCAGGTATCTCCCCCGTCTAGTATAGGGTCCGACAAGGTGATTGACACGTAATGCAGGCACATCCAGTGGCTTGTGCGGCTGCGCTTGCGGTGCAGAAAGTGATCGCGAAGGAGAACTTGCTCGAGAATGCCCGCATCCAGGGTCAATACCTTGGCAGCCTTCTCCGGCAGCGTTTACAGTCGCCCAATTCCCCTGCCGCACCATTCGTCTTCGACGTCCGAGGAGGAGGCGCATGGTGGGGGGTGGAATTCGACTTCACTGGTCCGGAGGCTGCACGCCTTGACTTCAAGGGCCAGCGCTTTGCTATGGCTGTACAAGCCCGCTGCATGCAGAACGGATTGATTGTCATGGGCATGACAAACGGCGCCGATGTAGAAGCTACACGCGGCGACCATCTGATGCTCTCTCCGGCTTACAATGTCACTAAGGAAGAGGTAGAGAAGATTGTGGACCTTTTCGTGGAGGGCGTGGAGGAGGTAGTCAAGGAAAGTGGAGTATAAGATCTCGAGATCCTGTCTTAGTCGAAAGTGCGATCAGTTATGTGTTGTGTAAAACAGACTTGTATATCTCAGAGGGCACAAATCACAAGACTCTTGAAAGCTTGAAGATGCAGTGTAGCCACAACACATTAATGGAGGTGATCATCCCATTTTTCTGCGAATGAAGTTGCAAGGATTCTTAGCCTCTGAATTGCGAATATCAACACACTATTTATATTCTGTGCACTACGACATGGGTCTTGGCGCTCACAGAACGGGGACACAGGTATCGAGTGACAGAATAGGACAGAACCCGGATGGCGTTCCATTCTCTTTTGGAGCTATCAGACTCTTACCCCAGCTCCATCTCACCGAAAGGGGACGGAATAGACTTCTACCCACTTCCTTGCCGTCTTCAGGCGGCGAATGTGGAGCTTGAACCCTGCTGACTACTCGCCTACCCGACATGCTCGCACAGAGAGTTTGACGCCACCACGAACCTCTTACGCTGACCACCATTCGATAGCCTATACATAGGGAATCGATGGCCGGCTGTATGCACTAAATGGACTACACCCAACAGCAAGCAGCGACGAGTAGCAACAGTCCATCCACGTCGCATACCGAACAACAAGCGGGAAGCTCCAGTAATCCGGAAACCAAGGTCTTGCGCTCGAGCGCCCGAGTCAAGGCAGCTAAGCAGAAGGAGAAGGAGAAGGAACGCACATCCTCAGAGCAAGTATCCTCCTCATCTTCCGTGCCGTCCAAACGAGTCCGGGAAGCCACTGGAGGGAAGGGAAAGGCTCAGGAAGTGTCTACAGAGTCCTCGCGAGCAAGCAAGAAGTATGTTGCTCTCTTACTTCAGAGTAATTGACTGTAACAAGCTTTCTACAGAGCCCGTCGTGCCACATACCCTGCTACTACATTGTCCATCAACGAAACACCAAGAGACGCCAAGGGAAAGAAGCGTGCAGTACCGGAGAGTCAGTCTGAGGAAGAGAACGTCGCGTCGTCCGCAAACACGAAACGTCTGAGGGCTACCACGAGTGCATACCAACTTCGATCCAGATCAGACACCCAAGCATCATCCGAAATGACAAAGAAGACTAGGTACATACATATGATGTCAATAGTGCTGAGCGACTCGCTCACGATCATCTAGGTCGACCACAGCAAAGGGGAAGGCAGCTACTAAAAGCAAAGCCATGGCAGTGGCAGCGAGTTCATCCCGCGTAGAGGACGAGGATGTTGAGATGCTGGATGCTGAGTGCGTGCAGAAGGATCTCCACCCCGACCTGGACGAGGAGGGTATGGAAGAGGGTATGGATGAAGCAGTCGTCAACGACGAAGTCGATGGACGCGATGAGGAAGACGCACATGACGATGACCATCATCAGGACACGAAGGCGCCCAGCGATGGCCTGGACGAACCATCCGCGATGGCGGTGTTTGGTGACTATCGTCACTTTGCCTCGCACATGATGGGTCTTTCTAGCCGTCTTAAGACGATGCTCAACAACATCAAGTCCACCGCAGACCCCACAACACGTCTCGTAACTCTTCAGGAGCTCAGTGAACTACTCAGTATCAGTACTGAGGACACTTTAGGGGGCTTCCAAGTCGAATCGTATGTGCGGGAGCTTGTTCGCATTCTTGGCGGAACCGGGAATGACCCTGAGGAAGGCGATGACGATGATACGCAAGAGGCCGACGAAGACGCCGCATTGGCTGCGGCTCTGGCGATGAGTACCGGCGGTACGTACCAAGGAGATGAGAATCTGGAAGCCCAAGTACTGGCTTGCAGGTGTCTCGCCAATTTGATGGAAGCATTGCCGGGCGTCGCCCACACTGTCGTCTACCACGGTGCCATCCCTGTTCTTTGTAGCAAACTAATCGAGATCTCATACATCGACCTGGCGGAGCAAACGCTCAGCGTGAGTCGGATGTCTCCATTATTAGTGTTCTTTACGGTTTTACAGTGTTTGCTTTTTGCAGACATTGGAGAAGATTTCGGAGGAATTCCCAAGCTCAATCGTTCGTGAAGGTGGTCTAGCTGCACTCTTGAACTACCTCGATTTCTTTTCTATCGCGGTTCAGCGCACGGCGCTTCAAGCGGCCTCCAATTGTTGTCGCAATGTCTCCCCCGAACATTTCCCGATGATCCAGGGAGTGTGGCCTATCGTCCGTAACTGCCTCGGGTATGCCGACCAACGTCTAGTTGAATATGCATGCCTCTGTGTCATCCGTGTCGTGGATGCATACTATCGCGCGGCCTCGGACAAACTGGAAGCATTGTTCGACATCGATCTCATCAGGGCTGTGAACCTCCTCCTCCTTCCTTCAGGTGGATCACCATTGATCGCCGCAAATACGTTCACCTTGCTCTTACGAGCCCTAGCGACTGCTGCCCGTGCAAGTCCGAAGATTACTGTAGTATTGCTGGAAGCTGGAATTGTCGATACACTGTATCAGATTCTCACCGGAGTACTCCCGTCTGCTAATGAAGGAGGCGAAGAACAAGGTGACGCAGCAGGGGGTCAGGGACTCGGTGGCGGTGTGGCCGACATGACTGTGATGGAGAATTTAGCCCATCGTCCCAAGGATCAGGTGGAGGAAACTCTGAGTCTTGTCTCTGAGCTCATGCCGCCATTGCCCAAAGGTACGTGCGTGAGCTTCTTATCACGTACATTCCCCTGAAGCTCGCTCTATAGACGGTGTGTTCGATCATAGGTCATATACTGAGAAAGCATTGTCACGGCTCGTGAAAGCGAAAGCGAAAGCGGATCGAGCAGCAGCGCGCCAAGCCGCTGCCGCTGCCCTTGGTCCCGCATTAGATCTAATCGGAGGCTCTGGTGCAGGGTTGCCTGGGCACAGTGTTGTCGCAGACGACAACAGCGTTGCCGAGGGCACAACCGCGGACTCGCAATCCGTTCAGGACGGAGAAGAGTTGAGCTCGTCCGCACAGCCCAAGGAGGCAGCTCCTGATCGCACTGAACTTCTGCGATCGAAACCTGAGGCTGTCGGACGTTTCTTGCGCCTGTTGGTACCCATCCTAGTTGATGTCTATGCTGCTAGTGTCATGACACCGGTGAGAATCAAGACGTTGACCGGCCTACTCAAGGCGGTCAGCTTCCTCGATGGCGAGGAGCTTAATCGGGTGTTCACGGTATGTCGCTGTTTTGTTTCGCGACTCGATACGTCTGACTGCGGAGCAGTCTGTCCCAGTCGCTAGTTTCGCTTCATCCATTCTGTCGTCGAAGGACCACCCGACACTAGTGATCGGTGCACTTCAGCTGGTGGAACTCCTTCTAAGTAAAGTGCCGACAGAATACAAGCCCGTTTTCAGACGAGAAGGGGTTCTGCACGAAATTGAGGCCCTCGCAGCCCGCACTGTGTCGCCGAAAGCCAAGGACAAAGATAAAGACAAGGACAAGGACTCTTCCGACGTTCCTGCGCCCGCTGAGTTGGCCACTCCGGCACACGTCGCTGCTACCTTAGCGGCAACTATCCCCGGATACAAGAAATTGTCCTCTCTGGCACTAGAACCTGACGACGCAATAACTCTGCGAGCGCGCCTCATACGCTTCAAGCACCTCGGAGCGGAGGATAACGGCGAAGAGGACAATGTCTTTGCTAGCCTACGGCGTCTTGTTTCGCAGCTAACCACTCGTTCTGCTTCCGAAAAAGACCTGACGACTCCGTTGGAAGAGCTGGCAGGACTATTCGCTAATCCTCACACGTCCGTGTCTAGTTTCGAGCTCCTACAGAGCGGGCTAGTAGATGGCCTGCTGCAATTCGTCACGGCAACAGAAGGGTGGAACGGTTAGTCGAATTCTTTGTGTACCGTCCGTTAGTAGTTGTTCATACCTCGTGACATAGTGGACCTCCCACGCCGACAGAGATTATTCTTCGCTACGTTCAGTATATCGCGCTCCAAAGCTGCCCCGCAGGGCCAAACACCGATTGCCACATTCATCAAAAAGCTGCAGGAGAGCTTGACCCGCATGGAATCATTCGAAGTTGTTACTGTTGCGCAGAGTGCAGATGGTAAGTGCGCATAGTCATGAAAGGAGGTGTCTTGCTGACAAAGACACAGATTCTAAGCGGAGCTCACCTTCGTTGCTCGCTCGTCAGCTCCGACTGAGGTTGGTTGCAGCCGAGGATTCTGATGTCCCGAAGAATCTCAGCAATATTGTGGTCTCTATTCATGCTATCGCGACTTTTCAGGCGTTACATGACTACTTACGGCCGAGGGTGGCTGGATCACTACCTAGTGGCTCACGGTTGTCAGGGATGCTTGCCGCTCTGGCAGCCTCAGGACTGGCGCCACCGTCATTCCCGCTGGGTTCTCTGGATCAACTGCATAGGCCTGCGAAGCCTGAGCCTGCTAGCGGCACATCAGCTTCTGTCGGTGTGGCTCGTCGACGTAGTCTTCGTCTCAGTGCGAAGCAGTCTGGCCCTGAGGAACCTGCCCCTGCCCTTGTCCCCGAGGAAGAGAGTGCTAATGAATCACGATTGAGCGCAGCGCCATCGGCTCTACAGCCTGCTGATGTAGCAAGTTCCACTTCAGCGCCGGACAGTGCTTCAAGTGGCGCTACCGTCCATGAACCAGAGTATGCTGCCGACTTCTCGGAGGATGATGTGGATGTTGATGCAGAGGTCGGTAAGGTTTGACTTGCATGACTTGCAGAAAGCTCAAAATATAGCTAGGTAATTGACGAGGATGACCATGGTGATATTGCACAATCAGAGAAGACCGTCACTGTCTCCGTTCAAGATGGTTTGCCCGTGTAATATTTTCACCTTGTGACACAACTCACTCAAGTACTAGATGGTTCCAAAGTCGAGGCTCAGACACCCGACGGTACCAGGGTTTCGACGCCTGCACCCGCCAAAGCTCGGACATCGGCACCAACATCACGCTCATCCAATGTAGGGGCTTCGTATGCGGCTGCTCTCAAGTCGAAACCCAGCGATTGGCATCTGGAATTCTTTATGGACGATCACAAGCTACCCCTCGATCTCACCATCTACGGCGCAATTCATCAACACGAATTGCGCAAGAAATCAGGCCCAGCCCTCGCCCCGAGTATGATTTGGCAGGGTGTATACACTATCAAGTTCAAGAAGGTTTCTGGACCAGCACCCGCCTCCGAATGTGGGTTCACTTGGTTCGATTACCACATGTTTATTGACTGATACATATAATAGCTCGTGGAGACGAGATCGGGTCCCGGAGTCGTTCACCAGGCCCGACATTGTCATCGCTCCCAGAAGATGCCCCACATGGGAAGATTCTGCGACTGCTCCGTGTCCTCTACAGACTGAATGCGCGAGAGCATGAGCGATCTGCTGTCCCTGGACAGAATCGTGCGCTGTCTGAAGTTTCGTTCGTGAACAACAAGCTTACAGCAAAACTTACTCGACAACTTGAAGAGCCCATGATTGTCGCCAGGTATGTACTTATCAAATCTGGTCTGCAGCCCTTGACCCTGACCGACATTTGCAGCTCGTGTCTCCCTGACTGGGCCCTCGATCTGCCTCAGCATTTTCCCTTCCTCTTCCCATTCGCCACTCGATACAACTTCTTGCAATCGACATCATTTGGCTATGCCCGACTCATCCTCAAGTGGCAGAGTCAACAAACCAGAGGGCAAGATTCTTCTCGACGTGATGACGGAGTGGGATTCTTGGGCCGCCTGCAGCGACAGAAAGTCCGGATATCTCGGCAGCACATCTTGGAATCAGCGGTCAAAGTCTTTGAGTTGTACGGCTCCTCATCTTCCATCCTTGAAGTGGAGTATTTCGAGGAGGTCGGCACAGGTCTGGGACCGACACTTGAGTTCTACTCCCTCGTGTCCAAGGAATTTGCTAGAAAAGATCTCAAGATCTGGAGAGATGCCGATCCCCTCTTGTCAGGACCTTATGTTCACCATCCGCTTGGCTTGTTCCCCGCCCCTATCGACCCGAACGATATCGTCAACGATGGAGGACAGTAAGTGATGTCTTTTTGCATCTACAGCCACGAGACTCAGGCGTATTGGTTGTAGTAAACGAACTCATATTTTTCGCGTCGTGGGACAATTTGTCGCAAAGGCAATGCTTGATTCTCGCATCATCGATCTATCATTCAACAGAATTTTCCTCAAACTTGTACTGGGAGAAGATGTACCACTGAATGTAGACATTCTGAGGGTCAGCTACACTGAACGAGATTCGGAATATCAGTTACTGACAGACTCTTATAGGGGGTCGACCCTGATTTGGCAGCTTCCCTAGCTCAAGTACAGGCCCTAGCAGCAGTGCAGAATCAGAGCGACAAGGTATTATCTCTCTTACGATCCCTGTGGTTGGACTTCCTGACCTTGTGTCACCAGTCGCGTCGCAAACATGGAGTAGACGAGGTTCGAGTCGAAGACCTCGCCCTCGATTTCACTATTCCAGGGTATGACGTGGAGTTACGAGTAAGTCTGAGTACGTTAACTATGCATCACTTTGCTTATCAAGATTTATAGCCTGGTGGAAGAGATATGCTCGTGACGTCAGAAAATGTTGACGACTACGTACATGACATTCTCGACGCTATAATTGGGAAGGGTACTCAGCTTCAAGCGAAAGCGTTCCGAGAAGGATTCTCGAAAGTCTTCCCTATAACGGATCTGCAGGCGTTCACAACGGACGAGCTGGCTATGCTCTTTGGCAATGCTGAGGAGGATTGGAGTATCGAGAGTACGTGCAGTTCTTTCTTTCTTTGATGACTTGGTTGACGCCGCGATGGCAGCATTGAGTGAAGCTCTTAAGGCCGACCATGGCTTCAATGTAGAGAGCCGCGCTATACGACAGCTGCTAGAGATCATGTCGGAATTCGATACACCGACACGTCGTTCCTATCTGCAATTCATCACTGGCAGTCCAAGGCTACCCATCGGCGGTGCGTGTGGTTGGCTTTTATGACGACGACGACTCAGTGACATTTCCAAATTAGGTTTCCGAGGTCTGAATCCACCACTGACGGTCGTGCGCAAGCCGCATGAGGCGCCGCTTACCGCAGATGATTATCTGCCCAGTGTCATGACATGCGTCAACTATCTGAAGCTGCCTGAGTACTCATCCAAAGTGGTGATGCGAGAGAAGTTACAAATAGCAATGAGAGAGGGTGTAGGTAGTTTCCACTTGTCATAATGTTTCTGGCATTGTCGAGACGGACATCGTCGAGTGCTGTGTATCTGTATCTGCTGTGCTTTTACCATTGTGTTATTATTAGACATTCATTCCATATAAACTAGCGCAACTGGCCGTAGTCGTCATGCTAGTTTTCGCAGCGGATAACCCAAACGACGCGTATACGCGTATAACGTAGATTGTAAGACGGTGGATTGTGGCCAAGGATGTCGTCGGGAAATTAGCTCCGAACTATACAACTAACTGAGCGACGAGATCTCAAGATCTCATGACCAACGAATACGCATTGCCGGATATCGCCAATACATGACATAACTTCGCAAGCCAATCCGTCAGGAGGCGTTACACAAGTACCATGCCGTTGTCCGAGAGCCACTCATGTTCAGAGGATTGCAAGCTAGGAGAAGGACACCTTCCTCGGCTTCCCGCCAGGCCAACATATATAAGCCGGCAACTCTCTATGCTGCTCCCTCAGTCCTCGACTACACAACCCATTGAAAAACATGTCCGTGAGTAGCAATTGTGCAGCCTCGTCCTCAGGTAGATACTAACGCCCGAGGACGGCTTATAGGACACAGTCAAGTGCGCTAACGTACAGGCCAACGGCGGCTCCTGCACCTACCCTGCGTGCAACTGCGCTGAGCCACCCAAGAGCAAGTAATAAGCTCTGGGGCAATCTTCCGCCTCTGAAGCATGCTGCCGGTACGTGTACACAAACTATGTTGTATATCGATTCGCGTTAATAATATTTCCGGCAGGTACTCCTGCGATGATATCCTGTATGCAGCGATGTAGCATAGCATCATGTAGCACCTTCCCCGAATTCAGAGCTTGATGTTCTTGAACTTGAATGCTGTGTGTCCTTGAGTGCTGACGCGTGAAGGCGACCGTGACTGAGCTCTGCTGTGGATGGATGTGCAAATTGGAATCATGGATGTGTGGATATGCGACCGAGTTTGGTTACGAAATGGCGGGGCAAAAATGTAGCATGCAGGTAACGCTGATCGGGGTAAATTTCAGCTTACCGACCACCACGCCTCATCATCGGGAGCATCTCGTCGCATAACGGGTTCTTGACGTAGCCCGGGCGGCGGATTCTTCACCGTTACATTGGGAAAGCTGGCTGGAGCATGAGGTCACCAAACTCTATCTGACCGTTGCGCCGCACGGATTTCAGCACTTCTGATGTTCTCTGACACAACTCCGATGTTGCAATAGCAGTACGGGGCACACCTGCCTCTGAAAGCATCGGCCTCGAGCTCTCCCGTTGTAGACTCCGTTGGTCGCGCTCCGGCCACAGCGGTATGAGGTAAGTAGTACTGTCATGATCGAAATTCCTGACCTTCTGAAGAGAACGGGCCGCATGCATTTACTCCTGGAAGCAAACACGCACCAAATCTAGACGATCCTATTGGGCTTTCTTATCAAACTGGTACCGCACCATTGGAGAGTTGGTCGGATCTCGCTGTTGCTGTCTTGGGGCCTTCGTCGAGCCGCGGTATGTGAGAGCCAATCGATGTAAGCGGATTATACCCTCCCAAGCGGACGGAGAGTTTCGCTCATCGAAGGGACGTCCCCTCCCGACTATAAAGCATGCTGTCGCACTTCCGCTTGCTTCAGTCCACAACCACAGACTACACACCCCACTCGTACCAACATGTCCGTGAGTACCCGCCCTCGTATTGTCACCAATGCATCCGAAGAACTCACTTGCTTTCCATTATTCAGGACACAGTCAAGTGCGCTAACGTTCAGGCCAACGGCGGCTCCTGCACCTACCCCGCGTGCAACTGCGCAGAGCCCCCCAAGAGCAAGTAAACACCTGTAGCTCACATCAGTGAGTACCCACAGTGCTCGCAAGCAGGCAGAGTAGTTTACTGATGCATATCCGCTGGCAGTACGTGTACAGGTAGAATGAGGCTTGCTGTATTGGGGCGTGCCGCTCTACCCTGTGTTGTTGCGATGTAGCATTATTGCCGAATACATGGGTCATGCTTGAGATCACCGCTGCAATGAATTTGATAAGTCCACTACGATAGCTGCCAAGACCAACATCATCTGTAGATCTTGGATAACGTTCGAAGGTTCGTGAACAGATAGGTCCCACAGCATTCGCATTTGCGATCAGATTCGTCGATATCACGTCGTGCATGAAGAAGACGTTGGGCAGAGGCGGCGGGCCGAAGAGCGCTGGACGCTAATTGATCATTTGAGGCCTTTAGCTTCATGGCTGCAGTGGTCTCGGTTTAGGGCCTCGACATTTGGGCGTATTGCGGCTAGGGCCCGTGAGAGCACAGTTACTTGAATACAGACGGAGTGAGATTGTGGCCAAATGGCGAGTGGTGGCACGTAATACGCGTCCATTAATACATCCAGGATCGCGATTCGGAAGGTACTACGCGACTGAATAAGGCAGGTATCTACGAACAGTCTCCAGGCTCGCTCCTCTTAGCACTCCCTTATATTTGTTAAAGTTCGTCCGAGACCCGAAGCGAGAACGATCAACGAAGATATAACGCGTTTGTCTGAGCTCTGTCAAACGCGTAAGGAACATACAGGATGGCTCGCGCAAAGTCTGCAAGGTACTACAAACAATGATACGGTGGCATGCGCTCGCCACAATCTCAAGTTCCAACAATATTGTCGCAGTGTTATTTCGAGCCATGTTATATGCACATAAGAGCGTAAATGGCTGCATACCATTCTTCCCCCAACCACCTTATACGTGAGGTCTGTTGAAGGACACTTTCATGCCAACTCCACAATACACCAATCTTACATGTGTATCGGATTGCCTCGACTCGCTAGATTCTCACTTCATGATACAAGATCCTACGACGAATTGGTGATAGAAGTACCGATACGACGACAGCGGACCAGGAGTAATCAGCATAGAGCGAGCAAACGGGCGGCTCTCTCACAGTGTGTCAGAGTAATCCAATATCAGTGGCTTTATCAGAACCGTGTCTCTGTCTACAGCGGCCCACGATAGATACGATAGTAGGCGATAAAGCTATGCGCAGATCGTACAATATAAATTAGGTATGAGCCATCTCAATACGAGAGCAGGCAATCCAGAGACACGCAAAGGGGGCTCAGAACAATACAAGATGTAACAGAGATAACGCCACCTCGGTCAGATGAGCACTGCAAGCAGTCGTATCATAAACATCCATCGTGGACTGTCTCTTCCGTAGCAACGGTCCGAATGACCTGCTCTGCCCCCGCAATAGGCGCACCAGCGGTAGGCCCGCTCTTCCACCAGCGTAATCGCTCAACGAGCACCCCGCTCACCTTCGCTATGCGGTGCGACACGCGGGGCGGCGGCGGATGAAAGCGCGCCGAATACTCCTCCAGCTGCCGGCGGAACCCGATGTTTGGCGAGGCAACGCAGCGCTTCGACGCGACGAAGCCAATCGCGTCGGCAGCGTTCATGGACGTTGTTGCGATGAGGAACGCGCAGACGACGGTCGCGGAACGCGACATGCCCACGAAACAGTGCACCTGCGGCGCATTGCGGGGGAAGTCAGCAGAGGAAATGGGCGCGCGGGTCAGGCGACGTACGAGGACATTATTTCGCGGGTCCTCCGCGAGTGCCGCCCGAATGAACGCGGTCGTTTCGTCCAGATGCCGCAGGAGGTCCGACCCCATCGAGTCTGTGATGGGTATATGCAGTGTTCTCAGATGAGGCAGCGACTTCGGGAGGTTGGGCGGGTGCTCAATAACGGACACCACATGCGTAATGCCGAGCGCAGTCAGCTGCTGCTCGTCTTCTGCGGTGAGGAGATTCGACAGATACAGACGAGGCACTATCAATGAAGCGTCGCGCCCAACGACGAGGCGGTCGCTGGGACGTATGGTAGCGGCAGATTTGACGACGAGGGAGGACTGTACGCCAGGACTGCTGAAAGCCAGCATGATGGGCGTAGACAAAGTACGGAGCTACAGCTGCCCCAGGCTGTTAGCGACATGGTTAGTACCAGACCGGCAATCGACTAGGCGCCCTATTACGCCCGAACTTGTCGGGATCAGTTCAATCGGAATAGAACCGAAATTATGACCCGCTTTTTCTCCATTCCATACACTTTGTTTCTGTCGTAGCACGCGACCTATGTCAGGGCATACAGACTGCTCCATGTATATTGATTTTCGACACTACTATACACAGACAACAATAGGGGAACAAGCAATGGACGAGCGCAAATATGGATCATTATTAGCCCTTTTTGAATCCTAATACACAGGTAAGCACAGCCCGACGATGAGTAGCGCACGACGTACCCAGCCGCCGCCGTTCGTAAAACAAGTCTGTGCGGCTGGCGCCAAGGTTGACAATCTTCGGACATCCATCGCGGTCCTTTTCTAGTCTCGTACATTCTGCACAATAGTACGCGTCTGAGATACCTGTACACACGCTGTTCAGTAGCTGAAATGACATGCATGCAGGTAGGGGTACGTACCAGGAGAACCGCAGATAATACACCGCCCTCCGTAAGTACCAAAGTTGCACTCGTCGCAGATGCGCACAAGGGTCTCGGGGCGTACGTAGGAATCACAGACAGGACTGCATCACGGTCAGCGTCGCTTTACTGAATGGCCTAATCATGCACACTCACCATTTGCCATCGCACTTCTCGCACAGACGACCGATGGCTAAGACAATGAATAAGCATCTTAGAAACGAAATGGGAATGAACTACATACCTATGCCGGGCTGTCGCCTGCACATAATGAGATCTATAGATTATCAGTGCAATGCATGTGGTCAAAATACGATACACATACCTGGGTGATGCTTAGACATGGTGGTCGAGTCTCACTGAAGCTGGAACCAAGGCAGCGGGATTAATGGCTGCTGCATTGCTTTGTCATCCATCAACCCCGCGGGAATTATACGGTCACCCTAATAAATGTAGACATAGCAAGTAAAGTACATATTGCTGTAAAAGCCTGGAGCAACGGGGACGAATACACGGAGACTGGATTACACAAGGATCACAAGCAAAATGCAGAGGAAGGACCCAGGAGGATTCAGCAGTTCATAGCAGTGGCTCGGAAATGTCCGACGTTATTGATGGGGGTCGAATTCGGGCGGTCGCCACATTCGTGTTATTAGCAGTCGCCTGCCATGTCCTACCCTGCTCATAGCTTCCCAAGTACGCCGTCCCATCACCTGCTCGACAATGACCACGATGAACGACCACCCCCTTCTATGTCCGACATACTCCTAGATCCGCTCAACCAGCTCCAGACGCTCTCACATCAGCTCTTTCTTTCCCTCGGTCCCACACAGGCGCGTGGCCCGCCACCACCACCCACCAGCTCGTTCCTCGCAGTCGACGCTACGCTCGCGTCAGCAGTCCAGCTCGCACGGCGGCACCAGGTCAAGCAGCGCGCGATAGAGCGACTCAAGAGCGAGGTACTTGCTCTTGATACGCGGTGGCGCGAGATCGTGTGCGCCCTAGAGCAGGGCACGCGCGAGCTTGCGGCGCTCGTGAAAGAGGGCGACGAGCGCATCAAAGCAATTGAGGACGCGCAGGCTGGTGCGTACATTGTTCTCTTAGCCCCTGTCGCGCTCACAGGGCCGCGACAGCGGCCATCCCGTACCCTGAGCTCCTCGCGTACGCGCAGAGCCTCTCCGCGTTCACTTCCGCACCGCCGAACATGCCAGACCTCGCGCTACCTGGCCAGCCGCCTCCCCCGCTCTTCTTCCCGCCGTTCCCGAACGAAGAGAAGATGCGGCGCGGCCACATGAACGACGAGGCCCCACTCGGCCTGTTGGGCGAGACGCATTCTGTCGGAAAGCGTACGTCGTTCCGGTTTCATGCCTTTAAGAGTTCACCGATTCGAATTTGGCGACTGCAACAGCGCCGACTGTCCAGCCCAAGTCCGTCGAGATGCCGCCGCATATGGCGGGTCCAGGTGCGAACCCATACCGGCCTGACCTACGCGCCCCACAGCAGCAGTTCTTCGATCTTGATCTCGACCTCAATCCCGATCTGTAACCTTTCTCCCGCATTCCACGGCTCCTACACGACGTGCATTTCTTGGGTGCTCACGCTACGTGGGGTATCTGGTGTTTCTGCTCTTGCGGCGCCCATGGCAATGATTTCGGAGCATTACATGCGCTGCATAGGATCAAATATTGAGACCTGGCACCCGCCCTTGCTGGCTTATCACCCCTTGCTCCACGCAGGACGACCAACAGGGACTGGATATACGGCACCACTGCAGGATCAGGGAGAGGGCCGATCTAGGAACCAGAGCACGGCAGAGCAATAATTCTGAAGATGGGTCGTGCAGGACACACGACGGCGCTTCGCACTGAACAAACTGTGTATGACGGGATTGTGCAAAACTCATCAATTTACAGAACTACGTGGGCTTGCTTTTGTGCTGTAATTCGGTATGTGTGCATGCCATACGGTAATTGGAGGCAGGTGAGAGGGAAAGAGAAAAGACCTGCAACAGATTGCAAGACAGGCCCGCTGACACAAACTTAGATCGTACTACGGATCTCATGTCTAGCAGCAATGAGGTGTATGATACACCCACCGTTCATGGATGTTGAGACCGGCGGCTGCGTACCACACATGTCCTGCATCATGTTGGTCTCCCGACGGTCAGTTCGTCGGCTCCACACAGTTGTCGAGGTGTTCTTAAGGAAAAGTTGTCATGTCCGCAAAATGTACAGGTAATAATGGAACGCCTCGCCCAGTGCCCGGACTTCCAGTGTTGTCCCGGGCCTTGTGAGATAGCGACGGCGAAAGTGAGGTTGCCCGAACGTCAAATAGATGAATATCCCTCCCGGTTTTAGCACCCTGAGAAGCTGTCGGGTGCGGTTGATTGTGTATCAACGACCCACTCACCTCAAGACTTCGTCTACTTCTCGATTGCAGTTCTCGACGACATCTTCTGGTGGATCCTGTTTGTGATGAGTATGTCACCATAAGGATGAACATAGATACCACGCATACCCAGACATCACCTTTTGCGGTCATCATCGCGTCCATCGTTCCTGCGAGAAACGTTGAGTTATAAACAATATCAAGGGGGCACATAGATCACATACCTTTATCAATTGCGACATCAAAGGTGTCCTGTTCAAATTTCAGATCTCGAATGTCCATCTCCAGCCCTGTAGATTTGATACATCTGTCAGATCGTCGAAGGATCTTAGCACCTCAACCTCGTCCTCAGACGTGATATCCATGAAGCGAGCTGAGCAGACATCGAAAAACATGTTCACGATCCATCACAGAACGTTCCGCGAGCCTTGATAGAGCCGGTAGAGGTAAGCTAGAGATTCAAACTTTCTGTCGCACCACGCCCAACAGGAAGGCGCAAGCATCGCTGCGACTAGTTTTCGCGCCTTATTACAGTGACATGTGAGGGGGTTACCACACCCTTCCTGTTAAGTCTCACAGAACGTTCTGGCTATTGCTCGAGCAGCGCGCAGGACTATAACGTGGACAACGAGCGCTTCACATACACTGCATTTCAGGCCGAGTGTATTCGTGTCGTTGCTGCATGTTCTCGATCAAGACACCTGAGTACTGTGCGGGTATCAGGTACCTCGAGATTGTAAACCTTAGGAGAACGTACGTCGGTATTGACAATGCTTTTGTATCCGTCGTCATACATCTGTATACGCGTCTTGAACACCATGAATATCTGCATAGAAGAGCGATGTACATACGTCTTCTGACAGAGTCGAATTACCGCATCCTAGCATCAAGATCCTTGACGCCTTGTCAGGAATTAGCTCCCGAATGATGTCAGCGACATCGGCATATGATTTGAACCAGTCGAACGATGCGCCGGACGGCTCCCTGCGAGACGTGCAGTCTCTCGTAAGGGTTACACATCCAGGCCAATCTAGACTAAAACATGCTTACTTGCTATACCTCTGGTCCCTGTGAAGATTGGATATTCTGCGCAGAAGCATTGTTTGGCTCAGCTTACCAGTATTCCTTGCTGCCGTATTCATCGTTTTTCTGCGGCAGAACGTCCGTCATGATTGCAGCTATAGGGCTGGACGATGGCCGAGAGCAAAAACGGGTACCAAGGTGAGCGCGCGGCGGGTCCGGAACGGCCGCGGTCACGTCTGTCGGCCGATCGATCACATGGCCGTTCGCCTATAAAGAATGCGGGGTAACACTGCGGGGTTGACACACACCCTTCGCCTGCTGCTTTCCTTCCCACCACTCCCCAAACACCATGGTTGGTATTGGTTACTGCAATACCCTTTTGGGTTGCTAATATTTGCGATAATATAGTCTGCTTATCCCGCATTTATAATGGGCGGTCTCTGCATCGTCGGGGGCATTACCGGCTTCGCCAGGACGCGCAGCATCCCGTCTCTCGTCGCAGGAGTTGGGTATGTTGCTAAGCATGGTGCCCCTATTTCTGCGCTCACAGGAATCATTCTAGTGTCGGGGCTCTCTATCTTTGGAGCGCGGACAGCATCCGGAAGGGTACACCGAACGGTCTCGAAGCGGCATTAGGTATGCTTGCTTGCTTTGCTCGCTTAAGTGGCCGAGTTGACGTTCTGGGCAGGCGCCTCTGCCCTTCTGCTGTTGTCTTCTTTGCCCCGTGTTGCAAAGGGACCTGTGCCAGCTGTCCTTACCGCAACGTCGACCGCTACGGCTATCTATTACGGGAAGAAGGTCTACGCACTCCGGCAATGATCCACATACCCCTCAGAATCTTTGCTTGTATAACAGTGTATCAGTTGACCTTCACATTGTGTAATCCCTGCTCTATTTCATTTATCCTTCAAAGAAGGCGCATGTCTTGATGACAACCCGAAAGGCATACGCAAGTCACTGGATTATCTGTCTACTCCCGACATACAGGTAAGTATCAACGCGTCCGTCTGTACAATCAATAATTTACTCGTCTGAGACTTGGAACTTGCCATCTACCACTGTCTTTCCGACAACGCGGCGGTGTAAGGAAAGTCTGCAGTGACCAAGCGCACAATGTCCGTTTTGGTGATGATACCTGCTAGTTTTCCCCTTTCTGACACTAGTACATGTCGGAGGTTCTAGGTAGCAGCATACTGATTTTTAGTGAACACGAAGGATACGAACCACATGGCACCTACCAGTTTCTGGACCATGCTGACAACCAGTTCGAGCGGCATCTCTTTCCGGAGGTGTAGTACTGACTCTTCAAGCAGCGGTGAGAGATCGATGACAGCCGCATTCGACTCAGTCGGACGTGCCGCAAAAGTGCACTTCCGCTGTGCACCGGACGTTGCATCTTCTGCCAACAAGGGCGCTGTCCAAGGCGTCACACCCTGACTCGCCGACGTACGCAGCGCGGGCACTCACCAAGCGTCGTCTTCAACCGGTCACGCGTGACATATCCGACGAGCTCGTCCCCGAAAAGTACGGGAAACCCGTGGAAGCGGTACGTGCGCACCACCTGGTCGATGTCCTGGAGCGTGCACCCGTGCGCGTCTTCGCGGAGCACGACAAGGTCGGCGGCGGGCTTCATGATGTTCATCGCGGTCTCCCCGCGGTCGCGGAACTCGTTCGGCGGGAGCCAGGGGTACTCGCGCATCGCGATCCATATCGAGTAGATGCCCTCCTTGCCAAAGTAGTCTCCGACCCACTTCGAGACCATGACGGAGATCATGATCGGGAGGACGTGCGAGAGCGCGCCCGTGAGCTGTGTAATGCCGTGAGTATGCTGTGAGGTCTAGGGGCAGCACCTGCAGGGACGTACTTCGAAAAGGATGACTACCAGTGAGACTGTTCACTCACGTCAGTGAGTACGTAGAGCAGGCAATGAAGGGCGACTTGCCTGTCATTCTGGTAACACCGCCAAGCATCGCCGATGCACCAATAACAGCGTAGAAACCGGGCGAGACGCAAGGCACGGTTGGTTCAGGTGGACACGAGGAGAACATCCAAGCTTTCGGATAGGCATGATGTAATCCCTGTCTGGAGTGGTATGCATCACTGAGTAAGCGACGACGTCTCAGTCAAGCAAATCGACGGACGTGATGAGGCCAACCGCGCGACCCAAACAAGCTCCGATAGCAATGGTTGGCAGGAAAATACCTGCCGGAATCTATGAAGTGCAGTATCAATGAGCTGTCAGGCTGCAGGGTCGGATTCAGCACCCACGTACCATCATGCCGAATGTCCATGCTGTCAGCGCGAGTTTCGTTGCGGCGGTTAGGATCAGGAGGAACACGTTTGCCCATGTTGCTGTTGGGCTGTACGACGGTATATGAGAATCATCGGGCGTACAAGGGGATCAAACTCGCTTGCAAAGACCGTGGTAGTCGCCCCTGCTGGCATCGCACTCCAGGAATAAGTTGGCGACGAGTTCCGACGACTGAGCCCGGAGAAATACGACCTGTCACAGGCATGAATCCATCATAATTGCAAATCATCACAGCGCGGACTGACGAGATAGCTGACGGCTGCGGTCAGTGCGCTGAAGCCGACTACCTCAAACACAGGCCATTGGTGCAAAATGCTGCTCCGTCGATAGACTGCGGCCGCAGCATTGAGCTTGATCATCAGGGAACCAAGTACGCCCTGTGTGCTCAAGAGTCAGTTTCCTTTTGATGACTGTGCTGCTGGAGCAGATACCGACGCCCAATATTGCTAGAAATAGCCATGGAATCTAGAGACGGCGTGAACAGGCGTTGCGTCGTAAACAAGCGGACAAACCAGTTCGAAGGCTCTCCAGACAGTCGTGACCTCGCTTATCTGCACCTGAAAGAGGACAAGCTTTGATGTGCCGAAAGGGTCAACGTACTGTAAGGCCATGGCGGCAATGACCGACGTGACGAAGCCCCGCCACATGACGTCCGTGCCGCTGGAGAACGTGTCCAACTCCTCGAGGCCAAATAATACGCCACCTAGAGGACTCCCGAACGCGACAGACACGCCGGCGACGGCCGCGGCGGCTAGCAGTCTGCGTTTGCGGGCTGCATCACGATGAGCGGTTTCAATCACTTACAGGATAGGTGCATAGCTACCTTCGTTCCCGTACACCTGTTTGAACATCTTCGAGAACAGGAATGCCATGCAACAGGAGACATGCACAAGTGGACCCTGCATTTGCCGTGAAATATACGAGTCTTAACGCTACTAAATCCTGACGTACCTCCTTTCCCAAAGACAGCCCAGATGCAACTGCGAGGGCGAGTCCCAGTGCTTTGATGAGCAAGGTCCATGGACTGAGGAAAGCGTCCAGCACGTAGCCGCTGAGGATCTGAGCGAGGGTCTTTTATAATTTTCAGTTGATGCATGTGGGACTAAACTCACGGCCTTGATTTCAGGTACTTGACGGTTGTCGTGTGTCAAAAAGTACATTCGATAGGTCGAAGCATAGGTATGGACTCACTTCCAGTATGAAAAGCACTGTTGGAATATGTCTCAGGATGAGGTAGCGTTGCACTGATTCACACTTACTAGGGCGCATACGTCTGCACCAGTACAGCAGCACTTCCCGCGAATGTGATCTACAAGGGCTACTCGATCAACTGACGTTAATGAGGGAAGTGCAAGGACTTACTCCCAGTGTAATGTAGATGAATGATTGTAGTATAGACTGTGCAAAGACTAACTTGATGTTGAAATGTTCGCTCCACGTTTGCCACTGATTGCAGACCTCTCCGGCTTACAGGCGAAATGTGTGAGCACACAGTTATATTGCAGCAGCGGTATCCAGTACATACGATCTAATCCACTACAACACGTAACTTGATTGTAGAAGAACCCATATGTGCATCGGCCCTCCTTCAAGTCGCCAAGCCTGAAGGGGATAAATCCGTTGGTGCGTAATCCTCCTCCTGCAGTGAACGCGAGACGTACCACCGTACAAGTATGTCCAGCCAGGCCCCCGCAACGCCAGTACCCAGGCCAGTCAATATAATTACTAGCCACATGCCGCAAGAATCGAGAACAAGCGAGAGTAGTCCATGGAAACCGCGCTGGCTAGCCAAGACACGCTTGCGCTCGCGCTCAGCGGCCTCCTCACGTTGCCAGTCGATGGTTGCACCCTCCTCATAAGAGGGTTGTTTCCCGGGCATCCGCAGACGTGGGGGGGCTAGGTCTTCTTCGAGTAGCTCGTATTGCTCCGCGTCCGAGACATTGTGCGCATGGCCGTTTGTACGCTTGAACCAGGACATTGGTGCTATGGGCCTGTAAGGAAGTGGGCACGAGGACTTGTGACCCCAGTTGTAGATTATTAGCCAGTTCCCAAGAACAGCGAGTCTTTCGTTCCGAGCTGAAGTTCATCAACGCAGTGCGTAGCTCGTGCGTCAGTACTACGAATGAAAGTACTCCGAGCTCGCAGTCGGCGTGCAGTGCACACGAATAGTATGCACGTGACTATCCGATTATGACGGGCGCTTGTAAGGTGCTCTCGTCTACCCGCACTTCGTGCCATATTAATGTCTTCAAGCACTTTGCAGCCATCACTCTCCTCTCTTGCGATTCTCGAGAAACCTTTTGATTCTAACTTTTGAATACCTGCAAATAGAGGGGCTTGCAATCCAACGCTTACTTGCCTCACTGGGTTACATGCCGCTTATTGACTCAGCCACCGCTGCGGTTTAGGATCGAGGCACAGGTAAGCACTCGGTCCTACTTTGATGAGGCTTGGACTGCGGCTACATGCAAAGCTCATGCGCAGCCACATGTATCATTTTAGAATCAGTCAAACGCATGTCATACTCTGACTACAGCGTCTCGGACCACAACAGGTCCGAAACCAGACCAGACAAGGCTCTCGTAGTCAAATGTGCGTACGACGAAGCGGTCAGGAAGATTACCTTCAGCTCGACTCGCACATGTTCCTATGAGCTTCTCAGACAGAGAGTGCGCTACCTCTCGCTCCTGGTGTCAGGATCTGGCTGACTGGGAATCAGATTGAGGAGGGATTCTCGCTCTATACCACCCCTTTCGCCATTACATATACAGATGATGACGGCGAGGTCACGGACATAGCGACCGACGCGGATCTCACAGAGGCCATCCGCTATGTATATCCTGTCAACGACGATCCTCCGCTCTCCTCGTCCTCATCTATACTTTCTGGCCGCAGTCTCACAAGAGGGAAGATCACGCTACGAGTCCGTATCACGGTCGAGTACGACGGACCCAGCCTGTCCGACACGTCTTCTCTGGTTAGTCTGGAGGAATATAGGAACCGCAATGGCAGCGAGCTCTCGCTGTCTCTCAGCATGCCCCCCGCAGGTGAGATTGAGGATGACTCCATCACCGTAAGCTCGAAGGATATGGGTTCAAAGCATGATATGTATCGCGCGCGGGGCCCGAAGACAATGGTCTCTGGTCCAAGCCGCGAGACGCTACGAAATGACGCCCATGAGCCGACCGTCGAGGAAGAGAAATGGGAAGGAGCTACGATGTCAAGCGTCCCGCCGACAATGGCCGTGGACAAACTCTCATCGTCACACTCGTATGCCCCTTCCTCAGAGCAGGACCCGTTTTCGGACAAGCAAGCCGCATTGGACCCGACATCTGTGTTCGAGCGCCTAAGACTGGAAGAGGATCTGCAAAGCCGGCAGCCAGGATCCAGCTATGGATCGTCCACTCTGCACTCAGAGCGCGGTGCGGCATGGCTCCGTGACCAGAATGCACGGACAATCAAGGGAATGCTCGGCGAATTACCCGCGCCGTCCGAGAAGTCGTATGAGCCGTCGGTCGCGGCACCCGAGGACACCGGCTCTGTGCTGAGCGGTGAGCTAGCGCTGCAGCAGGACGCAACTGGCAAGTACTACTACGCGTACACGGCTGGCAGCAGCTCGTACGGCGCGTCGCAGAGCGTGCCCGACTCGGGATTCGAGGACGTCTCGGATGTCCACCGCGCGAGTATCACTGCCAATCCCGCCCTAAGTAGACCGACATCGATGGAGGTGAATGGTTATGATTACCAAGAAGTCTCCGGAAACGCGCTGCACCGGTCTTCATCTTCTGCTTCAAACCCGTTTATCCGGCGTTCTATGTCGGAACCCATCTTTCCTCCAGACTACATTGACCCTGACGTCCCCCCTGAAGTTCTTCAGTTCATCACCGGCATCCCTCCTATTCCTCCAGAGAACCCTCCCACTTGTTCCAACTGCAGGACAATAATGGACACCTTTCGATACGTGTGTTCAACGTGCGGAGAGCAGAAACCGATCTCACCAAGCGAGTTGTATGGGATGGATAATGGCAAGGGGAAAACGCGGGCTGTGGAGATGGAGTTTACAAACGGCAAATACTCCTTCCCGCCCTCACCACCAACTATGTCGTCGGCTTCCTCAACGTCATCTTGGTCAATGGTCTCGAGCTCAAATGCCCCTTTGCGCAATACTTCCGATGCAACACTGAGCGCCGGACCAAGGTCGCTGAAGCCCCTGCCGGCAGTTCCTATGAAGTCCAATGGGTCCTCATCCTCGACGCTCACAATATCCACTCCATACAGTCCGTATGACACTGCGAGTACTGGCTACGAGCTGTGCTGGCAGTGTCTCCCAACCGCTGGAGTCACCCACGCACTTGAAATGAGTGTCGCACCTGGCTCATCACCCAGTCTCGCGGAATGGCCGTCTTCGGAAGACGCGCAGCGCGCCATGTCGCAATGGCGCCGAACTGCACCGAGCCAAAAGGGTCAATTACGTCACGCCTACATCGAGAAGAGTTGGGGTCATAAGGGGTGGCAGGACGTCGGTGCGTGCCCTCTCCCTATCTTCCGTCACGAGGCGCTAATAAAAACGTTCCGCCCGTGAATCGCAGAACAAGATGATCACCGCAGCTGTACCTGCTCGACCTGTGGGACTCAAATTGTGAATCACCGGTACAAATGTGCTTCTTGCGAAAACTTCAATCTGTGTAAGGCATGTTATAGGTGGGCCAGCAAGAGCTGTGACCGCGGACGTACGCTTACGCGCGATTTTTAGTCAGGTACACGAGATTCATCCATCGCACGCGTTCCTCGTCGTGCCGGATAAATTGCCGCGCTCGCGCTCCGAGCCTCACAACATGATGTCCGCATACGGAGAGGCTTGTATGTCCTTTTGTTGGCAGTACCTATATACATCACTCACCAGATTCTTCACAAAGCCCTCAAACATCCAGGGGTAAAATGCTTCCAGTACGTTTCACGATCATCATATCACTCGCACGCAGTTGATTTCTCGTATTTGTAAGTTGCATGCAAGATATCGTTGGTGCACGATTTCACTGCGCAATCTGTGATGCTGTCGATATCTGTTCCAACTGCGAGTCTGCCGGCTTACCAGGAAATCTGCACGAGTCCGACGGTGGGCACAGCTCGTCGCACATCATGATCAAGGTACCCCTTCACGCCATCCGCAACTACGGTGCGCTGACACCCCTCCGTAGATCCCTTATCCGCTTGGCACCGCAGAGCTGCAATCTGCTAGTCAGATGGCGAAAAGTCTTTGGAGCGGACGTGACGCGGCAACGGGCCAGCGCGTGCGCTCGCGACGTAATTCGCTCACCTCCGCGTACGACCGCACCGTCCTTGGCATCGGCTCTCGCAACAACGGCAACTCGTCGCTTGACAATGCGTCCGTGGCCATTGAGGCAGATGACCATGGTGTCAGATGTGATGGGTGTGGCGGGGTGAGTTGTGGTGCTACACATTCTAACGATGTTCGTTGACGTATTATTGCAGTACGTTGTTGGTATTCGGTACCAGTGTGCATCATGTCCTTCCCTACCAAAGCCGTACAGCCTTGTGAGTACTACGACCATCGACAGATGTATTCATACCTGACATAATCATAAGTGCGCACATTGCGAAGAGCGTTCATACATCCTACATGACCCGTTCCACGTCTTCTTTAAATTTCCGCGGCCGCTCAATCGCCCGCTACAAGTAGGCCGGCCATTGGTTCCCAAATTGTGAGTCACGCCTTCATTTTGATGCGCACATCAGGACAAATCGTGCTGGATCTAGGTACAAATACCCTGCGGGGCCTCCCGATGGCAACTACGCTATGAGTAACCCCAAGGGTACGTGCCTTCACTGTGATGTGCTGCAGTGACTTGAACAGTTCTGCTACCACAGCGTACCTCGCAGGTCTGGTTCACTCTTTTGCCTTATGCGACCGCTGTATGACACGCATCAACGGCGAGTGGTACCGTTGCGGATACTGCTCGATCGACTTGTGCGAGGTCTGCCAGCGGATGGACACACATAACGACAGACATGCTTTTGTAGTGTTCAAGTCTCCAGTACGTTGGTCGCTCTTCACTTGCTTGATTATTGCCTGATTGTCTCTTCGTCTTACCAGCTGGAGATGTCCCTGTTCAAGTACGTCGCAAGGTCTGCTGGTTATTGAGATAATTTTAACTGACTACACATTCTATATCAGGAGTTTCACGTCTGATGTTCATAACCCGACATCCATCATTCCCTACCCTATATATTACTCCTAGACTGACGCCAGCCTTGTACAATGTCGCACTATCAGGAACTGACTGCTGTATGATTGCATCTCTGTTGTACCGATGCTTGGTCGTGTCACCATAATTATGCTCAGTAACCCGGGACTCCCTAGGCCTTTTCAGCATATCGATCGGCATTTTCTTCTCACGTGATATCTATGCAAATATGCTAGCTTTTTAGTACAGAAATTGCAAGAGGATTCGGGCCGGTTAGAATGTTTTGACAGAGTGGTGGAGCTATGAGTGGTATGATGGCCATCTAGCCATACACGCCATTGTCAAACAACTCCATATACTAAGTGCATAAAATGTAGTGGAACAGCTTTACGTGAAGCTGATAGAGCGTTCTGTCGACTTGATTCCAGGACATTTCTGGTCACAATGTGCGTCGTACACGCCCAAATCATACTGTCTCATCAGAGCCGTTGTCATCACAGAGGAATGCCCTGCTGAGACGGGACTTTTCATAAGAGAAGGATGATGATCACACCTCTCGTGCGGGACCAGCTTCCGCAGCAAAAGAAAAGTAACAGCCTCTCGATGTCGCGCATTGCATACTGTTCAAAATAAGAACTTAACATTCTGGTACAGCTCCAAAATGGGATTCTCGCCGCTCCGGAGGCGGGTTTTGTCCAGATCCGCATGCGTCGCCATGAACTCGGCATGCGTATACACACTCGACTTGCGTTCGCCGACTGGGATCCCGCTCGCCGACGCCACGCCGTCCGTCGGCGGTCGGCGGTTCTTCCAATGGTACGACGAGAAGAAGTTGCTGCCCAGCGAGACGGGCGACGCGCTCGTCGACAGCGGCGACCGCGGGAGCGCCTCCTCCGGCAGTGACAACGGGAGCGGCTGCGACAGGATCTGCTCGTACATGTCGCGCAGCCGGCCGAAGTCGGTCGGGAAGAAGATGTCGAAGTAGCCCTGCTTGACGAGCAACGTCGTGCACGGCACGGTCTCGTTGCGGTACCGCGTCTGCACGACGGGCGCAGTGACGCCGACGATGGTGTCCGGCAGCGACGAGAAGTCGGACAGCAGCAGGCGGTGGCGCGGGAAGTGCTGCCGGAGCGTGCGCAGGAGGCTGAGGAGGCGCGTCGGGATGAACTCGGGCGCGGAGAGGTTCGGCGCGAAGGGGAGGTTCGTGTAGAGCGTGCGCAGCGCGGCGGAGCGTTTGAGGAGGCGTGGGATAGGCAGTGGGTGCGCGAGGCGGCGGCGGAGCGCGAGGAAGGACGCGATGAGTGGGTCTGTGACGCGCGTGTAGTGCGTGCCGAAGTCGCCGTGCGCGTCGATGGTGACGAGGCCCTGGTACGGCTCGAGCGTACGCAGGTCGTACCGGATCATATCGTGCGCAAAGTTGTCCTGCGGTAGTTAGGGAATGCAAGGTGGGGAGCGGGGTGGGACTCACGATGACCTCCATGGCGAGGAAGAAGCAGGGCGCGGACTCGCGTGTGTCCCAGCGGAAAATGCTCTTGTGCACTATGTCCACGCAGGGGTGCTTGTCGGCGAGCTTCTCGCGCTGCAGGCGCGCGAGGTTGCCACTAATCTCAATGATGCGGTATCGAGTGCGGTCGTACACTTCGGGGTAGCGCTCTTGGATGTAGTCCAGGATATCGCGCGCGAGGGTGCCATTGCCCGCACCAATCTCGTAGATAACGAAGTCCTCGTAGGGGAAGTACTTGAGCAGGTATTCAGACACGAGACACTGAGCGATAGCTTGCCCGTACCATGGCTGGTGCAGCGTTAGTCAAATGAAAGGGCAAGGCGTATCGTGCTGACCTGGAACAACTCAGTCGGTGTATGCCAGATTTGCCTGCCCGGTCCATCTCCATCTGGTCCGTACTCAGCATACCGTCTCCCGACCTCCTCCTGGAACTCGACGGTGTTGCGTAGTGATGTGAAGTGAATGGGATCCGTCGTCGTGAAGATGTCCGCTTGCTTCGGAAAGTAGCCATAGTGCGGGTTGTACAGCGAGTCCTCTATGAAGTCGCGCACGAGCAACTTGACGCGGGTCGGCGGCTCGCGGCGCTGCTCGAGGTCGTTGGCGGTGACGCGTTTGTAGTTGACATGCTCGGTGTCCGGGGCGTCCGCGAAGGAGAGTTGGTTGTAGTTGATTTTGTCGGGTGAGCGAGGTGGGTAGCAGGCGGGAGAGGTGGAAGAGAGTGACCTAGACACGCATTTCTGGAGGAGGCGTGTGCTTGCGGATGCGCGATGGAGCATGTAAGCAGCAGAGAGAGTCTCCGCACGTGGTCGAGTCTGATCAAGTCAATCAATTTCATCAAAGTTCCTCTCCTTCCGCTCGGGTGAGGCACCAACGTACCGAATTGGGAGAGAATAATATCAAGCCTTCCGCATACATGGACAACTTGCAGCGGTCAGTGCGGACTTGGATAGCGTCCGAACGCTCAGAGCAAGTCGATGCAGTCGTCTCTGGTGAGTCGCACTGTTCCGCAATTATCAGAACATGGTTTTGACTTGTGTATCAGAGATTGCTAATGGCTCGACTTCGCTCTTGGACCTTGTCAAAGCGCTAGGAGAATATCTCACTGCGGAAGAAGATGACCTGCGCTCTAAAGGTCACCATTCGTTACGCATAGACATACCACACACTGAACGTATCTGCAGGTGTAGATTTCCTTTCGTTAGTAATCGGAAAATGTCCCCCAGAGAAGTTCAGCCGGCAGTCGGGTGCGCACATCTCAAACTGATCCAAGTGAGGGATTTCTCCATGCTCACTGCCTCCTCGTTTCACAAGTGCGCGTCCTAGTCACATTCTATTGCGGCAAGCTGGAGGACACAGAGACCATCATACCTGCTCTGAGGGGCCTTGTGCCCCTTATGTCATTGTCTCCCGTCACATCAGCAGATGCAGTTGAAGTCACAAAAGCGTAGGTATGTTGAGCCCCTCGGTGTTCGTTGGCTGAATGCTTTGCAGTGTCATCAAGCATGTCAAGATGAAGGCCCTCGTCCAATCTCAGCGGTATCTGGTGTTCAAGACTATTGACACGCTCATAGCCAACCAACGAGACGGTGAGTCTTTCAAAGCACATGGAGCAAGTTATCTTACACAACATATTGCAGCCCTAAAGGCTATGGGCAAGGAATTTATATCCGGATACATCTCTCTCGCAGAAGGCGAGAAGGATCCCCGGAATCTCCTTCTTGCTTTTGCCATAGATCGAGTCATGGTGCTCGAGTTTGACATTTCAACACATGTCGAGGTGTGCGATTTCGTCTGTCCAATTCGCGACCTCAATTGACGGAAATCTTTTAGGATCTGTTCAACGTCACGTTTTGTTATTTCCCCATTACTTTCAGGCCACCACCAGACGACCCGTACGGGATCACCACTGACGATTTAAAGAATGCCCTGAGGTACTTGTGTCCGCATTCAACCGTTACCCAGTGGAACGCTAAAATCTTCGATGTAGCGCTTGTCTGAGTGCAACCCCTGCATTCGGGCCGCTTGCCATTCCCCTCTTCTTGGAGAAGCTTACGGCCGGCACCCCCGCGACAAAGGTATGACGCCTGGGCTAGGTAAATCATACATGATTAATTAGGTGTTAGCGTGACACCCTCAAAGCCCTCGATTCTTGTCTACCGGTATACGGTGCCGCTGTAGCCCGTACGAATGCGCGTAAGATGTGGAACTCATTTAAGCTCGAGGTTAGTCAACTTTTTCAGCACAAACTGGTCCTTGCTCATCGTCTCGCAGATTTTCCAACCTGTCGACCCTGTGACGGAGGAGGCAGCGCTGAGGACCACGCAGGTCCTCATACAAACACTATATTCGAATCCAGAAGTCGACTCCCAGTTGGAAGAAGCAGACATACAAGGTCTTGCGAAGGAGGCGTGTGAGGAGTGCATACAAATCCTCCGGGAACCAGAGAAGAGCCAGGCGAAGCCCGCAATCAAGGTCCTTTGCGCATTCATGTCGACCACGCGTGCGTACACTCCGTCGGCTGTATGAAATAGTGGCGCATCGGAACTGAATGTCGTCGTAGCTGCTGTTGCCCGGTTCACGCTGTCTCGGGTGACCCCACACCTCGTCAAGCTCTTCCTCGACCCAGACGAGGTCGGCAACCGCGCTGCAACGCTCCACCTGCTCTCTAACCTGATCGCTTCTGCGCGCGACTCGACGTCAAAAGATCCTGAGGTTCTTCCCACCGAAGGGGACGTCCCGCTGTCGCCCTACAAAGATGAAGTGTTGGGCGTCTTGACGGTGGGACTGAAAACGCCATCCTCCACTCAGCCGGCGCTGGATGGTCTGAAGGGTGTGGTGACTACACCGGGTCTGTTGACGGACGAAGAGCTGGGCTTCGTGGTCCACAATGTCAACGAGCTTTTGCAGAAAGACGGAGACGAAAGCGAAGATACTAGGTGAGACTCTCTTACACTCGCGTCGTCTTCCTTCGCCCATTGCCTCGCGCCAGGGAACCTGCTCTGGGCCTTCTGGTGACAATAGCCGAATTCGCGCCGTCGCATGTTACGCAGACCACCCTTCCCTTGCTATTCGTCTCCCTCCCAGATCGAGCTCCGCCCCGCGACGCACAGGCAGAGCGGATACGGTGCTGGCGCACGCTTGATTCGCTCTCCCGTCTTTGCAAGCAAGCCGACCTGTTCGAGACGCTGGTCGTGCGGCTGCTCACGAAGCTCGACCTCGTATGCGTACCGCCCGCCGATGGCGCCCTAGCACAGGACGAGACGGACATCGAGCCCCGCGCGGCCTACGCCCACTCCATCCTGCGCACTATGGCAGACGTGCTCGCCGCGAAGGTCGCCGCAGGGCACAGCGATGTGACCAAGTACGCCGATCGGCTGGTGCCGCGGGTCTTCAATCTGTTCATATATGCCGCCCTCGTGTCGAATGGACGGTACATGGCGGCCACGGACCCGCGTCTTGTCTCTGTCGCGTCGCAGATCGTCACGTTGGTCGTGCAGACGCTGTCACCCCAGTGAGTGAGGCGGCAATATGGGAGGACGCACGTCTGACGGTGATGCAGACGACAAGAGGCGTTCGTATCTGTGCTGTTCGCGGGCTATCTGCACGGAGACGCGGGGAAATTGGCAGAGGGTCATCAAAAGCTCCCGGCTGACAAGAAGTTCGAGCCCTTCAGCGTGAGCCTTCCGTCGATTGTCCGCAGACAGGTTCTCATCTAGGATCTAGCCCGAAGTGTGTTCTCTGCAAAAGAATCTCCTTGCGCTGTTCTCTGCGGCTATAATCGCGCTACATAAGGAGGTGCGTTTCCCACGTTTTGCCCAGATGTAGTATTCACATGCGGCCAGGTCGCGCTCCCCGTACCTGACGAGGACGCTTTCCTCAACACGCTCTTGCAATGGAGCAGTGCTCATGCAGAAAATGTATTGCAGCGGGACGCAGCAACGCATGCGATATCTTCGATCGTGAACAAGCGGCCTGGCGGTACATGTCTTGCGTCTATTACTGTGGCGTTGCACTCACAGTTACAACGCCATGCAGGCTTGGCAGTATTCCTCGCCGAAACGCTGGATTCATTCTGGACTACACAGATAGCCAATAGGGCAATGCCGCCTCCGAAGCGTAAAGAAGGGATATCCTCCTGGGCATGGGTACGCCGTCAAACCCTCTTTGCTCTGCTTGTACTCACAGCGTGCAGATCACTAAAGCGCTCCTAATTCGCAACGACGCTGCCGCAGCACGCAATATTGATAAGTTGCTCGGCTTGCTCGACGACGCCGAGGTTAGCTGGGATGCCGCGCGGGCGATAGGGTCTGTCGTTGCCACGGACAAGATCCTCACGAAGAGGAACCATGCAGTCATCAAGGCAGGCTGCTCCTTACGGCTGGCATTGGTCGCTTCACTGATCGGCGTTGCACAGATCCTGTATGCACAGCGATACTGCAGCTCTGTCTTGCCGCGTATCGTAGAAGGCGCAAGGTCATCTTCAGGTGAGGCTCATCATTAGACGGACATGACATTCTGAGGCTGATACCCTCCCCAGATTCGCAAAAGCAGAACGCGTTCCTCGTAGCACTGACATCGCTCATCCAGTCCGTGCCCAAGTCGGTGTACGCGCCTCAGATGTCCATGGTAACCGCCCCGTCATCGTTTACGCGCCCACCGCATCCCACTGACCATGCAGCACTAGCTTATGCCCCTCCTGCTTCGCGGACTGGACCTCCCAGATACGGAAATACGCGCCGGCGTCATGGACACGCTCTTCGCCGCGGCGCAGTCCGACGCGAACGAGAACGGCGTCGTCGCGGAGCACGCGGCGAGCCTCGTGTCGACGATGCTCCGGAACAGCATGGTCAAGGAGATGCCCGCGGCGGTATGTCTTCTCTGCGCTTCCTCTCAGCTCAAGCCGCGCTCGGGCGCTGATCACATCTTCCAGCGCGTGCGCATCGCGGCCTTGCGGTTCCTGGCGATCCTGCCGAGCACGGTGCGGTACGACGTGCTGCATCCGCAGAAGGCCGCCGTCGTCCGCGAGCTGGCGAAGGTGCTGGACGACCCGAAGAGGGCGGTCCGGAAGGAGGCGGTGGAAGCTCGGTGCGTTGCCTCTTCTCGTGCGCCTGTGTCGATTCGATTTCGGATGCTGATCAGGGCGCTGTTCTAGGACAAACTGGTGGGTTCGGCCGCTTGCGGATCGGGCTTGAGCTAACTCTGATGGCGCGCTTGCAGGTTCAGGTTCACGGGGTAGATCGAAGGCTGGACAGCGCTGAAGAAATGAGTGTAATACTAAATGTATGTACATTATCCCACCAAGGGCAGGTGCGTGATTCTGCGCGAAATATAACGTGTAAACGCGCTTCGGGGTATGGACTCTGCCAACAAAAGTGCATGTCGGCAATGATCGTGGAGGACTCTCATCCCTGAATATGCCTCGAATAGACGTTCAACAGCAATATTAATACTGGCTTTCGCACTGATATCATATGTAATATGGCTACAATGACATTAGAACTCAGAGATACAGATGCGCACACACAAATTTTACAACCAGGATACAGCAGATAGGGGTTTCTATGGAATGTAGAGACTATGCAAGTAACTACCATAAAGACAAAGTAAGTATTCAAGTGATGTCTGGAGCTGGACGTCTCATCGCGGAAGTCTGCAGCCATCGGGAAGAACGAGATGTGCCGGGCCGAGAGGGCTCTGGAAATATTCAGTGCCGTTCCTAGTGAATGTTGATTATGATGTGAGTCCCATGGCATGCGCGCTACTCACAAGTTCATGTAGTAGTACTCCCTTTGGGCACCATCCACCACCGATTCCCCTCCACGTCTCGTCAGGCATCAAGGCGTAATCAGGTTTCGCGACTGTGTACTTACAAGCGCGTTGGTCCCCCAATTTATGATACGAAACTCTATGACGGTGGGGGCCTCGGGAGCATTGGTGACAAAAGTGTCTACGACAACTTGCTGATGAGTAGCGGCGGGGGCGGGCACCACGGCGAGGACTACGGCCATATTTTGTTCGCTTCATGAAGTGAGAGTATGCATGAATGGGTCATTTCCGCGTTAATTGTAGGGCTTACGATGGTTCCGAGCAGAGCTCAGAGGTTCTCTAGATCTGCTGCATAAACAACCCCTATTGAGGAGGGACTGACATGTCCCCGGGGATTGCGTGACAAGCGGACGGCCCCAAACTGTGCAGACCTGGAGAAGAATAACAACCTGAACTCGATCGTTCGATCGTTACCGTACTACCCAATCAAACGCATGTGAACGGCATGTCGGTGGAGATTCGCAGAGATGATCTTGCACTGTTCCCTTGAAACCAACTTGTCGTCTTTGTGTTATTCGGTCTACATGAGTGTTGTCCTGTTCAGGCCATGCACCATCCATGCTGGGTACCCCCGCATACCGTGCCTCTTCGAACCCCTCTCCAGCGATCAATGCTTCAGTCAATGTAACCCGAAAACGAATGTAGCGCATCGAGGAACAGAAGAGCGACCTAAATCGCCCTTATCATAAAGTCAATTTGTACGAGACCGCATGGAGGACATCGGCATATATAATAAACGCAGCTCACCCGCCATGTTGTTCCACGGACTCGCACTTGCGCTACTTTCTTCATCGTCTGTCGGCAAGCCCACGCATCATGATATTTCCATGCGGATGCACGAAGCTCGCCAAACTGTGCCTACTAGATATACTGTTATCGGCCCTGCTTCGTCCGACACCGTCCTGAGCCTACGCGTCGCCCTCGTACAAAACAACATCGCAGGACTTATTGACGCATTATATGATGTCAGCAGCCCGTCAAGTCCTAACTACGGAAAATGGCTCAGTAAAACTGAAGTACGTCATCATTCTTCTGTGTCCTAATCCGAGAAACCCTCCTCAACCTGGACCAGGTCGAGGCACACGTAGCCCCAAAACAACACAGCGTTGCGGCTGTCAATTCCTGGCTTAGCGCGCACGGGTTGAATGCGACTGCACTCTCTCCCGCTGGCGACTGGCTCAGGATTGAAGTTCCAGTCGCCAAAGCGAATGACATGCTCGCTGCCAACTTCTCTGTCTTCTCGTTCACGGCCACCGGCTCGACTACTGTTCGGGCACTTTCGTATTCTGTCCCATCCGATCTGGCTGAACATATTGACCTCATACATCCGACGACCGCGTACGTGTTTCGTGAGTATTGCTTCGTCAATGCACTGAAAATGATATGCAGTTTCCCGGTACCAAACGGGGCGAAGCCCGCAGTCATCCGTTTTGCTGACAATACGGCCTCAAAGGCATTTGATCATTCCTCGGCATGCGCGTCAGTGACGGAATTCGGCATGATGACCCCCCGTAAGCCTTCAACACCTATACGGCATTCCCGCTACTCCTGCAACCGTCTCATCCAATGGCATCGCAGTCACCGAATTTGAGAAGCAGTATGCCCAAGCCGCCGACTTGCACGTATGTTGCCAAATCTGATCCAAACCGAGTGTTACTGACCTAGACTCAATGAACCAGTCATTCCTACAACACGCCCGTCCGGACATGAACCCCGACACGAACTACACCGTCATTAGCATAGACGGGGGCGAGAATCCTCAGGACCCCAAGGAAGCTGGTGACGAAGCTGTAAGAATGATAATGTCTCGACCAAGCTCGTTGGTTCACTTTCAAACAGGATTTACCCCCATGCTACCCGACAGCCAACGACTCCCGTTCACTTCGACTCGCATAGCACTCGCATGTATTATTCTACATAGGGCAACGCCCTCCAGCGGATACAAAACAGGATTTAATAAAATAATAATAATAATAAAAACAGGATTTAGACCTCCAGTATACTGCGGGACTGGCAACAGGCGTCCCTGCCACGGTCACTATCGCTGGGGGAGATGATGTCTTGGCAGGGTTCCTGGACACCGGTCTCTCTCTCCTTGGGCTAGAGTCTCCTCCGCAAGTGGTGTCTACCAGCTGGGATGGGGACGAGGATAAATTCCCGCCCTCACATGCAGTGTGAGCCTCCTGTGACATCCTGTTCATAGAGTGATCTGACTGCTTCGTGCTATTCAGCTACCTGTGTAACGTGTATGCGCAGTTGGGCGCTCGTGGTGTCTCGATGATATTTGCCTCGGGTGATGAAGGTGCTTCTGGAAACCGAAGTGAAGGTAACTGCACCATCTTTAGCCCGACGTTCCCGGCAACGTGCCCACAGTATGCATTTACATCCACCGGTGAAAGTCTGCTTCTGACTCTCGTGCGGTCACAGTGTCACGACGGTAGGTGCGACGACCCGTATCCCCGAAGTCGTAGCCGACGTCTCAGGCGGTGGGTTCTCCAACTACTTCCTGCGACCCGACTACCAATCCAAGGCCGTCTCGGCCTACTTGGCACTCCTCGGGAATAACAACACGGGGCTGTACAATGCATCCGGTCGTGCATACCCCGATGTCGCCGCCTACGGAGTGAACTGCACGTACATAATGGGCGGTGTCACTACGCTAGGCACTGGCACAAGCTGTTCGGCTCCCATCTTCGCAAGCGTCATTGCTCTTCTCAATGACCGGCTGCTTGCCGCCGGAAAGCCCACCTCGGGCTTCCTCAATCCGTGGTCGACCCTGGAGTTGGGGCCGCGGCGTTCACGGACATCGTGGCAGGAAACAACACGTCTTGTGAAGACGACGCAGATTTCTTCGCAACGGAAAGATGGGATCCGGTGCGTTGTTGGTCTCAAGATCCTTCAGGCTGCTAATGACCGTTTGCGGAACAGGTCACCGGCTTCGGTGCACCGAAGTTTGCCAATCTTATGTCAGCGGTGGGTCTATAGACTCCCCTTGAACAGGGTCACTGTGTGTTCCTGCCACCGGGATACAGTCTCATAACTACGTGATGAGTTCGTATGCTGCATGTTACATGATATGGAAAACTGGTCGTTCTGAACGACGACGGACACACAGAAGCATAGTTGGGTGGTTGTTGCATGTGTAGGACTTGAAGTGAAAGCGCTCAGTAATTCAAGAAGATTGTGATTGGATCATATGTTTAGCGAAAGCTAAGGATGGAATTCGTTTGCGAAAACTTAAGAAGCACTCAGAAGATAGACTACGAAAGAGAAGGTGTTCTGTCACAGCCCCTCAGCGGCGGTTGACAGTTGTGGACACGGCCATCAGTCCCTACAAGATGGGCGGGACCGTGACAGCCCGGGCACTTCAGGTAGTGACTCCCGTCCCTACGTGCTCTCATCAGGACCAGTGCGTAGACAACGACGCGCCGCCGGACGACGATACTCACTTGTTCTCGTACCGATATCCTGCACAGGTACTTCCTTTAGGAGCCCGCAGCCTCCACCAACGGTTTCCCTGCCATCAGAATCATCAGCCTGAACGCGCGTGAAGATCAATCGACGTACACGCCGATTCACTCCTTGGCGAACGATTATCAATCCAGTCACTGGGTCTATGGCGGCCCCTCCGACAGCATCGCCATGTCCACAGACCTCCGGCCCCTCGGCAACAGTGGGGGTGTCGCCAATGGACTCAGGTTTGCATGGCTCAGGCAATGCTTCTGCCTGGATTGCTTCAGTGGTTGTTTGCTGTTCCATTGCCTTCAGAAAGGAATAAGATTCCGGTGAACGGTGTACACAAAATTCTTTAGACACACAGCTCAATGTGAGATGAGGGTCTAAAGCAAAGTTGATGACCCCGTGGGGAAGCAAGGTTAGCCTTTTATACTGCGCAGAGGACCCGACATTTCGGCACGCACAGCCTCTTCATGTCCCCGGGGATTGCGTGGTCAAAACAAATGTGTATTGTACTCATTTCCGAATAGAATGAGGTTGACTCGGTCAACATTCCCCATAGCGGTAGCTTTAGGGGCCAATTCGAAGCATGCGCGTTCGGCCAGCGACGCCTCGGGACCCCGTAACCGCATAATTACCTGTACATTATGTCACAGATCTACATTGATCGATTCATGCCTGTGACCGAAAAAGTCATCATACGTGATCTGCCTCCGGGCGACGAGATTGTTCCAGTCATTTCTCACCTGGCTCGCCTTGGGGCATGACCCCATTATTGTGGTCAACTCTGTGTCAATTTTGACTGTTGCGGTCATCTAGCAAGCAAACGGCCAGAGGGCATAGGACACGAGCAAGCTACAAGGAGAGAGCTCAGAGCACCCTTGCGAGGATTTGGCACGTACCTATGTGAATCCTCGGTTTTCAAACCTCCGAGCCTTGATATTCAATGTTCTCAAATGACTAGGTGTTAGGTCGTCGGCAGTGCAAGAGAGCCCAGACAGTCAAGTCCATGTCGCAGTCCCGAGGAGCAAGCAATTGACGTCAAGAACGAACTATACCAGTCTGAAGATGCAACGCAGAAGTGCCTGAAGAGTCGAGCCAGCATAGCGCACAAGAAAGACAAGCGGAAGAACAGCAGTCACTAATAGCACAACACAGATTATCTCTACAGGACCCCGGGACTTCTACATATCGCCACTCCTTGAATTCGAATCCCGCAAGCCTATGTTTTCAGATTAGATCGTGATACGACGCGAGTGTGCGGTGGGCTAGTTGCTAGCATTCGACTTGCTACAAGTTGCCTTATTATGCATCAGGGCTACGACACTCTCCGGAGGTGCGCCATGTGTATATATGTTCAGATAACCATGAGTCGAAACTATACCAGGGGGCCGGGTGTTGTTGTTGCACCCCGCGACCGACCACGTAGGTTCGCGAGCAACAGCTAATCGGCTGACTGAAATGTATGTCTCCTGTGTCGCAGAGGTTTCAAGGTTCAGGCAGTGGTGAGGTACCAACTTTCGCCTCCATGATCGCAGCCTTGAATAGTTACTGATCGACTCGAAGCTAGATGCCATCACCACTAGCGATGAAGACGACCATGATATTTGTTACTTGTCCACGGTCAACTACGAGAGCAAGTTAACATGATGTTGTCAGATGTTACGGACCTTAGTGGCCTGTCCTGCCTTGCGTTGGTAGTTCGACTCGCAAATCTGGAACGGCTCGTGCACGTTTCCTTGAAGGTCTTGTGGATATGCAGGCCGGTGCTCTCGGTAGAACGTGTCATAGATGCCACTGGTTCGTCTCGCACACATCAATCGTTGTCTGTGACCACTGCGTTGCTCCCGCGTGTACCGTACACGTTTTGGGGGTAGACGCCAATGAGCGAACAGTGGCTGGGCGCTTGCACACGCTTCGCTTCGACCGCCAGCAGTGCTCTCTCGTTGAATTCTGTTTATACTTGCCATGCTCGCTCGTGCAGTACTTTTGTTCTTAACCATCAGTATTTCAATCGCAACTCTCGTGCCGGCTGCATTGGGCAGCAGTGACGATCTTCCGGCGTGAGCTGTTTCCGCTTTTTTTCTTGCCACATTACTGATCAAGTACGCTTCAGAGATACCGACTATGAACTCGATGGTACGTGTCCACACCTCACCTACTGACAAACAGCCTAAATGCCGGCATAAAGGTCAAAACAGCCAGGTCATCCTACAACCACCAATAGACCTTTGGGAGCGTGCTGCGCAACTGAGTGGCCACGCACAAGAGTATGCACAAAGTGTCGTAACCAACGCTCTCGCAGCGCATGGAGAATACACCAACCAGCTTGTTCATATCAAGGACTCCGTCTCGCAGATGCTCTCCGCCGCAGGTCAACTGAGGGCCGAAATGATTTCCGTAACAGAGAACAAGGATATCACATTTCCTGCCGGTACGATCGAAGGCACGACGCAAGAAAACACCATTGCGGATATCTCAAACAGCATCAACACGGTGATTTCCGGCCTCCTCGAGGATCTGTCTGCGGACCTCCCAGTGCCCGACCATGCGTTGAGCCACAAGGAGCGAGAAGACCACGCTCGGAGGGTCTTTATGATGGCGGAAGACGCGATTGTGCGCGTATTTGTTAGCAAGGGCAGCTCCGAGGATCGTGCGAGGACGCTTTTTGAACGATTGCGTGCTCATGTTATCTTTATCGTTGTCACCATCGGTGCGTGTTGAATGCGCGGTGATATTATGTTTCCAATATTCATGCCTCACATTTCCTTAGGTGACTTTGCGGAGCGACATCCTCACCTGGTCGATATTCTTCTCTGGCTTATCACGAGATGGCTCTTTCCGCAGAGCTGGCTTCTACGCCCTCTGCTTCGTCTGTTCGGATTCGGTGCTCTTGGCCCTACGAAAGGTGCGTTTTGGTTGCCTGTGATGAAAGGGGTTCTCAGTAACGCGTTCGCGGCAGGTAGCGTTGCGGCTTGGGCGCAACATTTCTTCTTCGGAGGGGTAGTGAAGAAGGGTAGTTGGTTTGCACTCCTCCAGAAAGCCGCCATGACTCCGATCGATGCTCCCATCAAGAACGCAATTATTGGTGCTGTGACCGGTGCTGTAGGCTTCATAGCGGGCTGGCTGTAGCTCCTAAAGTTGCGTGTATGTTCTGTATTGACTGCAAAATGGCATTTGCTCTATGTGTGATAAAACAGAAGAGCAAGTCTGTAAGTAGTTACGCCGGAACAAATATATCGTCAAGTAGACCGAAAGGCCCAACATTGTCGAGGTCGTGGCGCTGTTTGAATAACTACTGGACTTGCCTATTTTGAACTGTTGTGTTTGTAAGCGATCGGGGCGTCCAGTCTGTGCAGACGGCCCTTGACTGTATACCATCATCTCCCCTTCCTCACTATCATGGTCTGCAAGAAATGCGAGAGTGTATGTCGATTTCTTCACTCGATTTCTTTATACCATATTCACGAGGTTATTTCAGAAATTGTCCAAACTAGCTGCACCGGACCCATTCACCGCGAGCTCACAGAGCATCAAGGACGGCTCGCGGAGAGTCGGGGAGAACAAGCTCCTGAGTAGACCAGGGAGCTCCAAGAACAGGTTCCAGGTATGCGTTTGGTGCTAAAGTGTCATGCGTGTAGCTGACTTTGAGCTCGTCGCAGCCCTATCAAGGCAAGTGTAGAGACTGTAAGTCAAGCACGACCCAGAACAAAGCCAAGTATTGTCATGGTGCGTTCTATCTGCATCCGCTTGCCGCGTCAGAAACTCATAGGCTCCTTCAGGATGTGCCTACAAGCGCGGTGTGTGTGCAATATGCGGCAAGCAGGTCCTTGATACAACGGGCTACGTGATGTCAGCTAAATAGACGTGCATGGACGATACTGGACGATAATCATTTCTTCAGTGTGTACCTCTAGCTGTATATTTTAATGTTATTGCTTTCAGTTCCTCTATGGTGCGAGCTCAGCCAACCTCCTCTCCCCAACAGACTGCGACCACCCGTGAGTACTATAATTGAAACGATGTCTTACAAGCAAACATCTACTCGATCAATATATCTAATGGTGGCATACCGTCGCCGTGTTCCTCCTCCCACCGTCTCTGCCACTCTATCAGCCGATACAGCATGTCAGCCCATTGGTCTTCCGTCGCCACGCCCTTTAGCCACCGCCGCTCTTCCTCCTGCCCTGCCCCCTGTAGTCGCCGCCATCCCCTGTACAGCCACACCGCCTCTTGCCACGACAACCGTCGCCACTTCTCCACATACCGCTTCCCGTCGTCCGGTAGCGCACCGCGCTTCTTCAGGAATTCGAACAGGGCCTCCTGGTAGTCCTCCGTCTCCGTGCGCCCGTCCAGCAGCTTGTGCCCCATCGCGTACGGGTCGTACCCGCGGGCGCGCAGGGATGCCTCGCGCGCGAGCAACTCGCGCAGCATGTGTGCGCGCGACGGGAGGAGCGAGCGATCTGCGAGCGTGTGCGCGATGAACACGCCCTGCGCGTAGTCGGACGGGCAGCTGGCGACAATCAGGGGTAGCCCGACGAACGCGAGCGCGGTCGGTGGTACGGTCGCAGCGATGGGGTAGATTTGCCGATAGAGCGGGTAGAGGTAGCGCAGGTTCGTCGTCAGGGTCTGCGCGGTGGACGAGTTGGTCGTGGCGTGATTGTCGGTGAGTAGGACGGAGGAGTGGGGTGCGCTAAGGAAGGGCACACGCAGTTCATAGCCAGTAGCAAGAATGATGCGGTCGACGTCGGTTAACGAGGTGCCATCGTCAAAGACGACGGAGTCGCGAGTGAAGTGTGAGATTGTTGATTTCGGGATAGCGGAAGGCGCAGTTGTACTATTTGCCTTGACCGATTGGTAGACCTATAGCGTATCTCGTCACGTTGTGCTATTAGTATGCTACTAAGTGTACACTCACCGTTCGTGCTAGTGGGCCTACGTGCATAGCGATGTCGTACGCACTGGCCCCTGCACCTACAACGAGTATTGTATAGTTTGTGTACCTCTCTGGCTGACGGTAATATATCGAATGCAGAATCTCTCGTGGAAGTGCGGCTGCTGGCGAGCTCGCCAACCACTCTTCCGTCCCTTCCCAGACAGGAACATGCGGGTAGTGATTGTGCCCATTCGCAACGAGGAGATGGTCGAACGTCCGCCTCATCACGAGCTCCCCATCCGGATCGCCATGATGCGCATGCACCTCGACCTGCCACTCACCCGCCACATCATCCCCGCGCCAGTCAGCTGCGACGACCGTGTGGTTGAAACGGATGTACGGCGTCAGGTCGTGGCGCACCGCAAAGTCCGCGTGATACCGCTCGACGGCGTCCCAGCGCGGGAAGAGCGTCGTGCCCTCCGCGAACGGGAAGTGCGGGTACGTCATCGTCGGGTGCGGCGTGTTCGTCTTGAGCAGCGGGTACAGTGGGGTCTCGGGCACCTCTGGCGGGTGCGGCTCGTACCCCGGCGGGTCGCCGAGCCAGACGCCGCCCACAGCGCGCCGCCGCTCGTATAGGACGACCTCCCAGCCTGCACGGGTCTCTGGTGGGAGGTCGAGGATGGCCTTGAGCGCGGCAAGGCCGGCGCTGCCGGCACCCACGATGGCGATTGATTTGGTTGCATTCCGCTGCGAGGTTGAATATATGAAAGATTCAGGTAGCACCTCTGGTCGCTCCCAGACAGACAGAGGCAGCAAAGATAGGACGAGCTGTAGAAGTCTGACCATGACAGCACGGAGAGCGAAGAAGTGTCGCTATAGTGCTCCCCGACTCGGAGTCCAGAAGACTGTTTCGCCCAGAAGTACAGAATGCAGACTCAGGCTGAGATCGGGGCTGTGTAGACATGCGAGCTATTACGCACGCGTAGAAGCTTCCTCGAGGTTGTCAAGCGGCACGCTGTAAAGGCTAGAAGTAAGTGGGACGACGACGAGCCTGCACTGTGCGGATGCTGAAATGTATGAAGCGGCTTTGCTTGAGTGTCCAGATAATGTGCACGAGAGCTCAGCGCTCCTTGCTCAAGGAGGACGACCAGCGCTTGTCGCAAATTGGGTCCGACCCAAACACTATCTGTTTGAGTATATATGATGTACACTATCAATTACACTCTACATTAATCAAGAATATTCCGGGGTTCCAAAACTGTCCCACAGTCATCACTCGCCTTCGGCTATAACTATCTCGACGCTCGGGAGTGCCGACATAGCCTTGTCGCCTTCGCTGACCGGTGAGGTACACGCTGAGGACGTGAGGGGACGCAGCTCCAACACGTCCTTGGATACACTGGTATCTCCAAATCCCTCTGAAAAAAATACAAGTCAGCCGGGTGTCATGCAACGTAGCCTTTACAGAAGGTCCACCGTTTGAAGTCCCATATGCAGTGGTTGGGGTCATGAGACTGGTGTCAGTGGCTTCGGACGCAAAATTGACGGTTGAGTGTTGTGTCTGCAGAGGTGAGGAGAGGAAGAGATCAGCCAACCGGTGTAGAGGGACGGAGAGCGTGCCACCCACCTCTTCGTCTTCGTCGTGCCCCAGCTGGCGGAGGTTCAGGAGACAGCGCGAGATGACAATCGCGCCAATACTGTATGAATGTGGGGCGTAGTATCAGCATAGCGTTCTGGGAGCTATGTGGGAGCAGTCACGCACGGGATGGTGAAGCTGGATGTAGTGTTATCAAAGACCTATTGTGGCCAGCCTCAGCACGGTAGCACATTCTGTGATCACGATGGAACCAACATTGGTGGTAAAGAGTGACATGTCTAGCACGTTGAGGACAAGTAGTATCCTATAAACCGGCTTGAGCGAGCTCCAGGATGTTCAGCTAGCACCGATGCTCACAGGAAGTATTGAAGACCTGTCGGAACGCATCAGCACGGGGGATTCTTCGACGGAGAGCGGTGTTACCATCTTGTCTCAGGAGTGCCGCAGTGGAGGTCGCAGTGGACATCACATCCGAGTAAGTCACTACATTATGCGTGTTGAAGAGAATGACGAGGAGTACAATCAGGTCTGACGCAATCACACACGAGCGAGTGAAGATGGAAACTGGAGGGGGGCGCCATAGCAGGCCGCCATCGATCAGCTCGTTAAGCTAACGGTGCAAGCGGGCTGTGCTCGAGCCGTACCTCTTGCGGACACCATCAGACACCTCCGTGGCATGCCGAGGGCGTACAGACGTACTTTGAGATAGTAGGGAATGGAACCTCATATGAGGTGTTGCATATATTGCCGATCCCGAAGGAGCTGACGACAGTGTGTCTAGAATAAGCAAACATCACCTAATGACCATACTGGTATGTCAGACATCCGAGATTGCGCGACGGATATGACGTCAATACATACCAGGCCTGCGAAGAACGGTGCCATTGCTAGCACTCCAGTAACGACAGTTGGACGTCAATCGCGGCCGCTGGTGGCGAACACACGCAGGGCCGAGAATGCTGTAACACGGAATCAATGGACATACAGCGCTCGTGACGTGGAGTAAAACCCACCAGCCCAGGTGGTGTAGAGCACCAGGAATAGAGCGTCGTCTGCAATGATGACCGCATTGCAGCTGCAGGAATGTACATGAGGTTCCTCGCTCTGGACATTCCATTAACAACCATACCTCTACACGAGATAGGTTGGCGTCAGAATAATGTGTCAGTTTTTGGCTGTAGCGACGTACCTCGGAACTATGCCAATGAAACACAGCGAGTATGTTGAAGATACTCCATACGAACGCCGTATATCGGTTGATATGGAAGACGAGGGCTACAAAGGTGAACTGTTTGCTCCAAACCAAAGCAATCTCTTGTGACAGAGTAAGGAAGTAGTCATAAAATATAATGACTGCGTGTAGAGAGTCGGCCAAGAAATCTCCAAATATATGAATGTGATTGCCCACGCACCGGACGCAACCATGGTGCAGTAGTTATATACGGAACTACGTGTTCATCAATGAGGCTTCCGGCGGACGGGACGTGCGGGACTCACTTAAATTCTATGAACGTCTCCTCCTCAGGAGTTGGGATGGCGAGCATCTGCGCATGGGCTGTGGCGGCGGGCTCAAGGGTGCGCCGAAGCGAGGGTACCCAAGGCGGACTTATAACAGAACTGGGGTATCGGGAGATTTACTCCAGATCGTCCGATCTCGGATCAGGCACGGTTGCTACAACACAGAAAGAAGTTCCGTCAAATCTCGCGTCGCCTATCCCGGCCCTTTGCGGCCTTCGCTAGAAATCGGCGGGCCATGCGGATGTTCATGGCCACCACAAGGAGCATTGATGAGGTAGACGCGACTTCTTCAGTCAAACTCCAGAATTCGCATTTACATACCGCTAGGCGCGATCCTTGTCTTTCTTTGTGGAGCCCGCAGTTGCGGATGTACGTGAGGAGGAAATTCTGATAGCAGACGTGGACAGGACTGCGACGGCTAGACCAGATATGGAATTGTGGTCAGCGCTGTCGGTGGTAAGGCTGGAAACAGGCTGCAATCACGTACGATCTATAATTCTTATACAGGTAGTTAAGACACTACTCCTATGCTCTTAGAACACTCTAACGGGGAGAAGAGCCGACAATTTGACTTCGGACTGTTTGGTACGGACCCGGCTGTTCGTATCGGGCAAAGGCGCGTAAACGCCCGACTAGAAATGCAATATATCCCGTGCTCCAATCTTAGTACCAATTATATGCCTATATACAGATGAATGCAGGGTGGTTTATCGAGAGTGCAAGTTGAGTGCTAAGCAAGAAAGCTATAGATAACTGACCAGAACATTACCGATAGATACGAGTAGCATTTCTATAAAAAAAACACAAATGATGGTAGCTTTCGTGACTCACTGCACCTTGGTCCTCGTCCTCTGCTCGTAGACCTCGACATCGATAGTGTTCGTGCTGAGGAAGCGATAGATATAGACATGTTTCGTCTGCCCGAAGCGCCGCAGACGGCCGACGGCCTGTGTCTCGCAAGCATCGTAGATCTCCTGCGACGGCGCAAGCAGCGGCGAAAGGAAGATTGCATGGTTCGCGGACGTCAAATTCGCGCCGCTTGCGCTCTCGTCCATCACGTTCAGCAACAGCACGCGCTCCGAGCTGTCGTTCTGGAACTTCTCCAGGTTCTTACTCTTCTGCGCCGCGGAGCCTTTGATCTCCAGGAACGCAACCTTGTTCGCCTCGAGGGCCTCCGCAACCTTCTTCATCAGGTCCGGGAACTGCACGAAGATGAGCACGCGCTCGTCGTTCGGAATCTCTTTCCTGCAGGCCGCCATTCTATCAACACGCTACTCGACAGGACGTGAGAAGGATACACTTACCGGATGAGATGGATGACCTGCTCGAGCTTGAGTCCGTAGTGCTTGCCGTGCCCGTCGCGTGCCTCATCGTCGACGCCAAGCGTACTGCCCCTCACTACGTTGAGCACACGCGCTGCTGCGTTACATGCGCCCGACGCAGCGTAGACACACTCCTCACGTTCGGCACACTCCATGACATGCTTCAAGCAGCCCATGTGGCCGCATGACGATAGCACGGCGACCTCCTCGATCGGCACGCTGTCTTGCTCGCACATCGGGCACGACACGGTAGCCGGCGTGTCCGCCTGCCGCTGGAGGTCGCGCACGGCGGTGAAGTAGCGCAGCGAGCGTACGCGCCCTGTGAGCTCTTTCGTCAGCCGGCGGATCTCGTGCGTCTGCTCGCGGTGCTCCCAGATGAGCTCCTTCGTGCTGTTCGACAGGTGCTCGTCCTTCTTGCCCTTGTTCCGCTCGGCCTGGTTTGTGGCTGACTTGAGCGACCGAGGAACGTTCGCCTTGTCGAGCAGTGCCTGCGCCTGCTCCGTCGCGTCGTGGTCGCCGACGCCCTCGTTACGCGTAACGCGGACATACTCCTGGAAGAGTGACTCATCGGGCAGCCTGCCAATTTTCTTCTCCATTTTCAACGCCTCCCCGAGCTTCTTCAACAACTCGGTCTTGCAGTTCTCGAGTTGCTTCGTTCGCTCTTCAACGATGACCTCGCAGGCTTTCATAGCGTTCTCCTTGTCAGATGTCTCGAGCTCAAAGTGAGAGCAACGCTTGAGAAGAGCCTCTTCAGCAGTACTATTCAGATTGTAGAGTTAGACAAGACCAATAATGCTTGAAATCAAACAAGCACGCACCTACTATCGCCCAGAGCTTGAGCAACGCGCTTCTCTCGGTCGCTCTCGCTCTTCTTGCCACGCTTTACGGTCATATCCAGGGCTCGCAAGTGATGCTCGAGCTCCAAATATATGGCCCGCTCCGCAGCTGGGAGGTTAACAAGCTTGAGCTCTTGACTCGAGGGGATCTCGTCGATCTCGGCGATGTTCTGCGGTTCCGGTCAGTCGCTACAACGTATTGATAATGGACACCACAAACCTGACGAACGAATCTATCCAAGAAAGCCTGTCCGATCTCATGGCGATGAGCATGCCATTCTAGACTATGCACTTCACGGAAGGAGTGGAACTTCTCGACGGCTGGACTGAATGTCAATGCAACGCTTCGGACTAGAAATGGGATACACATACCAGTCTGTTCTCGACGGCGTTTCTTGACTTGCACGGACTGCCCTTCTCCGTCATCATCGACACCGAGATGCAAATTCAGGAACGCAGAAATAGTCTTGAGCGCGCCGAAATCATGAATGGGCGGGGTACCAGACAAGACCCAGTGTCTCTCCGCCGTGAGGTTTGTCACCATCGAGTGAATCTTGCCATCCAGGTAGGTGTACTCGTCGACGACCTTGCGGGCGAAGTGGAACATCTCCATCGGCGGTGCCTGCATCTGCGTCCAGTCCTTCTTGACAGCATGCGAGCCAAGCTTCCAGGGGTCAGTATCTTCTCTCCTCTTCTTCTTGGCCGGGCGTGCGTCGTCGTCCTCGGCTTTCCGCTTTTTGGTGACCTTCTTTCCCTTGCCCTTGGACGGCGGGGGCTCGTCGATATCCATGCGGTCATCGTCAGAAGTCATTGTGGACTTCTTGCTCGCAGCCTTGCCTTTCGGTTTCGCCTTCGCCTTCGACTTTGGTACAGGCTTCTTGGGTAGCTCATCTTCAGACGCCATCGACATGGACGTGTCGATGCCGGTCTCTTCCTCAGACTGTGTCTCCTCCGCGGACTCATCCTCGTAGTCCGACGATACAGCCGCCTTCTTGCCCCGTTTGACATATATGGCCTTCTTTACCAGCCTTTTGGGCTTGGGCTCCTCGTCATCCGGCTCGAAGTCGCCGTCTGAGCCCTGTTCCTCTTCCTCGTCCGAGAACTGGATCGCACGTCTCGGGATTCTGCGCCGTGGGCGAGTCTTTGGCGCATCGGAGTCTTCTTCCTCTGTAGCTTCGGTCGCTGAGGTAGAGGCGACACTGGAAGTTGCGGACGAGGTGTACTTTTTGGAAACAGGAATGACGACTTCCACGATCATGCCTGTCCGTGGGCTAACGGAAGGCGAGCTGCCGTTCGACTTTGACGATGCATTGCTAGGCTCAGTCTTCGAAGCAGTAGCAGCTTCTCTGTAGCTCTTCCCCTTCAGCCGCTTAGTCGCAACAAAGAAGTTGCTCTCATCGTCGTCTGTGGTGTACATGAGACCGCGGCTGAGGACAAATGTGCTGAATGCACTCACCAAGCTTTCTACCCTCTTTGATTTGGTCCATGACTGCAGTGGCGCCCTCCTCTCTTAGGCGGTCGACTTGGCGTCGCAAGGAGGACAAAACTGTTTCCAGTCGGGCATTGAAGTACCTCCCATCCTGAACAGGCAAGCTCCCAGCACCAGCGAAGGCCTCCAAATTTGCGAGGTACACGCTGCTGTGAAACAAGTTGGAAGCGACGACAACAATGTCAGCCTCTTGCACTTCATCGACGGTGAGGGAGTTCAAGTTCGACGCCGTCGATAGCACGACAACCTTGAAACGCTTTCCAGTGAATTTCTTAACCTCCGAGGCCCATTGCCGCGTTAGATGAGGAGGGACGACGACAAGTGTCGCTTTCACTGCGATCTTGCCCTTCATGTCTTTCATCTTGTTGAACTCCTTGTCGACACTCTTGGAGGTACAATCGATGAGGCCAAGGGTGATCGCAGTCTTCCCGTATCCGACCTCGTCAGCCAAAACCCCTCCTCGGATGTGGACCGGCCGCTGAGCGCGCGCCTCTGCTCTCCATCCCAATGGCTCAAGAATAGCCTCTGAGATTTCCTCCTCGACGAAAGGAGTAGCATCCGTCGCCTCTTGCGCCAACATCCAGGTCAGCGAGCGCAGCTGCTCCGGACGGAGAGGGATTTTGAAGCTGGGAGGTTGCTTGCGCTCCTCGTCATGCCGATTACTCAACAGCTTGAATTTCGGGAGTTGGATCTTGGCGGCGGGGGTGAAGTCTGTCGTTAGGCGCCACGAGACGGTGATCTTCTCCGTTCTGCCCACGGTCGGGAGTCGAGACATGGCACGGTGCGTCAAGGAAGCGATGTTGACACCAATTCTAACAATACCAACACCATCTTCCTCGAGCTTGAGCTGCGTCACAAAAGGCGCAGGTCGACGCTTGAGACTGCGTTCATATTCACCGGCCTGCGCAGTGTCCTCTATAGCGACGACACGCTTCTTCACCTTCGTCCATTGCAGTGCCGGGGCAGTAGGGGCGCATCGCTCACAGTTGGCATGATCTTGAGACAATGCGGCCTCCTGCCAATCGCTGAAGTGATCTCCGACGTTCCGGATGCGCTCAATGAGCCACGCTAACGCCTTGAAGGTAACTCGCTCATGAACTTTGTCCACCTCCTCCCACGTTCCTCGAGGCCACTCTGGACCGGCTTGGTCAAGAAGAGGCACTCGGCAGACGAGGAGCGCGTTGGCGCTTCCACAAGCTACCGTTGAGACGCTGACATTCAGATGGTCGCCTGGAACGGAATAGCGTGCGTCGTGGCCAAGTGCAGGCTGAAAACAAGTCAATTGAATGCCTGTAACAAGCTCAGGCGCAAGACGTACCACAAAGCGCGCATCGGTGGCCTCTATCCACTGGTATGGAATGTGACAACGAACGCTCTCCGTCTCCTTAGTATTAGACTGTCTCCACTTCGATTCCAGCTGGCAGATGATAGGGCGCGTCTCGCCGTACTCGTAACGCCGCTTGCTGATGGAAATAACGAAGCTGTCGTCGTTGGAATCACCACAACGGGTCGGATCCAGCAACAGGAACAGCGGCGGCAAATGGGCGTCCCGCTCACCGGACGCTTTCCTATGTAGCGCAGAGTTAGCAGTGCCGCATTTATCCAGCAGCGTGTAGACCCCAGAAATATCCCGATCGAAATGGACACGATCTGCCGCAGAGACCTGGATCTTCAACCTGGAGTTGACCTGTTTGTCAAGGAACTCCTTGCCCTGCAGGCCGATCTTCTGTTCCCAGGAGGGCACAGGCTCGTCGCCAGTAATTGAAATCTGGACAGAGGTGGCGTGGGGGAAGGCAAAATCCCAGCGCCCAGTGAACAATCCATCTTGACACACGAAGCGGGCGATTGGCATCTCCAGTAGCTTCCGGATCTCAGAATTCGTTGGTTCGTGGTCCTCCGGCTTCGCAAAGAGACGCCACTCCGGCTGTTGAGGGTGCAGTTGTAATTCGAGATATGCAACGGGCGACTCGTATGTAGCAGCCCAGATATCTTGACGCTTGGGCTCGACGAAACGCAGCTCCTGTTGGGCGGCACGCAGCACAGCCGCGCACCAGTTGGACCAGCGCTTGGCAGGAATATTGACCCCAGACGCCACTTTCAAATCATCGAGTGATTGCTGCGTCACATTCGCGAGAAGGAGGGACATAGGTAGCGTCGACTTCAACTCCTTAGCGAAGGCAGATGGTGACAGGCGCGGGTGAGCCTGGACGTCGATAGGCTCGAAGTTGTGCTCCGGGCGACCACCGCATTTGACGCAAGAGGATGAACCACAATCCTGGCATCGGTTGAGCTGACGATCTGTGATACTCTTTCGACCCTCGCATTCACACAGACGCGCGCTCTTTTCGGCGTTACCGAGGAGGGTGGTAAGGGCAACTTGGGCTGTCGACGTCAGGTCGAGCGGTTCCTCGACGAGCTGGTCCTCGCCCGACACGCGATCTTCGACAGAGACGCTGCCCTCCTCCAGATTGTCGATATCCATGGCGTCGTCGGGCGCATTGTCGTCATCGTCCACCTCCATGTCGTTCTTCGATTCGTAAGTCCGCTCGTCGCTACCATCCTTAAGTAGCTTCCTCCCTACGATGAGGGCAGCCATCATGCAAGCACCGACGACGGTGGTCGACATGGCATTGCCGGCAAGGTCAGCCAGCTGATCTTCTGTCTCGCGGGTCAAGAGCAGCTCATCTACAGGGAGACCTTGCATTGACAGTGCCTCGAGTCCGACCATGGGGCCGCCACGGTTCGTGATGTATGGGATCATGGTTGGGGTCAGACACGGACAGATGCCAACCTTGTTGGACCCGATCGTGCGGTCGACATTCTGTGACAGGTTCCAAACTTGCCTATGTTCGAGGAGAGGTATATCAGCAAGAGCGGTCTCGGCGCAATTTGTGGGAAACCTACGTTTTGTACGACGGATCGACACCTTTCTTTGCTGACCGTAGGAGACTGATATCCATTAAGTCCCACACTCGCTCGACCTGGCCGACGCCCCAATCGTTCCATGCAAAATCCGGCAACTTGCAGAAACCACCTTTTCAAACGTGTAGATGAGACCGCAATCCGAAAATAATGAAACAAAAAGACTGACCTTCGTCCCAACTCGTGAGTGGACGTTTGTTCCCCAATTCCTCCTCTAACCTTGCACGCTGGTGCCGGGACTCGCATCGATTCCAGTCCGTGCGACCGGTGCGACGATCAACGCCATTGAAGCTTTCAGAGACGAGTTTCTCCCTCGCTTGATGGATGCGCGGATCATCCGAGGGAAGAAGGAATGCGTCCAGAGTCGATGAGGCTGGTCTCTTGAGCTTGTTGATCCACTGTACCCACTCCTTCGGTAGGCTGGAACCCCTTTCATCGACAGCAAGAAGGTATACTCTCGTGCGCGTGTGAGGTATATAGAAATTCTTCGTGTCGACGCGGAGGTGTGTCGCGCTGTAGTTGTTTTTCTTGAAATAATCTACAACTCGATCCCATGGCGCGCTACAAACATTCTCGAGGATGACCAGTGGCGGCCGATGGTTTTTGACCCAGGACATCATTCCTCTAAAAGTCCTACCCGATTCTCCATCGGCATCGATGCCTTGCTTCTCATTGTTGAGATTAGAATAGTCAACACAAGAAGTCCCTGCAATCAGAATGTCGACATCGCCGGGGACAGGCGCCAGCGACCCATATGCAGTTGTGCTACGATACAAGTCAAGCATTGGATTGAGTGGGATACAAAAAAATAAGACATACGCATGACTGTCGCCTAATTCGCAGACATCACGGAACAGCAATGGCGGCTTGAAATTTCTCTCAATGTACGCCTGCTTGAACGGCTCAATCTCGCAGGAGAAGACGTGCTCAAACTCCAAGTTCACGCCGTGGTGTCCAGCGATAGATCTCCGGATGAGCTCAAGAGCAAGCAGTGGAGACTCCGTACCGGAACACATGGTGGCTACGCGTAGTTTTCGTCCTTGCAAGCGTTCAGCCACCGCCTTGATCTCAGGGACGCGTTCAACGAGATCAGAGAAGATAGAAGGTATGTCATGAATAGGTGGCAAGTCCGAGGACTCGGGAGCAGCGCGTTTGCTTGCTTTTGTCGATGTCTCTGCCGAAGGAGCCTCTACCTCGTCATCGGACGACTCGCTGCCACTGGCGACGTCTTCGGGTTCAGCCCGAGCCTTGGCACCCCCAAAGAAAGACGTTATAGACTTCTGGGCCTTTGTAGGGCCTGGTTTTGATCCTTTCGCCATGCTGCCGAGGCAAGGACGGAAGGGTCGTATGTGGAATGTGGAGAAACGACGCGTCGTAGCTGCCGCGACTGTAGATTATGGAATGTCACGTTCACGTACCATCACGCATGACAGACGCGTGACTAAGCGTGGACTCCAAGCGCTTGGCGGGGGCCACGGTTTCACCGCTCGGGTACCTGTCGAGTTGCTATGTTTGGCCTCAATTTGGCAGAATGCATTCCTTTCTCATGCCTGAGAGTTCAGGAAGCTTCGCACGACTCAGGACTGCTTCGCTGTCAAATCCTACAATCCCTCTGCAGGGCTGTTGCATCTGCTCCCATCGTCAAGCCACATTTGTTTTGCTTTGAATAGGTCAAGCGCTGAGCTTGACGAACGTGCGTCCAGAGCCACATACCGCATTCATAATCTCATTTCATAATCTCATCGCATAGAGAAGAACTGATTGATCAGCATTTTGCCCGTTGTGATCTCTGGACTTCCTGCCGAACAATTTTGGATCAAATCCACTGCAGTTTCGAATTTTAAGCCGTACGTATAGCGGCCACCACTGTTGGCTTATATTGATATTCTTCGTGGACGATTGTATCATCAGTTCCCGGTCATTACAATGACTTCTGTATCAGACCGCGTATTCGATAGACTGAAACACATTTTCGGGGAAGACTCGTTTAAGTGGCTTGACCGATCTTATGTTGTAGACTGGTGAGGCTACAGAGACCTTTAAACGATACGACCGTCTAAATGCAACGCACAAGGTCGTTCACACTGCTGATGTGGTTCATTGCGGGTGCCGTCAAACAGCTGCCACCATACGAGCGTGAATTCGATCGCAATGACCCTGTCATCGACCACAAGCATCATTCGAGCCAGTAAGTGCACTCGTTCAACATCCTGAAGTCATGCTGAAAATCATGCTGCCGTAGAATCGGTGGGACGATGAACTGGAACATTGCATTCTTCGCCCCTCTTGTTCTTGTGGTGACCGCGGGACTCCTACGACGTTCTGCTATTGATATTCATCATGGTGTCCTGGCATTGTGGGCGGGAATGTGCACATTTTTCCCGCTATTCGTTTCGTCCCACTCACTAATCAATCATATCAGGGGGTTCTCCGAAGTCATCACTGAGGTATTGAAAAACAGAGTGGGTACGTACATATTCTTCTCACCTCTACGATCACGATATCATTCGATTTTGCTGTAGGCAGATTACGCCCAGACTTTCTGCACACCTGTAAGTGGGATAAAACTCTCAAGGCGTGCACTGGGTATGTTGTATTTCTTTCCCTGTTTTCAGGGCCAGCATCAAAATCTAGCACAGGAAACTAGAGGATGTGCTCGATGGAAGAAGATCATTCCCCTCTGGGCACTCTTCTACCGCGTTCTCGGGAATGATGTTCCTCTCGCTTTGGATCGCAGGAGCGACAGGAGCGTGGTGCATCACTCGACCTGCTCCTGGCCGGTCCTTCCTTGCTAGCAGACTGGCCCGGCTTACCCTATCGTTGCTACCCTTGTGTTTCGCGGCCTGGGTGGCGATCAGCCGCCTCGAGGACTACGTACGTGGCGTCTCCCTTATATCCACCTAACCTCCACTCATGGAGAAATGTCGGGCATTGTTTAGAGACACCACAAGGAAGACGTGATAGTCGGTAGTATAATTGGGATGGGGTCAGCCACCGTCTGCTACCTGACGTACTGGCCCAGCCCGTTCTCCTACATCATAGAAAATGCGCAAGCCACGCGCACGGCCGCTCGTGCGCGCCTAGTATACACCAACGAAACGGCAAGACAAACAAACGGATATGACTACGAATTAGCGGGAATGGGACACACCGCAGATGTTGAGCAAGTATAGTTACGACTGTGAATATGATGTGCCGCGCTATGCGACTCCCGATGTTTCAGCTCGAACAAAGACCCATCTGTCGCCCACTCTCTGCATGCGCCCTACGTCTCCTGGACCACCTCCATTGTGTCCTATGCTCGGGAGCTCCTCAGAAGTATCCATAAGGCTGCCAGGATCATCCGCAGGGCTAGGGTCAATTTGCACGGCATATTCTGAGCCATAAGCAGCCGAGGAATCCCCCTCATAGGGTGGCTTCCCCATATCTCGGCCATTGCCGTACCTATAATCTCCCCCGCGCCCCCTCCCTCTACCGCCCATTGCTCTGCCACCCCGCCATGACCCCCGATTTAGCGGGCCGTCGTGCTGATGTGCGCCGTTTGGTTCTCGTCCTGGAGGTAGTCCACCTTGTTGTGTAGCGGGCTGAGAGGGTATGGGAAGGTTGCCCGCCATTCCCGAAAACATGAATTGCATCAATTCTTCTTGGGAAGGCAGATACCCGTTCGTTACAGCCCAGGCATTTCCCAATGCCTCCCACGAAGCAGGAGAGGATGGATCGAACGTCGTCATGTCGAAGGAGTCCAACCCCTTTTGTGAAGTAGCTGTATCGGTCTGTCTACTCGGAGGGGACTGCGAAGCAGGACCATTATGTACAGGAGAACGATTATCGGATCCGGAGTGAGTTGAGTCACGACGGGCGGCAGATACAATTGGTGGATAGTTTCCTCCAGGCCCGGTGGGTATAGAAGTGGAAGGGGTAGAATCTGTCGAGCCTGCACGGATTTCGCGCCCGAATTCATCCAATGTCGGTCCGCGAGCTCTGGAGGGTCCTGGCGGGTAATTCGCGGGTCTATTCCTGTAATCTTGAGGCATAGAGGGTCGCCGAGGCGGGCTGTACGGTTTCACATCTCTCCTCCCGCCTGGTCTGTTCGGGGGACTGTGCGATCGACTGTGTCTGCCTCGAGGAGGAGTCCACTCCCGATCTCGACTTCGATCATTGTACCGGTCGCGATCGTCCCATCTACCGCGACCACGGCCTCGAAAGCCGCCTCTGAACCCGCCTCTGTGGTCACGGCGGTCATCGTAGTAATCATTACGGTCTCTGCCACGGTCTGTCCCGTCATATCTGTCAAGCTGCGGCTCTCTATGATTGTGGCCGTACTGGGCGTCTCGATATGGCGGAGGGTGCAGAGGTCCCCTCGGTCCGGCAGGAGGCATTACAGGAACAGCATTTGTTGAAGACGTCGACGATGGGACTAATGACACGGGTAACGGTACGGGCTGTTTAGGGACACCGCTCCCCAACTTCGTTGCCTGCGTAAGTTGCTGCAACAATGCAAGCGCATTAGGCTCCAGCGCAGGAGTAACAGAAGGAGCGCTGGTGGCTGTATTTGAGTTTGTTTGGCTGATCCATTATGAGCACGGTTGGGACACAAAACGCGCGGAAACAAACTTACGCATTATTGTTCGATGCTACTGCATTGGCCGCTTGGCTGAGTAGAGCGATCAATGTTGATTGGACTGATGAGGAATCACTGGGTGCAGTGGGCGGCGCTTGTGGGGGCGTAGTCGGCAATGCGGGATTGGTCGCACTCTTCGCGTCTGCAGCAGGTGCGACTACTTTTTCGGGTTCTAACACGAACAGATATTATTTCAGTTCATATCCTCACTCAACGACTCGGCGGTATGTGGCAAAATGTTACTGAAATTACGCAAGCAGAAATTGTACTTAGCGAACAAACGTAGACAACGATATGCACCTTTCTCAGCTTCCTTCAAATACTGCGATAGCCGTCCTAACACTGCGGACGGGAACGTGTTCGACTTGATCCAAATGTCAAGCACCTTCTTCGCCTTTTCCTGTAAATGAACATCGCCCGAGGGCTGCAGTCAGGATACATGACTTCTATATTTGACTCGACTGAAGGATTCGGGTGTCGTCGAGTCTCCGATGCAACTTGAAGACGATCATGTGATAGCGCGTCAGTAAAACCTTGAACGCGACGCGTCTTTCTCTACAACGCGACAACGTCTAGGTGATGTAAGCATGTATGGGTGTCGCCTAAAGGTTCTAACATCTCTAGAGCTCGGCGACGTGCTCTTTAAGATATCCAGTGGCTCGGTGGCATGCTGAGGCGATGTCAAGATATTACATATACTACGAGAGATAGCATAGGCCATCCCAATCTCCAGATTACGCATGGTCAGTAAAATAGACAACTAACCTTTAGTTCAGTATAGCCAGAAGAAACAAGGTCTTGATATAGGCTATCCAGGACACCTTCCACCTTTAAGAGAAAGGTGGCACAGTTGCCTTGCTGCGAGTTCAAGTCGCCCATAAGTCCTTGCTTGTTCACCTGGTTTCGGGCTGCTCGCGCCAGAGCATCAAAGACATATAAGCTTGACACTTTGGCCTGCACAGACAATGACTTGTGCGTCCGGAAGAGAACGGACACGAGCTGTGTATCGTTCTGCCATACAACGTAGCGAGAGTGACGCATGCAATAAGCGGACATCATCCCGTAAGCTTTGTTAACATATCAGGAGCAAAATGGACGCACCTCCATGCTTTTCAATGCGATATCAGTGAGTTTGGTCATTTTGGACGCGGACAATCGCTTCGCTTGCACGACCTCTTTGAGAGTCGACTCGAAGCTCTACAGGGAGAGTTAGCACAGAAGCAGTGCCCTTTCACCAAGCAGGTGTACCTCGAGTGTCGCCATAACGGTCGTAGTGGGAAGTGGACCGCAGAGATTGATACAAAGGTCGTCAATGAGCGCACAGTGCGCGATTGGCGGGTGGCGCCTGGACTGGTGAATATTTGCACCTGTTTATCCTAACGTGGTCCGTGCACTGACAGCAGCGGTCCTCCGAGTCCGACCTCTCACTCAAGACAGGCTTGTCGCTCAACCAGCCTAAGTCCACGTTGAACCCAGTAGCTGTATGGATGCAGGTAGGTCGTATGTACTACAACAGTTAAAACAGTGGAAGTATAGGTAAGTCCAAAAGCGGAACCTCGACGATCTCATCCAAACGCATCATCGTGGTGCATTGGTACCCTGTGCGGTAGGGTGCCCGCGAAGAAGTTTAGCTACTGTGTGAGATCGCAATGGCGTGTCTGCGAAGAGTGCCTTCACAAGCTTCACAAGCTCATCGATCTCAAAATCGACCAGCGCGCCCTCTTCAAATAGGTATGAGATATCGGCAATCGACGCTTCCTGTAAAGCAGTGTCATAGAACTTAGGTGTGGCGGGCCAGGGAGATGAGTACGATCTTACCAGGAGCTCCGATAAATAGGAGAATTTCAACCACGAGGGCACATACGCAACGACAAATGATGGCTGGCGGCAAAGGTTCAGCGTCAATGACAACTGATGCCTGCAGCATCGCACCCACCTGCTCAGCATTCTCAACGAACAAACCTTCGAGAGCATTAAGGATGTGGCATAGCTCATTGAGCCGATGTGATTCAGCTTCAGTGATATCCGGTAAAGCCAGGACATCCGCAAGGATACGAGACAACGCAGCATCTACCAGTGAACCGATAGCATCGTAGAACTTGCTCTTATTCAATACAGCCTGATCTCGCATTGGTCGTCAAGTCCAAAGGTCAAATCATGCCAAGCATACCTTCCATTGTTGTGCAACGCGTCGTATTCGTTGCAGGACCTTATTGACTGCATTCTCACATCGGTCGAAACGGTCCTGATCCGTTGTTTCAATGAAGCCGTCTGCCTCGACGAGAATCTCGTTGATGTTGCGACATTGTCGGTCCTTGTGCGGATAAATGTGAGCAGACAAGCAGCACAGAATATCATCGCCACATACAATCGTCTCTTGAAACCAGCTATCGCCTAGCACCCTAAGGCGATCTTCACACTCAGCCAACCTCTCCTTAGTTGACGGCGCGACATCACGCGCGCTCGCCAACATATGCCCTACCTCCAGGCTCAGATGTATGCAATCATTGGAAAAACGCATGGGCAGTTTGGGGACACTCTCAAATGCTGAGGCGAATTTCACGGGATAGATAGCGCGGAATAGTTCAAGAGTTAGGGGCGCCGCCTGTGACAACATCAAGCCTAACGGTGAGCTGGAAGACGCTTGCGGAAGCGCCCCAGATGAAGCTAGTTGGGTGGCTTCATCGAGAATACTCCGTACGTGTCCTATGAGGTCCTTCGTACGCCCTGACACCATAAACGTCTCCTTCGTTGGCGCGGAAGGACGAGGCTGAATAGGTTTCGGCTGATTCTGCGGCGGAGGCATAAGCGGAGTTGGAGGCGGAGGAGGTATGAGTGCTGGGGATTTCACAGGAGGTGACTCTGTGCCCTGCGCGCCCTTTCCCTTGGAGGTCAACCTCTCGAAACGTTTGGCAGGCTTTGGTTGGGCAGCTGATCCGTTTGTTTGCGACTGAATCTTGGCAGCGTTGTCCTGCCACGGGTCTCCCCAGGGATCGTCCTCGTATGTATCGTCGCCGTTAAGGGTTTCTGAAGCGTCGTCATCATTCCAGCCCCACGCATCTCCAGGATCTTGTTCTTGTTCCGCAATAGTGGAGTCTGAAGATGCATTCGATTCTGTTGGCTGAGGTTCAGCCTCGACAGCGGATTCCGGTTCCACATCGTCGTCGAAGTCCCATCCGTTCTCCTCATTCATGGGTTCGGACAGTTTTTCGCTTGGTTCTTCGCTCGGAACATCATCGTCGAAGTCCCATGCGACTTCAGCCTCCTCTTCGATCGACTTAGGTTTGATGTCGGGGACAGTTTGAGCGCTCTTGACATCCTGTTCTGCGAGGATAGGGACGTCCACGTAGAACACACGACTCTCGTCCTCCGGTGCGACTACTATCAGTCTTCCTTTCTCTAGTAGTTCCGCACGTCGCTTGCGCTCATAATGTGTTGCAATGCCATCTGTCCATGCGGCGATCTCGCGTTCGCTGTTATGGTCGCCAAGTATAGAACAGATATATTCCTCCTCAAATTGACGCGCTTGCTTGGCTAGTGCAAGGAAGTCGGGCAGCGCATGCATGGATGAAGGTGTTGATGGGACAAGGAGATAGTTGAGTAGTGCCTGTCTGATCGGCTTGCATAGAGACAGTGGTAACGACGACCGCTCCGACTCCGGTAGGCAAGGGAAGAGATGTTCGTCGAGGAATGTGAACACCATGGATAGATTTTGAAGCCGCGAAGGAAGCGCTGCCGTGTCTGGAGGTGAAAGGAACACTGAAAGCTTGTGCTCGTTTGTTCCCGTGAGGACTTTATTGGACGTAATCGTGACATCTGCAGGCTGCTTGAGGATGCGGTCGACATAGTGCGTGGTAATATCGCGCCGTAGGGAGGAGAGATGAGATGCCAGAGCCGACGACGATAGTGAGGCCACTATGGATGGCAATGACAGGATGGTCTCTGTCTGCCTGACTGGTATGCGTTGGATCATGTATCATGGTAGCGTGGCATACAATGCTTACCTTGTATGGAGGGGTAAATCGTGATGTCGGATGGCGATATTCGCACACTTCGCATGAATGCATCAGTCAGCTGTTCCTCTGCGCGAGCCCGCGTCGCAGCAAAGTTGCGCTTAACGTATGCATAAATGAGATATTTGCGTTATGCAGAATGTATTTCCCTGGACTGACCTTGATATCCACGATGACGGAACTGCGGCCCAAGTATTCTGGTAACGATTGGAGAGCGGCCTCGAGAGTTTGACAGGCCTTAACTGCCTCCGGGAGTCTTCCTTCGTGTACTAGGCTTTCAAGCATATAATACTCGTCTTTGCAATGAAGCAAACGAGATAGCGCATGAGAGTGCACGTCTGCATCCAGGCTTTCCTGAGCAAGTGCCCCGTGCTGGATAAGGGTGCCTAGAAGAGTCGGAACAAGTCCTGACTATAGTATATGATAGTGGGTGGGTGAGCATGCACTTTACTGAGACTACGTACCTGAGGGTCCGAGAGCCTGTTATCCAGTTGGTCGACATTGCTCGTCAAGGTTTGCAGGCGCTCCTGGATCGACTTCGCACTGGTCATTTGTTCATTGAACGCAGACAAGTCGTTGGCAATGCGTTCGTGTATTCTTTCCTGTCACAGCCTTGTTCAATGTTGGACAATGCGACAGCACAACATCCAGACGGCTCACTTTCGTCTGTGAGAGGGTTTCGTCGAGCTCCGTGATCCAGGACGAGGCTAGCTGCGCACTCAGGGATTTGGTGGTAGCCCCAGAGATCTTCGTGAGTATCTTGGTTGACACATCTTGTGGATCCCTCTTGCGAGGCAGGTGAGCAGGAACAGGAAATGCCATCGCGCGGTATAGCTGCTGTGAATCGTCGGCGAAACGCCTTCTGCCAGTGGTAGACTGTTTGCAAGCCTTCGCAACGAAGACAGGGACTTAGCCAAACGAGCTCCGAGGTATACAGTAGCTTAGGCGTAAGCCAGAATGAAGGGCTGAGAATAGAGACCTCGCTGTACGGAACTGACGACCATGCGGCAGCCAGAACCTGCAGTGAGCGCGACGCGCTGACCGCATAACACGTGGACTTTAAGTTATGGGCGCTTCATACTAGCACCTAAGCGCGCAGGCACTTCTTTTTTTAAAAAAATCGACGGGTTTATACTCCATACAGCGTAGGTACATGAAGAGTGTGAACGAGCCTCCAGTAGCTCTTAGCAATGGGCTCCGCGCCCCCAGACGGGAACAAACAAACATGAGAGTAACGCAAGATGTCAATGCCCTATGGTTTTCGGGCGGACAAGGAGCGCGCCAGCGATAGCATGGGGCGCGAGCGATCCTCGAGATGCGCAGGCGGCGTGCCGCGCGCGGATCATGGGAGCGAGAGGACGCGGAGGCAGCGGGGGGAGGGGGGGGGCATCTACCACCCGCCCGCCGGCTCCGGGGGAGGCGCCGGGCTGGAGGAGGCGCGAGATGAGAAGGGGGAGCGTGACGCGTCGCGAGCATCCCGCTCCTTCCAGAGAACGAGGAGGTTATCAGCGCGTGTTTCCACAGCGCACCACGCGGTGAAGGCGTCGAAGTCGTCACTGCGAGCGCAGGCGAGCTCCGGGACCTTACCGCGATCCTGGTAAAACCGACGCCACCGAAACACACGCTCGGTGGTATGAGCTTGCGCGAGAATGGGGACGCCCGGCCGCGCGGTCGGCGAGCGCCTCAGCGAGAATCTCCGCCCACCCAAATGTAGAGACCATGGGGTTCAGCCGCAAGAACTCAAGGACGTCGCCCGCGGACCAGCCGCACTGGGCGCGTAACTGGCGGGTGCGGTCGTCGTGGGGGAGCGCGAGCGAAGAGGCCACCGGCGCCTTCGTGCGAATCCAGAATGGACACTGGAACAGGATGTGGTGCCGAGTCTCCAGGCCACCCCCGCACGGACAGTCCTGGGGACCCGGGATGTTGAAGCGAGCGCGATACTCGCCACACGGGAAGTGGTTGGTCAGGACGCGCGCCGCGCGGGCAACGTCCGCGTTAGACTTGCCGGCGTGCTTGAGAAGCCAGGTGGTGGCGGCAGTGGTACCGTGCAGCAGGGGATCATCGGACACCCACAGGCGGCGACCCCGATAGTGGACGGCATTGGCATCACAGGCGACGCAATCCCACTTGGACTTCATGCGAGCCTTGACCCGCGCAAGGGCGAGCGAATAGGACACGAAGTCCGGCTGGTCCGCATCGAGAGCCTCCTTGGCGAGCGCATCGACGAACTCGTTCGGGTCAATGTGCTTGTGGGACGGGACCCACAGAAGGACGAGTCGATG